GTAGCGAAGCGTTACGCGTGTCGAGAAGCATTAATTAACGTCAGGATCAGTGCATCACATTTGACATCGTTGCGAGGTACGGGCGTCGTTTATCCTCGCGCTGTCTGTCTCCTTCACGCGTGCCGCCGCCGCGACGCATCGCACCAACGCGCACTCCTGTTCCCACGTTAATGGAACAGAACAGCGGAAAAACAAGGACAGACGCAAATCCCTCTCCCTCCGACACCTATCCAGAGACTATGCGATACTTACATACATGTAAACGTTATTGCGTACAAAGTGTACATAACCATGTTCGAACTTGTTAAAATTTCTACCTTCTACGCGAATCTATTTGCAAATCTTTCTCTGCTGCTAATACTTTGGGAATTCTTTATTCCGAGCATTCACTCACGTGCTTATAGTTTAATCACAGACGAGGCATACGAGTAGACCTTACGAGTCGACCAGTTTTATAGGGTTTTTCTTACTTTACAGGGTTAAGAGATTAGAGATTAGTATTTCTACATATTCTCCATTAAAATACGCGTCGTTTGCCGTTTTAAACATTAAAATCGGCCAATCCGTTCAGAAGTTATGACGTTTTATACATACGCATGAAGTTTCAGTGAAACGTATCAATGTATGGTCAGACATATTTTCGGTAAAGAATTTTTTTTCTCGGAAGTGCGTAGGATTTCGGCGGTATGTCTATTCACCAAAAATGACTGAAATTGACCCCCGCAACTAAAAATAATTTTATTAGAACGATTTGAAAATTTTCATTTTTGCCGAAAAATTTCACACCTACTCGAATTTTTTTCTCGAAACTGAGTAAGATTTTAGGGGTATATCTATTAACCGAAAATGACTGGAATTGACCCCCGCAACTAAAAATAATTTTTTTAGAACGATTTGAAATTTTTTAATTTGGTGAAAAATGTTACCACCTACTCGAATTTTTTTCTCGAAACTACGTAGGATTTCGGGGGTATGTCTATCGACTAAAAATGATTGTAATTTACCTCTGCAACTAAAAATAATTTTTCTAGAATGATTTGAAACTTTTTAATTTCGCCGAAAAATTTCAAACCTACTTGAATTTTTTTCTCGAAAATGAGTAAGATTTTGGGGGTATATCTATTAACCGAAAATGATGGTAATTGACCCCTGCAATCGAAAATAATTTTTCCAGAATGATTTGAAACCTTTTAATTTCGCCGAAAAATTTCACACCTACTCAAATTTTTTTCTCGAAAGTGAGTAAGATTATGGGGGTGTATCTATTCACCAAAAATGACTGAAATTGACCCCTGCAACTAAAAATAATTTTTCCAGAACGATTTGAAAATTTTCATTTTTGCCGAAAAATTAAGGCACCTACCCCCTGTCGATTTTTCTTAAGAATTCGTTTTTCATTTTTAATAAATTTGTTTGACGCCTTACAGAAAAGTTGTCTAATACTTTTTTGTAGGTACCCATGAGCTCTAGTTTAGAAAAAAGTTTCATTGAAATATATTCACTATTTACGAATGAGAGGTGGCCGCTAAAATCACCTCCGAATTTTCAGGTATGAACCACGAAAGTCCATAAGATGTAGGGTCTGCTCGTATATCTCCGTCTGTGGTTGAGTGTTTCGTAATATAAATGTCTTCCTGTTCTAATATCTTAGCGATGAGAATAACCGCGGCGACCTGTATAAACATCCGGATCGAAATAGCTGTTTGCGCGAAGCTGCAAGCTACTTTCGAATAGCTTCGCCCGGTAATCTTTCGCGACAGAGACCAGAGAATCGACGGCAGAGTGTACGAGTCCCGTCTGGTTTCGCATGCGGTCGAACAAAAGAACGATACACGGAATCGGAACAAAACGCGAAAAGCCGATGGGAAAAAGGGACACGAGACGCGAGCAACAACAATAATAACGAAAAACGAAATAGGAGAAAGGAGCTTGCGGGACAGAGAACGTATATAGTATTTGTAGGTATGGCTGCAATACGCGGTGTATGTCCGTAGGCGGTTACAATGCCGTGGGATGGAAGCAGCACTCGTACAACCGATCACGTGTCTGGCTTGTACCGCAATCGGGCTCATTGTCTGGTGACAAGAGTGCCGAGGGTACAAAGCATCGGAGGTACTCGGTGCGTGTAGCTGCCATGGCCTCGTAAGCGTGTGCACCGACGACCGTCATTGCGGCTCGATGCGACTAGAGAATCTAGTGTAAATAGGAAATACCGTGGTCGCGTATACTGCCGGGGTGTTACCAACCGTTCTGTCGCTTCAAACCCTAGAAATCATCGGGCGGATTCGATGACACGAGGGAATTATCCAACCGATACGATTACCGAGGTTCGCGCGAAAATCTTTCTTAAGATATTCCCAGAGCAAACGACATTTTGCAACTGCTCGAATTACAAGCCATCGCGTGGCTCGTTGCCTCGAAACACACTCGAGACGTCTCCTTGAAGAGACCGCGATATCTGGTAAAGACGGAATCAACGGAGAACGTTAAACCTGCTACTCGTTAGAGGACGAGACAACGCTTCGTTAAACGTCTCCAGCCCAGGGGAAAAGTTGTCGATTTCGGTTATTTCGTAACGTCGAAAGTTTCTCGCTAACAAAGTTTAGAAATAGCGTTGTTCGGTGTCTCCATCGTTTCCAAGTACCGACGAGAGAACTTGGCGGCCAAGCTTCCCGATTCGAGGACGAATATATCGGTTGTTGGGCGCACCGTTCGCAAGGTAAAACGCAAAAACGGTGCACGAAGAAGCGGCATGCTGTTTGCGGCTGAAAAGACATTCTTAACTGCAGTAAAGCGCTGCACAAATAGTCGTTAAGACGATTCTGAAGGGACAAAGAAGCTCGACTTTTATGGCCGGGCGTTCCGCGCTGGATAAAGCATCGCTTTTCTCAGTTTTCGAAAAAACGTTTCTCTTGTTCTCCAACATCGAGGATGAAACGTCGACGCGTCAAGGACAAGCTTTCCTTTTTATAAAAGAATACGCGAATTTTAACGAGTACCTTTACGTTTTCACGGAACGTAAGGATCGAGCAAATTGCACCTGATAGAAATTAGGGTGTTGCGGAGAATCGGAAAACGATCGATCCCGGGTATACTCGTTGACAATCCTCGAATTGCCTCTGCAAGAACGAACGATCGTAAAACACGAGGAACGTTCGCGTCGCGTAAACGCGATCTATCGTAAATGCCCGCGTACGTTTCATTTAACGAAACTTCGATAGCGTGGCTGCCGCGGGAATAGCGGGTGGGAGACGTGGGTTCAGTTTAATGCAGATTTAAACGACGATTCGTGCGATATCAAGCTGAAACGTTTGTTACGCCGCTCGTAAAACCTGTCGAACTTGCGAATGAACGCTATGAAATGTGAATCGAGCTGCCTGTCTTCGTAGTTTATTTGTTGCTCGATAAACTGCCAGAACTCTCGAATGAAACGTTTAAAAAGCTCCAACTCCTAAGCAAGAATATTTGAAAGCAGGGAAACGTTAAACTGTAGCTAATTCTCACGGCAATCAAGATTATATTAACCAGGAAGTACTTACCACAATTCTCTCGCCGTACTCGAGTCGTTAGAACACAAGACGATGATCGGGAAGAGTCCTCCACCATTCTTCAATTCCAGGCTTTTTCAGGCGTGACTTCCAGTCCGTAATGTTCGAGTCCCAGCTGAACGCCATCGCGTACTAAAACACACATTTTTGCACTCTGAAATCACGCAAATCTTGTAATATTTTCTGATTTCAAACGTATTTATCGTGTAATGTTTACCCATTGGTCGAGCACGGTAATAATTTGCACAATTCGTTTAATAGCGAAACTTTGTTCCGTGTTAAATTGATCAAGAACCACTGCGCGAGAGAGTTCGTGTTCGTTTCGCGTTCGCAGCCAAAATAATACTGACTCGTAGAAGTTCCGTTTGCCTTTGGAAGGACACGCGTGCTGCCTCGAAACCTGGCTGTAGGAAGGATAAGCTTGAAAACTATCCTCGAGTTTACGATAGATTTTATGGCTATTCAGCGGGAGGTCGACGTTATCTGGTTAGCTGGGCCCGAAATTTGCCAGGTGCGTCTCTTTGCCCGGTGTTTGTCCCTACGAGACTGTGTACACAACTGACGCGGACCTAATCCAAAGTCACGCGGATTCATAACATTGAGCACAGAAAGAAAACGTTGGAAAATACGGGCACTGTAATGTCTATGTTGACTCCGATTATATTACTGTTATTTGGCGGTCTAAATTCTAGGTAAGCGTGAGCTCTAAGAAGCGTGTTTCCCGCCTATATTCAAATGCATAACGAGGAACGAAATAATTCGCAGGATATGGAATTCTGCAAAGCATGCAACTCTATATCGGAAAATTAGTACTCTACACATTCCAACGTGTTTTGGTGTACTAAGTATGTAAGATATGAAGTAATTGCCCCGATGAAATATGCAAAATAAATGTTTTTTTGATGAGGAACAGTTGGATTGTTCGAAACTCTAAAGACTGTTATTATAATATGGGAAATTGTGCAATTCGTTTCACGTAAGTAGGTTACTCCCGTTTACGTTTCGTAGGTACGAGCCGTTCCGTCGTACGAACAGCGGCATAATGATTCTGCGCACCTATGCCGCGCAACCGCCATGCAAAACCGAGACGCGAAATGAAAAGAAGGGGTAGCGTTAAGTTAAGCCGGCTATACTCCCCTAATTTGGCACGAATTTCTGTAGCCGCCTGTACATCGTATCGTGATAGATTGGGCGTAGATACATTATCAAAGTACGAGCAGATGGCGATGCAGAACGTAACACGTTACAAATTCCGTGCAACGAGCTGCTTCGTTATCGGTGTTAAGCGTACCAACGAAAATCCTCGATCTACGAGCACCAAACGAGTATCAAACCTACTTAATTTATGTCCAACGTGAAATTTGTTCCTTCGACGTTGACCAAAGGAAACCGTCCAATTCCGCGTCGATTGTTTAGCTTCGTATTGATTCTGTTTTCATTGTTCGATTGCAGTATAACATAAAGAAACGAGAAGAAGTACAAGAGCTCACCCAGGAAGAACCTAATCCTTTGATGCGTAAGAAAAAAACGCCAGAGGAGTTGGCCGCGGAAGCTGAAGCGGAGGACGAGGACGAGATTACCAGTACGTAGATGACTTTTTTCACGATTTCGAATACCTTTTTGGTTCGCGAATATCGCGTTACGCTAGTCCACTGTCTTTCGCGAAGATTGGTCAGGTGAGCGATGCAAATTCACGGTACACACCTAGAGAGTAGTTGGACGAATTAATGCGACGGTGCTCCGACACGGCAGGGGCTGATCGATGAAGGGTTAACGAGCCATGGCTAGAAATCAAACAGCTCTCACCCCTGTTCGATTTCTGAGCAAATCTAACGAGTAAACTCTCGGTGATTTCGATGACAAAACTGTTGTCGCGCGATCGAAAAGCTAAAATAATTAGGATCGGGTCGTCGTGGAAAAGTATTTCTGTTGCGATACACGTGCGTCTGTTTGTTCCAGAAATCAGGAACACGATAGATACGCATTTACAAGAGATCAAAGCGCACGTACTGGAAGGTAAATGCGATCTCCAATAAGCCTACCTGCACCTTCGAAGCGGTCGGTAAGAAGGGTGGCACCATGTGTCACCAGGGCCGCATCCGCATCCGCCTCTCAGCCCCTACGACATCACGAGGAAGGAAACGAGTGAGATCTGACGTGTTGGAGAAACGAAGGGAAACAACGATACGAGAAGCCAGCAGCGTCGTCGTCGTCGTCGTTGTGTCGCTCGAGTGTAGATCGATTCGATATTCCGATTGGCCAGTCGTCGCTTAGAGTGTAAAAGGAAGCGATGGCACTCGAGACGCCTCAAGAAACACCCTTCGTCGTCGTCGAATCTCGAGAATCGAACAACCGATCTCGTCGAGGGTTTTCTGCGTCGCGTGGAGGACGATCTCGAGGAACGAACCCGTCGATCGTTGAGCTCGAATCGATATCGACGGGGGAAAAGAGAGAGAGAGAGAGAGAGAGATAGAGAGAGATTTTCGCGGAGGAGCTCGCGTGCCCATCGTGAAAGAAGGTATCGTCGTCGTTGCCCATATCGAGGACGGCTCTCCGACGCGAAACTTCTCAAGAGCGCGAAACAAATTAGAGGATTCACGGTGGATCTCTTCGATAGTTGACTGGAGGAGTCTTGAAAGAGAGACGAACGGAAACCTGAGCACACAAAGGTTCGCGTCAGCGCGTATCGAAATTGAACAACATCGGAAGAGCAAGGGAAACTTGGGGAGTCTTTCTGTCGGAACGACACCCAAAGAACCTCCGAAGACGCGATCGAACGACTTCGCAAACTCGAAGCTTTTGTAATTCTGGTCCTGGGAGATTACCGACGGTAGCGAATGAAAAAGGGAAGCACCTGGTCGATCGCGTCGATCGACGGAAAACGAACAACTGTCTCGAGTTCCCGCGGAGTTTGATGACGAAACGAACCAAAAGGGAATTACAGGCAAACGATTCGGGAAGAAGTTTAAGCTGAAAAGTTTCGAGAAACGAGAAGGAGACGTACGAGTCAAGATTCGCAGGGAACGAAAGAACCCGGAAACGGAGACGATTGTCAACGAGGACGATGACGAGACGAGAACAACGAGGACGCGGAAGATCGTTTGCGCCTCAGGATTCCGGAAATAGATGAAGAACGAGGGACACTGAGTCTTTTCGAATATCGTACGAATACCGTGGCGTAGAAGAGGCGTGAGCAGTCGAAGGGCGCGTACATATTTATAAATATATATATATATATAAAAATATATATATTATATATCTACACACACGCACGCACGCACGCACGTACGCGAGCGCGATATATGTGTAGATTCACGGACATACATGCGCGTGAGCGAGCGTGGATGCGTACGCGCGTGTGCGTGGGTGTGGGTGTGTGTATAAGAAAATACGAAAGAAGTAAAAAAAGACGTAAAAAAAATCTAGCACCTAAGTTTCTAGCGAATTTTTCGAATAGCGGTAAAATGACATGAAACTACCGGTAGCAGAGTTACGTAGTCGCTAGTTCGTTCGACGACTGTTCAATAACAAGGAGATCAGAAAGGAGGGAGTCATTAATATTTATTATTACAGTTATCGATTATTCTCACAGTTTATAACCACGGTCATTGTTCTTATTATTGTTACCACTGGATGTTTGTATTTAGAAGACGAAACAAAACGGTAGTTAAGACAAGGATCGAGGGCCACGAGAAACAAACGCCAATAGACTGAGAGGCCAACGCGCGAAGACTGCGATGGACTGGTCGAGAGAGAAAACGAAACACCGGAAATATGAGAGTAACCGGCGGCCCTTGCTCTCCCTTCCGTCCAAAATTCGAATTATCTCCCCCCCCTCCCCCCTTCCCCCTAACGTAGCTCGATCGCGAGGGTAGCGAGACGCGTAACACCTGAGCAATTCTTAGGGACACTTTAGTTAGAGTACGTTACCAAAAAAAAAAAAGAAGAAAAATTATCTGTCTACGAGCAAACAAAGGCAAACAAAAAAATGAAAAACGACAAAAAAAAAATGATATCGACGAAACGAGAACGCGTTACTCGACTACCGTGAGATGAAAAATGCCTTTCTTTCACATTTATACGATGCGTTTTTATCGAGCGTAATTGTACATGTAGGTTTAATCGATTTAGTGAAAACAAACGGGATTCACGCGTATTTTGACGAGGACGGGAACACGACGCGGCTCGATCCGTTCTCGAATAATGGACCTTCAGGTGTTACCGATGGACAAACCTTCGAGCCAAGTAGCCATCGTTGCATCCCTTCACGGAACGATTCACCGATCATTTACCGTGATTGTTGTTGAAAGAACAACGCGTGAACGACGGTGGACGGGATGGACAGAGAGCATCGACTGCCGGCAAATTAATGCGAGCCTTATACATATACGGAATCCAAAGACAGGAACACTAAATAAATAATTTGCTCAGACAATACCGTTTCGTCGAGACCGTTTCTGCCCGGTGTGAAAGGTCGAGGAGGCTGAAAATGATTTTCGGCAAATAAAAATTTACGTTGTAGATCGACGTTGGTATATGTATAAGGCAAGATGTATCTGCGATAGACGTAGGATGCGTGAAACTATGTGTTTTTTATTTTTTTTTTTTTTTTTTTTCGTTTGTTTTTATACGAACGAGGGAAAGATTGGTACGAAACGGTACATTGTTATGTTCGATATCGTTCCTCGTTCTTGATATTGATCTATTCTTGTATCTTCTTGATCATCGAAACTTCTCGAATCTCTTTCGATCGACTATAGGATCCTAAAAGCAAACTAACCTCTGACTTTTTTGAGAGATTCCCCTGACACGCGCTCTGTATCATACTCGACCATTCGGAATATTCGCCGATGATGTTTGTCGCGTGACAAGAAAAGAACCAGAAACATTTAAAACAAAAAGCAAAGATCGAACGAGTTTCCTCGTTACTTCGAGTAAAGCACGCTACGTTGGAACCACGACCCCGATTCGCTTCATTCGTAAACAGCAACTTGAAACGATAAACGAAAAATCAGAAGTCGGAAGGCCTTCTATCCAATAAACGTTTTAACAAAAAAAAAAAATACGAACGCATGTCAGCTTTCTGTATGTCGTAAAAAGCATTCTGTTGTTGGTTCTCGATGTAAATGCGCGTATCTGTTAGCTGATACCGTAACCGATTTCTTCGTTTCGATTCGCGTTACTCCGCAACAGACTGCAAACAATACTTTCGACGCCATTAAAAAGAATCGCTAACTTTGAACACGATACAGCGTTCAACTTCTTCGGTTCGACAGGAAATTCAAGAGAACGTTTCTTCGAGTTATTCAGACTCTCCTGTTGGCGGCTGTTTGTCCGCGGGAAACAAACCAAGAACTTTTCGACTTTATATTCCTCGAGTCAACTAAAACAACTTTCAAACGAAGGCTCGATCGATCGCGGAAGCTTGGTTTTACGACCCCGAATAATCTCTGTTTTTTACTTTAATCGTTCGTTTTGTTTGTCGTTCCCCCCTAGGAGTTGCAGAGTAATTCTGTGCGGAGTTTCGCAATCGTTGCACGGCAAGTAGTTGAAACGAAATAACGAGAAAAAAAAAAAATGAAGAAAAAGTAAAAGCCTCGGATGTGTGCTTCGTGTCTACTCGACGTAGTCTCTCTCTCTCTCTCTCTCTCTCTCTCTCTCTTTCTCTTTCTCTTTCTCTCTCTTCCTTTCTGTCAACGTGCATGCTACCTGCGACGCTTCTCTATCGATGTCGATGTCGTTGGATAGATCTTCTTTGCTATGGCTTCTCTTCGACTGTCGGACGATATTCGAACATCATTTTCTCATTCGCTCACTCTCTGTTTCTCTCTCTATAAACGACGCTTAAAATGTACCTAAAGAACGATCCTACTTCATAATTCCGTGTCCCCGTTCCCCGTCCGTTTCTCCGCCGATCGAAATCGAAAAACTTGCCTCGCAGATTCAGCTTGTCCCGTAAAATCTACACGATACACACTTCAAGTCAATTACTCAATAATTAATCCAAAGATATAAATATATATATACATTGACGCTAGCGAGAAATACACGCTCGTACATTATTTTTCTTTTCCTCTCAACATCTCGATATAAATAAATAATTGTAAAGAAGCGCACGCAAGTGCGCGAACAGTCCCATTCATACGGGACTCTGAAAGTTTCAAACGCTCGAAAGAGATCGTTATTCGCTGTCATTCGCCGCCAATAACGAAAGGATAAGATGCCCGACGCGGCATTAAAATTATTCCGTCAACTTCGAACTTCGACCACGTAACTATCTAGCAGGCAGCTTACTACTTTCTCTCGTCTTTTAATCGTAGCAACTTTCTCTCTTTCAATATCCCTGCTGAGTGTGATCCCCCATGCTCTCGATGTTCTCTTTAAAAAATCACGACTTAACTTTAATCGTCGCGCGAATACATGTGCTAAAAGAAAAAAAAAAAAGGTTAGACCGCAAAATAAAAAATTAACCGAAATCTTGCTGTTGTCGCTACTGTTTACTGCTGATTAATGTCCTGTGTCGTTGTTGTTTCTCGATGTGATCAGCATGAATGTTGTTCGTCGCGTTGTCTAGTCGTTGTTAACGTTTAACCGCCGACGTCACTCTCTCTTGTTCTTTTTATCAACGATATTGTTAAAAGCTTCGTAATGTAAGTTTCGACGAAACGATTAAAGCTTCGTGTGCCTTTGGTCTCTGTATTTTAATTGAAACGTTTTACAACCAACGGAATCGTTTCGATCGTGTTTCGTTTCGTTCGAGTTCTTTCTCGCGAATCTATTTACGCGTGAGCTCGACAATTCGTAGAATTTGGGTAAACAGGCCGATTGCCGACGATTTTTCACCGCCACGAGCACAACAATAAACACGTAGTAAAGATAAAAACAGAGTAAAAAGAAAAAAAATGGTGAACGATTCATCGAAAGACAGAATTTACGCGGGACGATCGAGAAAGGGAACGTCCTCGATAAACAAGATCTGCTTTCCGGGTTCCAAATCGTCTGTTTCCATCGAATAGAACGGCTATTTAAAAAAAAACTAGAAAAAGAAATTCCGGTCGCGAAGAGAAATCAACATCTCCGGATTGTTAAAAGTTTGCGAGCGTCAGTCGCGCGAATACTCTCGAGACTTTCTCTTGTTCTCTAATTTCTTTTATACTTTCTGTAATTGCTGTCTGTCCTCGACCTCCTAAATTCCCTTTGACGCGTACTCGAACTTCGACCCCCCTTTGTCCCTTCGCTTTCTTTCCCTTGAAGCCACCCTAAGCCGGCACGCGGCACGTGGCAAGTGATACAAACAAATATACTTGAATCTACTTAATTCGTGTTTCATAGACTTTAATCCAGGGGGAAAAACGTAATAAAAAAAAAAGAAAGAGGTGAAAAGGAAATATCGCGACGCGCGTCCCGTCTCGACGGATCCTCGAGGAAATTGCCCGGAAGAGGAAAAGAGTCGGGATGAAAAAAATTGCCTTTCGATGTTAAAAAAAAAAAAAAAAAAAAAATAATCTCGCGCCGTTTACTCTAATCACGACCAGACGTTCCGTGATCGATATTCGATGAACAAGATCGACCCGTCCCGGCGAGACGCGCGTCGTAGCGTATTTAAACCTACCTTTCTCGGGGTACTTGATTATCGGAGCCAAGCACTTAAAGGAGAACAAACAATACGCAGATAATATAACCGCGTTAGATACGAAATGCGCCGAAACGTTAAGATTTAACGAGAGATGTAACGCTTTTTTCTCCATGTAAATAGTATCGCGTGTAACCAAAGAAACCCCCCGCGTGTAGCGTAACTACAAGTTTTCGAGGCGTAACCGTGTCAAGAAACGATTTAACGGATGAATGGACGACGAGAGATGATCGTGTTTCCGTGGGCCTCGGGGGATACCGTTGCTCCGCGGAGGACTTCCGGTCGCCGCGATCGGATCCACGGTTCCTCCGTGGCGTCGGAAAGTAAGCGACTCGCGAAAGAGGAAAACCGACTCGACTTATTCAGAGACAACGACACAACGCATTATAAAGTAATAATTGATAACTTAACGTTACAAATCGTCGTACTATTGTTAATACTCTCTTACGGTGCGAGGACGATGATCTCAACGACGTGTGTGCGTTCCACGTGTGTAAGAAAAATTAAAAAAAAACAAATGAAAATGAAACGTACGCGCGTATCGTGCGGGAATAACAAAACAGATTAGACGATAAGCGAGTGATCACCCCCCCGTTAAAACGGAAAAATTTAACAAAAAATGAAAAAGAGAAAAAAATGACAAAGTAAACGCAGCAAAAAATCACAATGTTAAATAAGTAGATGTTAGCTTTGTATACAAGAGAGTGCCGAGAAAACCAAGACAATTAAGGGGAAGAGAAAGGGAGAGCTTCGATACGATTGGCGAGAGTACCGAGACCGAACGAAAACGCGAAAAAAAAAAAAAATAAACGGTTCTTTCAGCAGCTGCCATTCGACGTGATCAACATCCTCTCGAGCGGACTTGTGCGATTTTTTGGATCGAAGCGGGTCCCCCTGTCGTTCGAGTCTCCCGTGGTTTTAACTTTAAAGTGCAAAAAAAGAAACTTGCAGAATTAGTTTTACGCTAGTCGAGAATATACGATTGGATCATGGTGCTAAATTTTCGGAAAGGAAAATACAAGTTTATGGTTGATCCAATGAAAGTAACGAGTTTCTATAGAGTTAATTCGACGAGCTTGGTCGCTTCAAAGTTACGTCCCCGTTCCAACGAATCGAAAAATTGTGCGAAATTGTCATTTGGCGGCGACCGTGGATTATTTGTCTCGGATTGGATCGCTCGAGGCTGCAGAAACGTTTACGGATTCGTTTGTAAACACGCGAATCGGTACGCGTACGGTTTCCAGGAATATTATGACACCGTAACGTAACGGATTCTCATTGTTACGTGCAGCCGCGACGAGCGCAATGTTTTCTGGGAATTCGAACGACAGGGCGACTCACCGTGTTTACGATGTCGAAACGTGCTGCTTGGATCTCACAATTGTACCGTGCCCCGGTGTCTTCGTGAATTCGTTCAACCGAGAAGCAATATTCTAGATGCCTATAATTTACTACTATCGTACGTGTCTTTAACGACAAACGAGAAGAGAAGCGACAAAAATTAGAAACGCGCACCGACACACAACACACAAACACTCTCAGACACACTGTTGTACGTGTTTAAGAACCAAAGCGTGCAAACGCTCGTCAAACAAGGAAACAAAAGAAACGATATACTTTTCGGGGCGTTCCTTCTCACGGTTACTTGAAAAGAAACATGGCTTCGCGTTCGACGCCTGCACACGTTCGCGTCGATCTCCATGTAATTTTGTATCTCGATGTTCAAAGGCACGACGACGCGTGTCTGATTACATGCAACGACCAATTATTGTAATCGTTACCAATTAGGGTTGCGCGAAAGCCGTTAATATCTTGCGAAATATTCGAAATACAGGGAAACGGTATGACACGGGAGCGACCGGACGACGTGAAACGTTCGCGAAGGAAGCTTTCCGTATAATCGAGACTACGGGGGAGGAGAGGAAGACGATATTCGAATGCCCAAAAATCGCACGAAGCTTGCTCGACGAACAAAAGAAAGTAAATTTTTTTAGGAAAACGAATGACAACTAAAAACAGGGAGGAACAAAATCTCTTGTGCGACGTAGCGCGCCTAGTAGCTAAGTAACTGGAACACGAACGAGTTTGTTGTTAAGCGTAAGAATATTATATAGCATTTGAAAAGACAAAACAAGTAACGCCGGATGGATCGATGATGATGATGATGATGATGATGAATATAATAATATTATATTGTTGTTAGATTATGTATAATATATATGTATATGCGCGTGTGTGTATACGTATATACATGCATGTATATATATTTATGTATATATACATAAATTGATACATAAATAAAGTAACCTAAATGTTAAGCGACCACTTGTTCACACGTACACGGACATTGACACACACGCAGACACACACATCGAGCACACAAGAGTTAATCATTTATTTTGCAAAGCGAACAACGGACGTGGAATAAAAACGTATATTTCGATAATCGTTTAAATATGATTTGTTTTTATCGCGTACTCGAAGGACGAACGTCGAATCGTTTGGTCGTTGTGAAACGTAAACTTTACAGGGTTGGCCTTTTTCACAGCGATCAAAGGGTATTTCGATGGTCGAACCCGAGGACGATTATTGATATCGCGACGCGATGAAATTCGACTAACACGCATGGAAATGCAACGATTCACGAGTACCGTTTACACGCAGGCAACAATACAAAGGGATTGCTGAACACAAGTACGAGGAGTCAGCATCTCCAAACGGTAAACCCACTTCTGGGCATGTTCTCGGCTCTAGGGTACGTGTAAAAAATGCATACAGACCTATTTTCTCTATTCGTCTCTCCCCCTCGACCCTTGAAACGACGCGGATACTCTGCAAGCCGCGTTCCAGGAAACGCAGACACCCTGAATTCCGTCGTTTGAATCGTCAAGGGGGTTATCGTCGCCACTAAAAATCCACAGATCGAACGAAACTGTAACAAAGCGGGGATTAAATGAAACAAAAATACGAAGAAACGAAAAAACAAACAAAGAAAGAGAAATGTAAAAGAGAAGTATAATCGAGCTTTCCTCTTCCTACGTTGTACAAAAGGTTCACGACCGTTTCTTTTTGGCTTTCACGGCGGGAGAGAAGGTACAACACAACAAGAGATAAAATAATGAAGAAAACGCGAAAAAAACAAAAAATAAAGAATAAAGAACGATTTTTAGGGGCGAGCCTCGTCGTTATAGCTCTTAATACCAATAGTAATATTACGAGTAATAATAAACAAAAATGAATTAACCAGAATATGCGTTTATGTTATTTAGTTCTAAAAAATGGAAAAAAATGTAATAAAAGTCAATCGTGTTACCAACTCGATCGCCTACTTCTTTCACGCTCCTCCCCTTCGATGCAATAATGTACGTTTTTCGATTTTGCAATTTCGCAACGACCTCAAATATACGTTGGAATTCCAACGATTCGAATCGTACGTTTCGCTGTGCGTGCAATCGATTTTTCGCAACGGTCGATCGAGCGATTTCGCAACGTCTCCAATGCTTGGCATTATTTTTCGAACAATCGACCCGCAGTACGAACAAAACTAGCCAGCGAAACGTTCGAGATCCACGATTATCAGGAGATGGAAAGCAACTGAACCGACGACAAAGATGAGCCATTGCAAGCACAGCTTTTGCGTCTCGTTCCTTTTGGGCGTTCTCGCGACTCGCTCTTTCGTTGAAACGTTTAACGTCGACTTTGAATTACCCGTCTCGACGCCCAACGAGAAATTCTTCAGGTATGTACCCTGAATTTATTTAATAATGATTTATCTATAAAACGGTACACGAAATTAAATCAATAAGAATAGGAAACAGTGTGATATGCAATATAGTTAACAAGCGTTTTCTGAATTGGCTCGGTGAATTTGAAAAAGTATAGCGAATCTAGAAATTTAGTCGACGATATTTTGTGTCAACAATTTCGTGTGCGCGACAACGTTCGAATTACGAGAGAACGACGGAACGTTTCCTGTTACCGTGCGCCGAAAACCATGAAGCAATTTGAGATCAATTTAAAAGCAATCAATAGAATGCAACGGGCCGATATGGACAACGCGCGAAACTCTGGCGGAATGACTCTGCGCCGGTATATGCTTTGAACGAAACGCAATCCAATCTAGCTCCGACGAAATGAAACGTGTACGTGTTTTAATTTAAATTTCAAACCGTCGTCTTTCGCTGGCTGTCATCGATCGTGCGCGAAAAGTGATACACCAAGGGGACCAAATATCGTTGTCGTACCTTGGACGCGCGCCTTGGACGTTTCACTTCCACCTTTTACCGTTTCAGCGCGGATTTACAAAGAAGCGTACGCTCGACGAAAGCTTTGAATCCTGCTTTCCAGTCTGCGGGCCAGAATGTTCGATACGAGGAGAGGAATGACAACTTCCCATTGCCCGGTAAGCTTAATTCTTCTCTAAGAATACCGGTTCAGTTGTTACAGTAATGATTCTTAAAATGAACGTGATTCGTAAATTGAACGCTTCCGTCCCTTCTGAATTCGATTTCTGCGGCGATATCGGTGCGTGTACGCGTCTGCTGGCGTTGAAATGCGTCGAAAATTCGACGTTCGTTTTAAGAATCATTGCTGTATCGCGGTTAATTTGGACCCTAATGTACCGTGCATCCTTCTCGGCCAATTTCGCAGCCGATGCAGTATCCTATGGCCAGTCAGTTGCAGAAACGGCCCCAATTCACCTACACAATGCTTTATGCGTGGGTGGACGCGCAAACGGTATACGTGTTTGTGCGTGTGCAACTGCATCGAGCCATCAACCACCTATGCGGTAGCTCGAGCGTTAGACGCTGCGAATTTACCTTGCATTACTTCAACCATTCGCGTTAATTGCATGCAAACGCTTGGCTCGAACCGTAAACGCTATTTCCCCGATGAGCTTAATAATTTAGCCAAGGACGCGACCCTAAATCCCTTCGGTGATCTTCTTTCCGAACAATAATAACACTTGCTGGAATTCTTTCTGATCGTTGTACAATGAATGTTACATTTTGTTCGATGCAGAGTCCGATTGGATCTTGAAGGAATCGATCGATGGTTCGAGGAGTTCCAAGAGAGACGTGATCGCAGAGAAACGATCCAGAATCGACGAAATCGTCGAAGAGCGTGCAAACGATCGACGAGGCAAGAAGAGGAAAATCGCGAGGAAAGAAATCCGGCCGAAGATCGTGGAGCTGGAAAGCAGCGACAGCGGAGAAAACACTTTTTACGGATTCTTCAAGACGGACCCGATCGAGGGCTTCCCGGAAGGTGACGTTTTCGTTTCCGCTGGCAACTATCCGCGAAACAGCGACTACGATCACGCTCAGGAGGAAGTGAGAGATCCAAAAAACGGGAACGATTATCATCCATCGTACGAAATCGATGAACAATTCGGAAAACCGAAAACTTCCAACGATCGTAGAGGATCTATCGAGCTCTGGGAGGCTGAGACCAACGAACGCGACAGAAACGGTAGATCGAGAATCGAATCGAGCAACGAAGACAACTTGAGACGATTAACCGGTTATCACGAGTCCAGTGTTTCTCCAGGCGATCGTCAAATCGATCGAGACACGTTTCGATTTATCGTCAGGCCTATCAAAGCTAAACAGATCGACGATGGCGTTCGACGTGGCAGAAGGGATAGAAGAAGCCCCGATTTGCGTGCTATACTCGAACAAGAAATGATCAACGAAGACGACGCCAATTCGAAGGATTGCAAGTGTAGGGTAATTCGACGGTCGAAAGGTTGCTCCTGTCGGTCGAAAAGAGGTGCTCCCGAGTCTCTGGAATCCGAAACGGACACGGAAATGGTCCCAGGGCGAGAAATGGCATCGAATTTGAACGTAGCCGACTTGATCTCTCACGATGTTGCAGATACAGAGATATTTTCGGAACTTGGAGACTCGCCCATGGAGACACTGAAATTACAGACCGAATCGAACAACTCTAAAATCGTACGGGACGCAGAGTCCTCGAAGATGACTCAGGAAATCCTAAAAGAGACGGAAACGTCTTCGAAAAGAACGTTCGATCGCGATGGGAACGAGTTTTTTCGTGAATTTAAGGGGACCACGGAACAGAAACCGTCGACTGATATTGCCCAAGATACTGCACAGTATACTTGGAGTAATTGGGAAAATTCTACGCCCCTCGACAGCAAAATGGCGGAGAAAATTGAAGTCCCGGAAACTTCTAGCGCGACGTTCGAAACGTCCACTTTATCGGATGAAGATATCTCGAAGGAGCCCGAAGACGATTCTGATGGAGATAAAACGGAAACGGAAGTTTCGTCCGGGACGCCTGTAAACGCTGAGGATAAGTCCGGAGGTCCCGAAATTGTGTCGTCGAGGAGGATAAAAAACTCTTCGAACAGGGGAAGCAAGTTTGGCGAATCGAAACCATGGGAATCGCGACTGTTCGAAAGGACCAAGTTATTTTTGACGTCGAGGAGGAACCTCGAGAGGAGGAGGGAAAAACAAGCTGTGGACTCTGACCCTAAATTGGGTTCGATCGATAAAATCCGACGGGTTCGAAAGAATCGAGTGCAGCAGATTCCAAAATTGAAAGAGGAAGGGGAGCAGAAGATGTTGCAAGACGTCGAGGGGGAGGAGGAGAGAAACCTGAAAAGGAGGGAAGCTTGGGAGGCGAAAAAGGAGGAAAACGCGAGCAAGGAATCGATGGAAAATAAGAGTCTACCGATAATCGAGATCGCGAGAGCACGGAACGTTCGAGAGAGGATCTTCGATCCGAAAAATCAGCAGAATTTCTATGATTCAGGGATCGTCGAACTCTCCGATCCAAAGGTAGCTGCAACGAGAAGATTTAACAGCAATAAGGAAACAAAAGACGAGTCTTACGTTGCGCTGGTAGAAACTTTGGAGAATCCACGAGTCTTCTATTATCGAGAAAAGCCACAGAACGAACAGAGGAAAAGCGCTCAGGTAATTAATTTTTTTTAACATTATTTGAGATAAAGGGATAGATAAAGTATTTTTATTTTCATAGGTACTGTTGACAAATCCGCATTTCTACGACAACAAACACGAAAGCCTCGAAATCGTTGATGATTCGAGCGAGGAGGATGAACGAGGATCGGACGAATTCCCTGCGGGTCGAGAATTGTACATAATTGACCCTTCCGAGTACAAAGGCGGAGAGCCCGTTTTGAAATTGTACAGGGACAGATCGAAACCCAAAAAAATTAATGCAAAAACGATCTCGCGAAATCCCGTGTTCTACAATCTTTATAAAATTCGTCGAAAGAACGATAACAGAGTCTCTGGTTGGAGAGATTCTCAAGAAAATGTCCAAGAAAATTTGCCAAGGAACCGAAACACTGATGAACTTTTAAGGATTTTAATCGACGCCTTCAATTTGCAATTCGACGACAAATTTTTTGAGAGATTAACGAAACAGGGCTCGAACGGTGATAAAGAAAATGTCGTACGTTCGTTTGTGGCGAAACCGGAAAGCGAGGAAGACGATGAATTCGTAGAGATTCGCGACAGCGACGAAGTCGTCGAAGAGGACGAAGACGCCAACGATAGTCGCGAAGGAAACTCGAACGAGACGTTATCTGGGAAACTTAGCAGGCTTCGAAGACAAGCGCCGGATCAAACAAAGGTGAATATAAAAGTGAATTGATTAACACGACATTGTTCGAGTTGTAATACCAGCGAGCTCGAAGCAAACAACTTTGATGCTACGATTAATTTTGATTTTTATTTACAGGTGCAAACGTTGGAAATTCAAGGCTTGGAGGAAGTTTCGAGCCCGAGGATTCTAAGCGGCATAGACGACGTCGAGAAATCGATGGTTCAGAAAATACCCCTCGAGAAGTATACACAAAAGGAGAATTTGTCCGTCAATTATATTAATGACTGGAGGGATCTAGGGAGAAACGGTAACGAGGATCGAGGATTGCCATCGTTCATAGAGGGCAGCATACCGAAACTAGAAAACGTTGTGATCGATGGCTTGGAGACGGCTAAAAATATCACGGGATCGGTGGAACGATTGATTGAAAATCTGGACAAGAATTTTAACGAGACGTCGGAATCCAGCGAACAAAGCGACTCGGTCGATTCTGAATCGATCGCCACCGATCATAACGCTTTTTATAACGCGATAACAAATGTAAAGAAATTTTTCATGTTCCTTGGCGGAATTACACATATTTTACGAGGATAATACCCTATACTACTACTCCCTATCATTTATCTGTTATTTATACCAATTTATAAGATTTTGTACGATTTTGTAATTTGAAAATATACAATAAAATACATAACATTTCAAACGATTTACGTTCTCAATGGAAATGAAACCCTTTCCCAAACACAAAATCCATCGACTTGGAACTTCGTTGTGCGCCGTCAGAAATGTTTATAAACTCGTTAAAATCCACAGTTGGCGAAAAATATGCTCGCAGAAAATTATTAAGAATAACATAAGTCAGGGGGCTATACTCGAGGCTGACATTTTTCATTGACATAATTTCTCGATGTCCTACGTGTCGTAAACCGTACAAAAACATCGTGCATTTCGTCACGATGCTGAATGACACCGTAGATTTCGCAATAAGGAAAACATGAAAACATGCATGGGATTTTTATTAAATATAGGAGTCGGGTGCCGGAATCGCACAGTTGTCGATCGATCTTTGTACCGTTCACTCAAAATCGGAATCGTTGCAACGGTCTGGCGATCGTTGGTAAATCTCGCGATCATTATGCGTCGGTCAATACTCATTTGGGCGGTGTTTGGAACGCTGTTCGCGGCAATAAGCTCGAAAACAATTGATCCTGGAAAGCACGAGACCCCGGATGCTACAACAGGCGCAAGGTAACCCACGTTTCAATATGAATTCGTATTCGATTTCGATCTCGATCTCCTCGAACGCTTTGTTTACCAAAAATAATTCGATAAATTTCCAAGAGGATGTATATCGGTCTCGGTGCTGTACGATCCGGAGCACTCGCTCATAAATTCTCTTTATCCCGTGCCATTTATCTAGCTTCCCGCCGAGTACATCGGAACATTCTTTCAATTTTTCAAACGAGCTTCCTCTTGGACGATTTGCGGATTACCGGGCCAGTCCGCCGGATTTCAGACGCGGAATGTATGTTAGTCGTCCGACTGCGAAGGTGACGCAAACTGTTAGCGTCAGCTTGAATCGCATTTCGCTCAAAACTCGATTGTCAAAAGTTACCTTGTATCGTCTCAAAGTCGCTTTACATCTTTCAACGTTCTTGAATTCACGGACATTCGTTGCAAGTATTCTTATCGAAATCAGTTATATTTACGGTTACAATAGAACACGATTTTTCTTTTGATTACGATATACAGAGTGTTCCATTACTGGGAAAATTTTAATGGGAGATTCTGGAGGCCAAAATAAAACGAAAATCAAGAATATCAATTTCTTGATTGAGGCTTCCTTAAAAAGTTATTAAAAAATTAAATTAAAAGTTTCCAAATCGTTCTGGAAAAATTATTTTCAGTTGTGGGGATCAAATACAATTATTTTTGGTGAATAGGCATAGCCCCGAAATCCTACCCACTTTCGAGAAAAAAATTCGAATAAGTGATGAAATTTTTCGCCAAATTAAAAAATTTCAAATCGTTCTAAAAAAATTATTTTTAATTGGGGGAGTCAATTGCAATCATTTTTGGTGAATAGGCATACCCCCGAAATCCTACGCACTTTCGAGAAAAAAATTCGAGTACATACTGAAATTTTTCGCCAAATTAAAAAATTTCAAATCGTTCTAAAAAAATTATTTTTATTTGGGGGAGTCAATTGCAATCATTTTTGGTCAATAGACATATACACAAAATCCTACGCAGTTTCGAGAAAAAAATTCGAGTCTGTTGAAATTTTTCGGCGAAATTAAAAAATTTCAAATCGTTCTAAAAAAATTATTTTTAGTTGCAGAGGTAAATTACAATCATTTTTGGTGAATAGACATACCCTCGAATTCCTACGCATTTTCAAGAAAAAAATTCTTTACCGAAAATGTAATTTCTGGGCAGAAATGCTTCCCCGAAATGTCGTGCGTATCTTTAAAACTTCATAACTTCTGAACGGATTGAAGGATTTTAATGTTTAAAAAGGCAAATGACGCGTATTTTAGTGAAGATTATGTAGAAATTCTAACAGTAATGAAAAAGTTGTTCCTTGACCCCGTAAAGTGAGAAAAACCACATAAACATGGTTAAATTTTTAAACAGCCATAATTCCCGCAATAGTGAATATATTTTAATGAAACTTTTTTCCGAAGTAGGGTTCATGGGTACCTACAAAAAAGTATTACACAACTTTTCTGTAGGGCGTCGAACAAAATTACTAAAAATGAAAAACGAATTTTTAAGGAAAATCGACAGGGGGTAGGTGTCTATATTTTTCGACAAAAATGAAAAGTTTCAAATCGTTCTAAAAAAATTATTTTTGGTTGCAGGGGTTAATTACAATCATTTTTTATCATTACACATACCCCCGAAATCCTATCCACTTTCGGGAAAAAAAATTCTTTATCAAAAATACAATGTCTGTCTGATTCCTCTGAAATTTCATGCGTGGCTGAACACCCTGTATATTATTGCATTGGTTACACTGCTAACAAATAATATTTATGAGTTCTTTAACGTCAAGTTTGATTAGACTAGTGTCTAATAAAATGGTTTCCAAGTCAGCTTTGAACAATTCAGTTTATTATTAATAAATTCCAGTAGAATGTGTTGTGAAATGGTCGCGCGAAAACTTTGCTGATCCGCCATGAATTTAAGAACGCTCGAACGCACAATTTCAGCATTCCACGCGATAATTATAAACAAATTCTGTGTCAACGATCCTCACACTTTACGTGGCTTTCCCTTTGCAGACTCTTCACGATTCTTCCGGATCTCTCGATTCGTGACAAACCCGAGGCGAAACTCAACTCTAAAAGAAGTTTGTTGGTTTTGCTGCCCGAAGAATCGCAAGGAATCGTTCGAAAGAGCCAGAAAACTAAGCGATGCGATGGCTCGATTTGCAAGGAAAATGTCGGTAAAAATAACGAGTACATCGTTGGTCAGAGGCCCCCCCAATTGGGCCTCGTTTCGTCGAGAAATCCCAACGCGATGAACGAAGAAGAAAACGCGGATCGTAACGTTGCGTTTGTAAAAGCAATTCGTGATAAACTCAAGTCTCGAGACTACAATGTCGGAGCAGTTCGTAAAACCTCGCAAAAAACCAGCATAATCGACGACGACAAATACGTTTGTTATTGTAGAATGAAAAATCCTCCGATCGTTAGAAAAGACGCGGTACGAGACAAGTCGCAATTGTTAGGTAGAAAATATAAACCAGAGAAAAAGGAGGATAACAGAAAAGTAGTTTTACAACGCCAGAGGCCAATCCACGCAAATCTTCCGCAACAATCGAAAATCGAAAGAGTACCAGTGTTCCCAAACGCGTTTGGATCGAACGGAGACAAACCCGATTCGATCGTTGGGCAACAAGCACCGACCACCCAAGGCCACGATTTCAACGAGGATCAGCAAACTATTGGGCAACGACTGTGCACGCCAAACGTTGCTGAAATACTTTCCCAACCGAAACAATCCGCGGAAAACAACGACCTTCGCGATTATTCCGCGCAGGAAAAGCATCGAGAAGATCCCAGCGTTCCCGACTACAATTTGCAATCTGTGCATCTGGATCTTTCTCAACACACGACGCCCTGGATTTCTCCAAACGTCGACGATGAAATAGAGAAAAATGAAATGACCCAGGATGGTTCTAGAAACGATCCAGAAATTATAAACGCCGCGTCGCCCGCGAACTTTCCCGAGACAGGTCGAACGTTAGATTATTCCGAAATTAAGGAAGTCACGAGCGCGTATTTCACGTCGAAGGCTTACAGCGACGAAACTGACGAGACGAACGGATACGTTGGTCACACCGGACTCTCCGGTTTCGATCAATTCTCTATAACCGGCGACGGAGCTACGAGCACTGCGGAGGATCGAGCTAACGCGGCCAGCGTGCAGAGTCGATCGAACACGCCTACGGAAGCATCGACGAATCGCGAGGAAGTTGCTCCCAAGATGAACGATACCCCTGAGTCCGATGATGCTAGTCAAAATGATGGGGAGATTATATTAGGAAAGAATAACCCGTACTGGAACAAAGCAGAGTCTGCAAACGATCGTTTAAACGCGGACGTAGGTACAAACGTGGAAAACGAGAATCATAATGGGTCCTCTTTCCCTCCAATCGAATCGAACGTGCAAGAGAGGATCGACGATACGGATACCACGTCGAACGAAGAATTTTCCTTGAAAAATGTCGAATCTAAGGAAGAGATCGACGATACGAACGGGGGAAACGAAGAAACAGGTCCGGTTAGTGACTCCTCGATGGAACAGACAACATATTCCGGCGACCCGGGGGACGATTACAGGACGATCGACGTGAATTCGGTGAACGCGGCCAATGAAAATGTCGCAGCGACGATTCAGAGCGGAAACGAATACGATTCGGCCGTAGAGTCGACGCTGGAACCGTTCGGCGGCGTCGACGCTGGGAGAATAAAGGATCCATCGGAGCAAACGTTGCCCTTCTGCGATAATACGCTGCTCCAGAAGTCGATTACAGCGGTAATTAATAACTTCGCGACGAACGACGACTCGTCTGAAACGGTGGGCTCGACGGGGGGCGATCTGCTCGAAGAAATCGTAAGAATACCGAACTTGAAAGGTATTCTCGCCGTTCCTATGATCGAACGAACGATCCTTGACAAGGCAAAGAACCTTCTGGCGAAGCAAACCGGGATGGCTAGATCGAATTTCGACAACGACCAGGCCACGAGCATAATTAGGAACAATTTGCGGAGCATGATGGCCGCCGCGACCGTCTCCGACACGGAACTTCCGCCGATGACCGTCCAAGAGCGTCGATTGAAGAACGGGAAATGGATCACGAATCTGGTCACGCTGGAGCCCACGTCGAACGAAGGGCAACCAATGAGCAGTTTGGACAAATTGAGAGCCACCGTTAGAAACGTTCTCCAGGATCCAGCTATCGGCTTAGAGGCAGCCAGACAACCAGCTGTTCGGAACATGATCGTCCAAAGCGTTCGTAACACCTTTGAACCAACAGATTCCAACGGTGTCTTGGACGAACCAGTAGTTCAGAGTATCTTGGAGAACGAGCTGAGCCTGATGGAAATGGAAGACACGGAAATTACGACGGTGGAAAGCACGGGAGAGTCTGAGACGATCGATGAGTCGAATTTCGATATGGAGAAGCTTTTGCAAATTGCTAAGAACGAGGCAGGCATGGATTCGTCGACGAGTTCGATAGAAACTGTGACGACAATGTCCGTAAGCCCGGAGTTACCGGAAGGAACTGCTGAAAATTTCGTAGGAGCGACCAAGATACTCGAGTCTACGGAATACTTGGAATTATCGTCTGTAGAGACCACTAGTTATCCGGAGGAAAACGAAACGCTCGAAACAGAAGGAAAATATCGCGAATCGGAGTCAACGGTATCAAATCTGGAAGGATCTCCGGAAGTATTCACTCCGTCGAACATCGTAGGTGTTACTTCAAACGATCAAAATGAATTTTCAACTTCAGAAATGCCAGAAAGTACGGAAGGAACGATGGTGATGGAAGTAAATTCCAACGACGACGGTTCCCCTGAACACGATTATACGTATTTAGGAAAGATCTCTATGAAGAAGAACGATTATGATGACGTGCAAAGTCTTCGAAACTCGGAGCTGTATTATGTCGGCGATGGCGTGAAACTACCATTGGAGATAACAAAATTGAACGACGGTTCGTACGCTTTGTCGATCTCCAGAAAAGTCTGTGAACACCTATTGAACAAAGAGTGTCCTTGTTGCGTGCCCACGAAGGGTAACGTTGTTCGTACTGTACGAAGAAATCCGGAAACAATCGAATCGATCGGACGGAAGAGAATTTCTAAACGCGAATCGACTAAATCAATTTTGTCGAACGAACGGGGAGATCGTAATTCGGCTGACGACAGCTTACAGATTCTCTCGATGCCCGTGGAGACTTTTGCAAAAAGATACAATTTGTCTCTGAACTTGGAGAAAGTGCAAGCTCCGTGGAATTTCAACGCGAACGAAAAGATCGATGGATACGCGAACGGTCGGGAGAAAAATGTTCGGGACGATGAAGATAACGCTGACACGGATCTCCTTCGTAATTTGTTATCGGTTCACGCGGTTTCGGAAAATGATAAGCTGGAAACACCTACGGCAGATATCGATACAATGAATCACATGTACCAACTGCGGAAACAAAGAAGATTCGATAAATATCGATATCAGCGTAATATCGACGAGACCGTGAACAAACGAGTAGAAATAGTGACCAGCGTGTTGAACTGGTTAAGAGATATGATTTTAAGCTCGACTCCCGATACATAAACACTTTTCCATCAACTCGAATATTTAAAAACAAATCTTAGTTGTAACATTTATATTTTATACTTTAATATCTTTTTATATTTTATTATATTGATATTTTCCCTAGCTCCCTATAAAGTACAAGTTACATTTGTTTTGTATTATGTAAAATAAATAAACCTGGACATTTAAAAAAAGCTAAATGAGTCTCTATTTTCCTTACCCAATAAAACTATCGATCGTGCCACCTATGATTATGTCAACGCTTTATCACTGAATCGAGTAATTTTTTCCATTAATATTCTTCTTTTTACGCTTCGTTATTCTTTATCGCACAAGTGGATCAGTGATTCATACAGTAATGACGTAATATCGATGATTACTACAAATAGTGTATACTTTGCGATCCATATTAGCGTAAGATAGTTTGGTTATGTTTGGCAGGTGTGAAGGCCGAATGCAGTTACTGTTTTTAACGTTCCTGTCAACGTAGCAAAAAAATGGGTTTGTTTGGAAAATCCCCGGGAAAAAATCCAAAAGAGATGGTTAGAAATCGTAATAAACTCTGGCAAATGCTCGATGTTTATAGAGAACTGTATTTCAGGTTCAGGAATGGACACACAAACTACGGAAAGAGGGTTTTCAACTGGATAGACAGGTTAGAGGTAAGAAGACACTTCTAAAATAATTCACGAAACGCATTATAAAGTCGATGATAATGCTTGTATGCAGCAATCCAGCGGGAAGAGGAGAAAGTAAAACGTGCTTTAAAAGAAGCAGCAAAGAAAGGTGACAAGGATGTCTGTAAAATTCTTGCAAAAGAGATAATACGTGCGCGCAAAACCTGTAACAAGATTTATACCTCTAAAGCCCATATGAACTCTATATCCTTACAAATGAAAAATCAACTGGCAACAATAAGAGTCGCGGGTTCGGTCTCTAAATCTACGGAAGTAATGCAAGCTATGCAATCATTGGTCAGGGTGCCCGAGGTAGCCGCCACAATGAGAGAATTGTCGAAAGAAATGATGAAAGCTGGCATCATTGAAGAAATGTTGGATGAAACTATGGATTCTATCGAAGATTCTGAAGAAGTAGAAGATGAAGCGGACGAAGAAGTAGATAAAGTAAGTTTTACTTATTTATAGAATTCAACGAATGTGCTAAAAAATTAAAATTAATGTTGCAGATTTTATGGGAGGTCACTGCAGGCCAATTAGGCACGGCGCCTGCAGTTGTTACAGAAACTCCTGGTTCTGTAGTAGCATCTACGTCTATGGAAGAAGGTGAACAAGTAGACGATAAGGAACTGGAAGAAATGAAAATGAGATTACAAAGTCTCCGTGGTTAGCTACAATATGTAAATAATTCATGTGTAATATCGCCTTTTTAGTATTAAAAGCAGCTTGCACTTACTAAGTATACGCATACACAGAATGCAAATACAGTAGAATATCTGCCTAGTATATTTTAATAATATTTCTGAAGAACGTTGAAATAATAATTTTACATTGAATAACCAAAAAAAGTTGAATATTGTAACAGCAAAGAAATGTTAATTTTCTTTGTACAATTTTTATATCCAGCTTTTATAATCTACGAGTGATTTGCAGGATACTGCTACAACTTGATTATTAACAAAGTCACAAATACAGAGAAGCTGGCTTCTTGATTATATTACATTGAAACATATACTGCTTAATTTAATTACAATAGTCTTTCTATTGATAAAAGTTGCTCGATTCAGACGTTTGCAACTTCATTCTGTTAGTAGAAGTTTATACTAAATTACAGAAATTATCATAATGTATAAAAATTATGTACCCCAAATCTGAAAATTGTGTTGAACATCCTCTTGGTATTTTGTGCAAATGCATAGAATACCAAGATGTGATTAATAAGTTTAAATCTTATAACTTTGGTACACAGCATTATTTACTACCGAAAATGAATGTTGGTAAGCAAAAATAAAACTACACGTATCACATGATGCGGTAAAATTCGATATTATTTTAACACGATTAATTTATGATAGAACCAATTGCTTCTGCAAAAGTTTCATGGATAAAGAATCGTTTAAAATTAGATGAAGATATTTCGAAACCAGTACTTGGTTATCCTTGTGTGCAATCAAGTATTAATACTTGCAATGTAGATAAACTCTGGACACCTACATTGCCAGATGTAATACCATTAAAGTTAATAAAACTGTCTTGGAATTTATGGTAAATAATTATAATTGTCGTAAAAAATTGACACATATTAATTAAATGAATATTGAACAATGTACATTGGAAAAAAATATACAATTTACAAAAGACACGTATTTAAACAAATTATTTTTATCTTATATTTCAGTATTTTTTTCACAAAAGTTCACTATACAATAAATCATTTTACACATTTCCTTTGCAAAATAATTATTATAGCCTACTTTATGCATATACGTACATATGCATTTGTACATGCATAGATATGTTCACATAAATATACATAAAATTTCATGTAGAATATCAGTTATAATTCTTAACTGATTTTCAAAATAAATTGTCAAATTGTCATGAATTTCTACAGCACTGCAATATTGCTTACATTAAAAAAATGTATATCTCAACAGTTATGTAAAACAAATAACACAAAAATGATCAAAGAATTTGCTACAGATATCATTTGTACTCTACAAAATTTTTTGCTGTTTTAACCTATTATTATCATGCCTATCACCATTCTTTTATAAATATATAATAAAAATAATATATCTTACCTATTAGTGTTTAAAGAGTATGTACCTGGTCGCTTTTAATATACATTAATTATCTATATGTGCATACATTTAAAATATTTATATTTAACTATATACCCTTATAAATACTATCATTTATTTATACCTCGGCAAATTTACAAATGATCAATTACCATATTTACTATTGAAAGTTTCATCTGTGATCTAGCTTTCCTAGGAAGTCTATGCATATGGGGTGCAAGTTTACGCAAAAAATATCGAACTTCGCTCGTGATCGGAAAAACTGTTCTTCGCATTGTTCCTGAAACCTTTTTACGTCGCACAAGTTTCTGTTGTTTCGGAGATAAACATTCTACTTCTTCAAAATCTTGATAAAATTGATCTTCCTTTATATCAACTACTTCTTCATCTAATGCTTCCAACGAATGTGGTAATATAACTTCTTTGTGCACTTCTAATTCTTCGGGAGTCATTTTATGTTCCGTTTCTTCCGGTGAAATTGATAGAAATTCAATTAAATTTGAATCTGCATCTTTAGACTGTTTTATCACAGGCAGTGTAACCGATGTTTGACCATTTTTCATGCAAGCTTGTTGTCTCGTATCAATTTCATTAGAGGTAGTAGGATTATGGATAATTCTTGTTCTAGTTTGCTTTTTGTTAACTTTCACCAGCTTCTGTTGTTCTTGCTCAGGAAGATTTATCTTAATTAATAAACCTGGAGGAATGCTGGATAAACTATGCACCGGGATAGGAACACCTAAGTTTGATATGTCACCAGTGAATGGTAATATCACTTTCTTTATGTTACCTTGAATATTATTTGTAATATTCGAGGTAATGTTATTTGCTATTGTTATAGGTTGAAATTGATCGGCAAATTGAATTTTCCAATTGGAACTAGGAGGAAGAGGCAGCTTTCTTATTACACGATTTTCGATATTATTAGGATCAGGCCTTGGAATGTTAATAAGTGTTGGCCTTTTAGATTTCCCACGTTTCTTTGCAAGAGGTGTAGGCTTATTATCTACCTTTGGTTTCTTACTAGATACTAAAGGTCTTGAAAAACCTTGTTTCTTAATTCCCTTAATTGTACTGGTACAATCAGATTCCTCTATGATATCCTGTTCATCTTCAATTTGTTCTATAGAACGGATAGAGTTTAATTGCGATATATCTTTTATAGTTGGAACTGCATCGCACGGCCCTACTTTATGAAAACTTTGACCCGTTTGAAAATGTTTCGAACAAAGTACTAATTTTCTTATTTGATTCGGGGACATTTTCAACAGATCCTCTCTGCCCAAAAATTGACACCATCTTAAACACCTACCAATCTCATAAGCAGGGAAAGGATGGAATTTATATCTTTCCATTTTATTCAAAGGATCTGATCTTGATCTACCACACGCGGCGCATGCTTGACTTTCTAGAACAGCAGGTGGTAAAGGATCCAACTTTTTCTGTTTCTCCGCAGAACTATACAACTTTGGCTCAGATATAAATTCCATAATATACTGTTCAGATCCATCCAGCTGATCAGGATTGCGGATATTGGGTACAGCATTGTCTACCAATCTGTTCCTATAACCAGGCACAAACTGGGAACGGTCGAAATGTTTTGAACAAATGTAACAAAACAAAATTTCTTTTCTTGTTAATCTATAATATGAATCTACACCGACAAAATCCAGCCATTTCAGGCATCGAAACTCCTCACCAGGAAAATGATGAAAAGTTGCACCATCGTAATCCGAACTCGGTGGATCTCGACGAGAACGACCGCACAGTACACAGGTTATGTTATATAAACTTTGTTTAGGATCATATATCGAAGGTACTGCTGTACCGTTTAATCTGTCGAAATATTCGTTTAGAAAATCCTTTTGCTGGAAATGTTTTGAACAAACCATTCGCTGAAGCAATTGTTTCTTCGTAAGTTTGTATAAATCTTCACGGCAACAGAATTCCAGCCACCTTCTGCATCTAGTTTCATCGTTAACGGGAAGTCCAAAAAACATATACTCCTCTTCCCTGTTGTTTGGATTCATACGCGAACGGCCGCACACGACACACGGATGTGGCATTTTCCCGATTATTTAATATTTCTACGCTTTCGTCAAATGAACGATTTCATCTTGTCACGATACAGCTTAACGAGGCTGATTAACTTCAAATCAGAAATTCCGTTCTGACTATATCAGCTGACAAAATCTCCAAACTTAAATTATCTTCCCATAATGTTTTTATACACGATATGATATCATAATGTCCGTGTAATAAAGTTCAAAGTTAAAATACAACCATTATTTTTCAATCTTTCATGTATCATAAATATTAAACATATTCATCAAGTACACTGCCGCTAAGGTAGATCCAACGATCAAGATTTACTTGAGATACTTTTTCTTTGAAAGTAAGCGTTGAAAAATCACTTTCTTCACGCTTTATTACACTTGTTGCAATTTCATTCAATTTCGTAAGAGGTTATGTTGCTTCTTACAGCGTCTGTCACCTAACCTTTTGTAAAACAGGTCCCTAATCTAGTAGTTGTATTCATGTATGTATGTATGTCATCAACTAACCTGGTAGGAACATAAGAAGACTCCTACTTGCTCCTACTGTCAAAGTATCCCATTAACAATAGAAAAAATATACAAAATGGCAGAAAATTCTAATAATCCGTATGATATTAATGGACAGCACTTCAACCCTGATATGTATTTCCAAAAATTATTAAAAGTATGTTTACTATTTTGTTCTAATTATATTTCATATAAATTTTCCAATAAAAATAAATGAATTTTTCTATTGTAGGAGTATACATTGAAACAAATCATGGATCATGAAGCAGAAATTATAAAAAATACCCAAACTTTACATTCGGATATGCAAACTTTAGTATATGAAAATTATAATAAATTTATATCTGCAACCGACACTATTAGAAAGGTAAACAATACAAGTAGCCTATACCGAATTTATATAATTGCACTTTCTTACTTTGTTCGATCAATACATTCTATGTAATGTTTAGATGAAAACTGATTTCAAAAAAATGGAAGATAGTATGGACTTACTGGCAAAAAATATGGACAGCATTACCACGTTCTCGGAACAAATTTCATCTACATTGCAAGGCACCAGACAGCAAATTGCCAAATTATCTTCTGTTCACGCTCTTTTAAAAAAGTTGCAGTTCCTCTTTAAGTTGCCCGGTAATCTAAAAGACAGAATGAACGAAGAAAATTATGCACAGGTCTATATTTTGTTTCAAACTGTTAATAATATACAATTTATTTCTGTTTGCGATTACAGATATGTGAAAAATACTCTTAATTCTTTTAGGCAGTGCAAGATTATATTCACGCACAGCGTGTATTAAATCAATATGGAAATATGCCTTCCTTTCAAGGAATACAAAAAGACTGTGAAGATATTTTAGAGGAACTTAAATCAAGGCTAAGAATGCAGTTTCATAAAAGAGATTCTTTAACTAAGTCTTTAGCAGAGAATGTGGATCTCTTATTGCAGTTAAAAGAACCAGCTGATTCTCTGTGCATTGAATTTTTAATGCATGCAGATACACGGCTAACAGAACAATTAGATATTCTGAAGGACATGTGTGAAAATGATATTATAGAATTTGTGGACATGGCTAGTTCTGGATTCCTTAGCGATTCGTGTCTCATCGTTGCATCTTACAATGACCTGTTTGTAAACAGACCACCATCGTATGATAATGACTTTACAGATGATTTTGATACTAAAGCAACTGCGCGTTTAAACAATTTCATCATGAAAAACATGAAAAAATACTTTGACTTAGTCGGGAAGAGAGTGGAGAACATAACGGACACAGCAGTTTTAGCAAGAGCATTAGATAAGTTTCATAGAAGACTACAAGCTATAAACATGTTGTGCAAAGAAACGGATTTTGCAAGGTAGTGGAAACAAAACTTTTATATAAAACTTCATAAAAAAGATAAGGCATACATCAAAATATATGATCTTGCTTCCCAGAACCGGTACAGACATTATCATCAATGCAGGTAGAAAACAATGTCGTAATCATCTAGATAATTTAAAACAACACTTGAGCGAATCGCTCGTTAAAGTAAGGCAAATATTGGCAACGAAAGTGTCTCAAGAAGGAGATGGTAGCTTGGCAGAACTTCAAGCATTACTTATCATACCTACCATTGAAAAAGTTAAAGGTGTTTTACAAGATTTATTGGTTTGTTTTTTTATTCTTAAGACACGTTTTGATAATACTTTCGTTGTTCAACATCGATCGATCGAAATAACAAACGGTTTTAGGTCTTCCTACAACCGGATCTGTCGTTCAATGCAAAAATACAATTCCTCCAAAATTTTTGTGTGGATGAAGTTAGAGAAGGGCTGGTAGTTGGATTTTTACTTCATTTAATGGCCACTGCAAGTGGATTTTGTAGTGGATCTGATGTTCCAAAGTTCCCGCCCACTCTTTTACTTCTATTAAGTAAAATGTGCATCGAATATAAAGAGAACAATGTCAAATATCTGGTAGGTCGTGATGAATGATTTGAAAGTAAAGGACGCGATTTTAATAAATTATGTCACCTACTTAAATTGCAGCTTGCAACAACCGACGATTTATTCAATATCGAACGGTATACGTCGTCTGGAAACGCGATTACAACGGACTCGGAGATATGCGAAAATTTCCAGGCAGCGGCACAGAATTTATTAAATCATTACGTTCGTATTCAGGGCTTAGCAGTGTCGCAAATGTTAAGAAAATCTGTCGAGACAAGAGATTGGCTGCACACGATCGAACCAAGAACGGTTAGAGCCGTAATGAAGAGAGTCGTGGAAGATGTAACAGTAATTGATACTCAAGTCGCCGCTTTGTACGACGATTCTGACGGTCAAATTGATAGAAGTAGCGACAGTAGTAGAAAAACTCACAGGTACAAAGTTCGACAAATAGTAAATAACGTTCAATCTTGATAAAATATTGTGTCTCTTTTCCAGCGTGAGCGTATCAAGGCATCACTACAAATCTAGTTGGTCGTCGTATACGCCCAGCCACATAGATTCCTCTTTGGTGACGAATATACATAAATTGTTCTCGGAACGAATCGAAATATTTTCATCGGTACAATTTAACAAAGTGTCCATTCTCACCGGCATTGTCAAAATAAGTTTAAAGGTAAAATATTTTTATCGGGCAGCGTATCGTAATAGAGACAGGTGCTGTCGGGCAGTTACAATGATAAAATAGCACAGCCATTATCCACTTTGCATCGCGAGGATAACGTGTTCTCTCATGTTGCGTACGCTGCATACTACGCAACACGCTTCGTGCACTCGATCTTACCAAGAATCAACGTTTCGTCCGAAATGTACGATAACGATTCCCTTTGTATTTATAGACATTCCTGGAATGCGTCAGACTACGAACATTCAGTAAATACGGGTTGCAGCAAATTCAAGTCGACACTCATTATTTGCAGCTATATCTGTGGAGATTCGTATCGGACGAAAAGTAAGTTCACAAGTATCATTGTTTTACAGAAGCAGAACTTGGTACGGAATTTAATGCTATTATCAATTCTGTTTCAAGCGACGTCCACTTCATGTTGGACGAAATACTTGGAAGTGCTGTTCATAGGTGTTTGGAACCAGTTTTGATGGAACCAAGCGTCGTCGATATTATATGCGAAAGAGGATGAACATAGAAGCGACGTTGACTTTGATCATTATGCATAATATTGTTGTTTCTGATCGCGTACTTTACAGTTTTGTCTAGTATTGTTTGTAAAAGTAACACTGTTAGCTATTTACGGACAATAATACTGTGCATATTCTTGTATATTTCGTATGTAAATATTTTACCATCGATACTGTACATTCAATGAATATACTTCGTGGTAAGCGGTAGGAAAAAAATGATCTTTCTCCGGAGTAATTATTTCTCCTCCATCCATTTATTCGTTTAGCGGGAACGCCTACGCAGATCGAATACTACAGGGTTTAAACGTAGTGTCGAAGCACCGCAACTCAAATAACACGACGTACGATGTACCTTTCTGTCTTCCCTTCTCCTTTTCTTCGCCCTCCCCACCTATCCGGGATAAAATAAACTCATCAAAGTCTAAAGCATGCTATAAGAAGCGGGGTCAAGTGATTCTAATAAGTCTTAATTCTCTATTACATTCTGCATTTTCAAACTTTATTATCGTGTAAATTTTATCACCGCCGCACGGATCGCGTGCCATTTTTGCGAATCGTAAAATAGAAGAAAATGTAACGATCAGAGTTAACCGGTATGAAATAAAAAAAACGAAGCGTTATTGAAACGTAGTTGCAACGCACAAATGTGCAAAGAATAAATGGGACAAGAGTTTATAGCGTATATGGGGTTCTGCTGTACCCCCTTGGCAGTGGCTCGAGTTAATTCGAACTTCCTCTCGTTGGATGAGATTCATTCTCCGAGTATCCGGCGTAGGCCTACGCACAGCATTCTACCCAATTTAATAAACTCTTCTAAATTACTCGGGTCGGGGCTGGGCTGTTCCCTCGCTCAATCATGAATTTCCCTGGAAATCCACGGAAAATTTACTAAATTTTCACTCAGACCCGCTTTGAATTGGATCTCATCTTGGGCGTCGACGTTGCCGCTTAAAAATTTTCAATTACATTCCGTCGGTCGGTAAACGGTTTTGCTTCGCAAAGAGCGATCGAAACCAGGTCGTTCGCACGACCGTTTAATTCGTAAACATTAAAGCGACGCGAGTTACGATCATCTATTTAGGTGGTTTTCTAAGGCGCACGCGAATGCACGCGTATGTATATTCCCAAGAGGAACGATATCATTGCCAGAGGCATATGTGGCACACGTGATCTTAGAAAACACCTGTGCACGTGTGACTTCTGCACGCTACGAAGAGCTGTGTTTCCAATGGCACGTTCATTTCGACTTAAACCGTTGCCATACATAACGTTTCTATTAACGATCCTCGAAATTAATCGTGCCGCTTTCGTACCAACTATATATATATATATATATTTTCGTAAAATCGATCTATAAATAAAATACTAATATCAACGGTCAGGTGTTTGCCGGAATATTTAAACATTCTCGAGCAAGGAGTATCGACGTGTTCCGTTGAACATATGTGAAGGTTCGAGATTCAAAACAGAAGTGTTCCAACGATTATCAAATAACTAAACGACGACTGTTCTAAGTTTGAATTAAAAAAAAAAAAGAAAAAGATATTATTAATCCGTACGTGTGGTCATTTTCGCAGGTCTGACCGTGAATTTAACCCAGACCCAAGAAGAGAGTGTTACCGAATTGATTCGTGTCTCGTTTAAATTTTATTGGATCGGAGGTTATCCTAATTGGTGCCTAATGCACCATCATCGACGGAAGAAAAGGCCACGTAACAGAGATTGTATTCTAATAAAAAGTGGCGAGTTCCCCGGCGGCGTAGATTGCGCTAAATCGATAAAATGGACCCGCATGAGAAAATCGACCGTGGACATATTCACGAGACGGGGGCAACGTTTATCAGAAAATGACCAAACTATTTCAAAGTGCAAGCTGCTGTCGTTCGTGGGCTGTGGCGCATTCGATGGCATAGGGGCGCACCGCATGCACGCATTAATCAGCGAGCTGTCCTTTTCCTCCATTAAACTCTGTATGACCAGCGTCATTCTTCGTCAATTTGCACGACGGACCTACTCACGGGTCCTTCGACCAATTATTTGCTCGACGAACGACATTGTTTCCAGCCTCGGTGTTTGCTGTTAACGATATGCAGATAGGGACGAGATAACCAAAAAATTTCGGGCTCGGTGATTCACGCGATGACCAATCCACTATTTCGACCGATAAATCTGTTTTAAATACTTTGTCTCCCGTATTTGTCGCGCGCTGTTTGCATAAGCGATAATATTTATGTACGTACAATGACGAAAAGAGACAAGGTACGTAGAGCAATGTCTCATCGTAGAATGAAAACGTTCTTCGATCGTTAAATTATCGAGACGAGATTATTATTTAAAAAAATATACGTGACGAATTAAAATTCGGTTTAACGGAGATATTTTGGTTTGTGACCGTAACAATGGGTGGAAAAGACAGACGCTCGTTGCTACGCTTGCAAATTAAACCATCTTCTCAACAGGTGTCTCGAAGCACGTAGAACAGCGTCGATAAATCAAACTACTCTAATGACGAATTACTTTGCTTTGAAGAAAGAAAATTGTTGTTTGATCTGGGTTTCGATGGTAAACTCGAAGGAAAATCGACGCAAGGAGAGATAAGGAAAACGATACGAGCAACGTGCTCGGAAAATTTTGAATCACGGAGATGTATATATATCTGGGCTCGCATTTCTAAGCAGCGCAGTCAGCAGGAAATTGTCCAAGACGGAAGAACTTGAAAAAGCAACTGGGCTACTAATTTGTTGATCTGCGTGCTAAGTAGTGGTGCCGTAGGTGATGTTCTAGAAATTCACCTCGGCACGATTACTTTTCACGCAGACACGCAAGGACTACGGTGGATTTCAGGCGTAATAGAAATCGAAACGTATATTTTATCGATATCGCGAAAGAAATATCAGGTAATGAATCTTCTAGCGTTGTAGTACTTACAAATTGTTGAACTAAGATTTGAAAATGTCCTGTGCTGCTGCTGGAAGGTTCACTCGGTACGGTCGAAAACTTTGAAAACACATTTACACATTAACGATCGTTAAAATACTTTTCAAACGCGCACATTTCGTCAAGCTAATCGTTACTGCGAAGTTGATGGACTTTGTGTACATAAAAATTACTTATTGCACTCGTAAGAAGAAATTTTATCACGAAAATGACCCATAGTGACGCGGGAAATTTCAGCGCCAAAAATATATTGGTTAGCCGGAAGAAGAATCTCTCAACCAATCAACGTCATGGACGCTCATCGGCCAAGCCCGCGATTCTCAACCACGTACTGCAGGCGTCAAATCAAAAATTATATGCAAGAAACATAGTTTATTTAGTTGGATGAAAATATAATATGAAAAAATCTACTTTATTATACTTTAACATATTTTTTAAATCCTATATCGATACGACTTTCTAATAATAGTATTAAACGAACGATAATACTTATTGAATATTCACGATCGATGTGATTCTTTAAAGAAGATAGTTACGAATGCAATAGAATATAAATTATAATAAATAACACAGAATTATCGCAGTTTTTAAGCTGAAAACGTATTTTGAAAATATAGGAAGTACCCTGAACATATTCGAGATGTTTATTTCAGATATATCTCTGCGTTAGATTCGCATTTCCGTTTCGACGCAGGATTCAGTGCGCAGGTAGATAATTCGATCGGTAATGGAAAATTGAAAAGCACTGCGATAGAGGGAATCTAGCGGGCAGTCGTGTCGTCAACCGCGCGATTCAAATCGTGCGCCAAGGCGAGGCAATAAGGACTTGGTCAGCCGGTGAATGGTTTGATAACAAGCGTTGGAAGGCAGGCACAGGGGAGACGCATATTCCCCGTTGGTTGGCCGACCATTCAGTGACGCGATTCTTCACTGTCCGGCACTGATTTCAATTGGTAAATTGATTTGGAACGATGACGAGAGAGAGAGAGAAAAAAAAGAGAGAACGACGATTTAGATTGGGCAAGAGATGTTCGGTAGCCATAGTGTTCAAAAGATGACAAAGAAAGAAGCACACACCATCAGCGTGACCGGGTGTACCGTCACACAGAGCAGAAAACGATGGCGGTGGCAGTGGCAGTGCCTCTCTTGCGAACCGTTAATAGGTACTGAACGCTGGTTGAATGCTTAATGCACCGTGCTTCTAGGATTAAATTGACCAATCATTTCCCGCGCGGCAAGGAGCGGCCAATTACAGCGCTCGTCCGACTATATTAAGCCAATCAAGAACAGTTTATCGCTCAGTCGTCGGTCTGCTGTCGTGCCGCGGGTGTCGTGCGCGTACGTGTTTCCTTCCCTACAATTGTAACTCGTGAAATAATAGAATCGCGTGAGTAGAAAAGAAGAAGAGACTTTAGCCTGTCACACGAGCCGTTCGCAACGACGGGACGCGACGTTCGGCGGTCCTTGCGATCTCGTTCAGTGATAAGACCGTGTATCCTATCTATCCGCTTTCTAACGCCGCGGATCATCGCGAACGTTTGAAATTGCTCGGTTTGACCGGACGAGCCACGCTATTTGTTTAATCGAAAGGAATTTGTCGCTGATGGGCTGTTGAACAAATGAGAAGAAATTGAAAATTGTGCGAGAGCGGGAGATAAGCACGTGAAAAAAGATTTAACCGGGAATGCGTTTTCCACGATGCAATCCTAGTTTTTTTGTACGTATAAAATTTATTCATTATCCTAGAGAAGTATACTTTTTTCGATCCTTCGGGATCACGTTTCGTGCGATTGTCCTGTGTCGTTTCTCTCATCATCGACTTTTCCATTGATCGTTTAAATTTCAAATAAATTGTGTTACTTTTTTCGGAAATCAAGAAAACAGTGGAGTGTTCCTGACAAATTTCAACGATATTCGTTCCAACGTCATTGAAATATCGTAAAGAAACAGCAGTGATTTCGACGAACCAAACGTACCACGTTATTACGTTAACAAGTGCGGAAGAGCGCATCAATGTCCAGTAGTGTCGAATAGAAGTTAAAGGTCATGAGATTTCCTTCGATTGTCGGTCAGGTCCGTTACGTACGTACACAATCGAGCGATGCACATCGTTTTTACTCGACGATAACTTTTAACGTTACCATTAATAACAATAGATAAATGTTATTGACTCTCGCAACATATCATAATTTGCAGTTTCAAATTTATTAAATAGTTTGGAAAACGATACTGGTATCGCGTGTTCCGTAAACTGATAAAAATATATACTTGTTCGGTTTAAAGAATTAGGTTATTTTTATGTTTATGTTTTCGCAGTCACGTAGAACATATAATTATTAACGTAACATTCTTGCAGAAATTAGCGTAAACTAATCGATGGGCACGATTTGGATGAAACTAGGCTAAAAGTCCTGTTTCTTTAAGTGAATTAAAACCCGCTGCCGATGTGTACCGAATACGTTTTCCACGCTCAACTTACGCTTGAAATAAGATCTCATTTTACCGCACATACATATAACCCCGCAAGTATCATTCTAACCTGACACTCGACAAACGTATCGAAGTCTCGAGGAGAGAAGAATATATAAAAATTACGATCCGGGTGGCAATCGCGGACGCGATAAATGACGAAACGTCTCTGGAAAACAAGCGTTTCGTTGTTCCGATTGTGGTTGAGTTGCGTTTCGTCCTACACTCGGACGCGGAAAGAAATATTACAATTTGAGACCGACATTTTGTTATTCTGAAAATGTAACGGCACGCGGTGGCGTGGTTCGGCTTTATCTCTGCGACTTGTTGACCCCGCGCGAACGATAGTGTACAAAAGGCACGAAGAAAGTCTCGGCTCGTGGGTTCGAAATATCCACGAAAGTCTTTCGAATATCGGTCCGTCGACTCGACCGATATAAAATAGGAAACGATCTCTCCGTAAATGTAACCGTAATCGGTATAATCGTGTCTTCTTTGTTCCGCCGCGTTCTTCGTTGTTTTTTCTCTTTGACGTACCGTTCTAAATTTCATACGACCGATGATCTGCTCGACGTCGGTATGACGCAATGTTTGTGCATTAAGTTGTAGCCGTGAACCAGCCGTGGAAAAAACGTAAACTATCTCGATCTTGATTCGAAGCTCGCTATTCTTAAAATAGAATGCTTTCTGTTGCAGCGCGAACAGAGACCCACCGGTGGCCATCGATACTTTGCAGATTTTTGCCAAACAACGAGGTCCGGATTTTCCTCAAGCGTTATACTTCTTTCGGACCACGGAACGGGATTACTTTTTTCTCGCTTGGAAACGTTCCTCCTCTGCCGTCGATTTCTTGGAATTTTTCTCTCGCCGCGTTCCTGTCATCCACCCACAATTTGCGCATCGTTGCCTAATAAGCTGACGAGCTATTTCGCGAACACCCAGAGGGAGCCGACATTAACAGAAATTAGCGTTAATTGGTGCAGTCCCCTCTTCCTTTTCCACTCATCTCCTAACCACCCCCACCCTCCCCTCGTTCCTCGCTGCCCGAGAGCTGTTGATCTCCGAGTCTTTCCCTTTTCTGCGATTCTCTCTTTTTCTCCGTCGATCTCTCGCCACTTTTTCATGCCTCTCTGTCTTCTGTTTCGCTTACCGCACCCGTCCCGCATCCAAACCGAAAGAACGTTCCGCTAAAAGCACGCGCGTTTACTTACAATGTATTCAACATACGCGACAAGAGACGGCCACGCGCGTCCAGTCGTCTCCCCAAAGCCCCTGTGCAACATCTCTACTAAAACTAATCCTCTTTGGCTTATGCGGCTTTGCATGTTAACAACGCAACATTCCCGAAGACGCTCCTCGTGCGTTCGTTTTGTTTGCAAATAGCAGAAAGCTACGCGAAACCGTTCGTAAAGCGTTAGTTTCGTTCCACGAGTTCTCCGAGAACGATCGGATCGGGTCACGAGGTTCCAAAGAAGACTGTTCGAAAAAACCATGCACATTCTCGCCCGGTTCGTCGACTTGCACCACGGCGTGAACTATGAATACGACGTTTGACGGGACGAAACGCGTTCAACAGGGACAAGTGGCCAAAGAAATCAAAGATTCGATTGAGGTTTGCTCGCTCCCTGTCTATCCTATCTCGCGCGCGCACGTGATGCATACATCCCGTGAACGTACGACCCCATCGATCTCGGTTGCATTTCATGAATTCGTGTTCATCCTAATGTCTCGAGTACTTATAAATACACGAACTTTAAGATTTACATGTTTCGTTCGACCAATCAGTTTCTTTCTCTTTTTTTTCTTAGACGAACGATATTAATCGAAATTGAGAATGTTAAGCCGTAGAATCCTTGGACGCGTGTTCGATGCGTCCGAACGCCGCATGTGCCTCGAGCACGAAGAATAAAACGTTGGGACGATCCAACTACGCTTAGCGACAACCTCTTCGAGGCAGATGCAACAGGTTTCAATGCGAGCCGGCGCTGCATCGAGTTCGAAATTTCTCCGAGAGGGACATAGAGGAAGAAAGACGATGAGGCAGCAGTTAGTGGGCGACTTTAATGACTTCTCGAGGTCGCATCAATGAATACCACTGTGTGTCATCGCGTCATTATGGTGTGTACAATATATGGTGTATGGTACCACGTTTAGACTAATAATTATGGCATGTATCCTCGATACCAGATTCGTGACAACTAGGCTAACTCGTATTCACGTACAAACGAAAGGATTTTGTTGTAACACCTTGTTGGTCTTTGATAAAAAAACCCGAATAAGACGATGTAAAACGAATTTTTGATTCACGGCGTCCTCGGTTAAACGACCGCTGATTGAATAATTATTTCGGGGAAAATTTCTGGACAAGAGTGACCATAAGTAATCCTTATCACGTAAATAGGCTAACTTAATTGACTCAAGACTTCTATCCGTTTTGTAAAACGATTACAGCGTGCACGCAGCGAATGCGTCACGCAATATCTATGGGCAACTGTATTCTTCTGCCGATTATCTAATCTCGCGCTAAATTATAGCAAAAAGTGGACAAGTTCTATTAGGATTTTCCTCTGTCTCCTTAATCATCCGTTAATCGCGGCATTGTCTTTCGATCTATATTATCCTCGTACCCTCACAGGTGATTACCAATGTTTTCAAAATGATTAAATGCTTGAACTAATAAATTCCAATGCTAATACTTTGATCTCTACCTACGTAGAACGTACGAGTTACCAACAAGGGCTTCTATTGTATGTACTTCGGATAAGAATGGGTCCAGTGTGGTGGCAGCGTTTAAATTTAAAATGATGTCGTCATAAGCGCCTGATCACCGTTTTATTTGTCGATGTATTGGACCGCAACTTATTTTTATTAGTATTTTACAATATCGTACGATTTTTGAATGGTATTCATTGAATTGTGTTTAGCGCTTGCGGCAATTAGCCGCGATTAACTCTGTTACTTTTATGATTTACAGAAATCGAGCATCACGACACGATCGAAGGATTTTTACGAGTATCGATTAGTCTGCGAGGCGCAAAAGGGGCTACAACGGAACCAGAAATAAATCCTGTCCTGTTCCTAAGTACTAGTGCCGCAGGAGTGATTAGGTTGGGTTAGAAATTACCATATCTCCTGCTGCTCAAGTGCTTATCAATGGGTCGGGACGCACATCTACCTCCAGAGATACGGATCGATACGTTCTGCAAATACCCAAACAGTGCCCGAACTTCTCTAAAAATGAATACTTTGGACTCGTTCATTCGATAATGCTGTAATATTTTGTATTTATAACTGAAAATGTAATTAAAAATAGATATACATAATAAACGTGTACAACAAAATGTGAAATTCTTTCAATTGGAAAAATATTGAAAACATAATTGATTGAGTTATTTTTTAAAATTTAATTTATAATAATAAATACATCGACTTAAGTAACGTTAATCCTATTACAGAGTCTTAACATTTTTTGGTTTCTTTCCAACTTCCATTACCTTTAATACTCCCATTTATAGATGTTAATCTATAATATGTCTTTTAATATTTAATATATAGACAAATAATTATCAATTTATTAGAAGAAACCTTTTCCGATCATTTTGCATTAGATATATTTTATTATTTTGCTTTACTTCTAAGGTATCTATAAAATCTATCGGATAGGAAGATTTTGTAATTAATTATAAGTCTTCTTCGTTAAAAATAGGAAAGTATTTAATACGAAAGTCTATATTTTAATCTGGAATATATGATACAAAATTTTTTTTATAAAAAAAATGTAAAAAATATGTGATTGGAGGAGCTGGGATTTGAACCCAGGACTTTCAGCATGCGAAGCAGACACTCTACCACTGAGTTACACCCCCAGTTGAACATTTAGCCTTCAATCTTGAATATATTCTACGTACGTAAGTGGGAATGTAAATAAAAATAAAAGAATATTTTGTTTTCGATTAAATACATACTATTTTCATCATTCTTAAAATAATAATGTTAGCTTCAAGTACCTGAAATATCGTTTTGTATGAAATATTTTGGATCGTAATGAATTCTTTGCTTATGTTTCTTATTTAATTATTAATCGCAGTACTCAACAAATAGAACGCTTTTTTCATACTTTGCTGATTTTAAATACATAAACGAAATTAGAATGTGCACGTTCTTTATAGTAGAGAATCAATAATTAAGATAAGCTTTATCAATATATGTTATTCCGAAAATACTCAGGCTCGTCGTTAAACCCTACAAATCAGAGGTAAGGACTGGATGTATGAAGGGGAATTGGTTGATAAATTTAAATATACATATTTTGCAACCCTTCGATAAGGGTTAAATATTTTCAACCAGCATGATATGTTGTCACAAACTACTCGTGAGAACTGAAAAGATTAATTCCAGATGAAAAGGAATGTGTATCATATGTAAGATAATTGCAGATAGCATCGAATAATTATATCTTTTTTTAGACTTAGATTTACGAAGACTAATTAAAACGTCTGACCTAACGCAACACACAATTTCTTCCAGGTCTCTGGAGTATCGTTCTGTTTCAATGCCTCTTATCAACCTAGTGTTTTGAAGTGCTAAAAAGAAACCAAAACAGCGGTCTAAATCGAAACGGGGCAGCTAACAGGTGTATTTGATACGGTATTACGTGTCATACAAGGAAACGGAATAGATGAGGCACAACAGGACGAGAAGGTTGTATCTTGCGATGCATTATAGCCTGGCGCTTTAGTCGCCTCGTCAATCGCGTAAGTTAGACACTAGAGTTCCCAAGTTCTATTACTGATGTCGCAACGACTCAATCTAACCTCCTGAAAAAACTAGCAGCGTCCTACTCGAAGTAACTGTCAGTTCACGGTACGTCATCGTAAAGCGATTTCGTTAAGGTTATTTCGTGCGTACTCGTCTCGTAATTAGTTCGTCATTGATAAGGTTCGTTTTGTGTGTGTTAATATTTCATAACCGATTACCTTCGATTTGTTTAACTGTTTCCCACCTTTCAGCGAATCCACATTCACGACACATGGCTAACAGATCGTTGCTAGATGGTAAATCATAAAAATTTGAATACATTCAAGCCAAGGATAAGAATAGTGTCTTAATCGAAGAATTGGAACGGTATTCGCCACGGCATTCACAGAGATGGTTGGATTGGCGGGCGGGGGAGGTCATCTGTATCCCTCGCCCCCAATGCAACCTAATCCAGAGTGTAAGTTCTGATATCACCAATTTTTGCGAATATAAAAAATTGCAATATTCGGTCGATGCAATGTAAATACTTATATTTGTATCACACAAATACTTCTGTGCAGTGAGAGAAATGACAGGTATCGCTCCTAGTGCTCCAACTAGTGCAGATGCTTGTTTAAGTATAGTTCATTCGCTAATGTGTCATCGACAAGGTGGCGAAAGCGAAGGATTCAGCAAGCGTGCCATCGAGTCTTTGGTAAAGAAACTTAAAGTGAGTATCGTTCCTTGAATTCTGCAAATTATATTCAATAATTGAGCCGGAGTTCATTAAACGATCCACATTTCTTTTTATTAGGAAAAACGAGACGAATTGGATAGCTTGATAACTGCTATCACTACAAATGGAGCACATCCCAGTAAATGTGTTACAATACAAAGAACTCTTGATGGTAGGCTACAAGTTGCTGGCCGTAAGGGTTTCCCTCATGTTATTTATGCACGTATCTGGAGATGGCCAGATTTACACAAAAACGAATTAAAACATGTCAAATATTGCCAGTTTGCTTTCGACTTAAAGTGTGATTCTGTATGCGTAAATCCATATCACTATGAGAGAGTTGTATCTCCTGGCATAGGTATGTTATGAAACATATTTTTCATTTGTTTTCTTAGCGAGATCATGTGCTTCGATCCGAGTTATTTTCAATGCATTATTTCTTTGCAAAGCTTCTGTGAATTCATTTGTAGCACCATAAGTGTAAATGATTTATTGTTGTGGCCTTGGTGTATGATGGAATGGGTTGGTTTCCCCCGCACAGACCCGTTCTTTACAGACCTATCTGGGCTGACTCTGCAATCAGGAGTAGGCGTTGGACCAGGTGGTAGATTGGTCAAAGACGAATACTCGGTTGGCGGTGGAGGAAATGCAGCGGCTGGAGCAGTAGGATCTGCAATGGATGTTGACGGGGAAATGAATCAAACCATTCAGCACCATCCGCCTGCACAACCTACTTCGTCTAATAACACTCAATCGTCTCAGCAAACTTTTATACCAGGCCTAACACCGTCTAATCCAAGTAAATACAAATTTGTACTACTTTTTTTAATGATTTTAATTGTCCATTATGACGATATTAAATTGCTATGATGATTTACAATACATTAAAATTATATGTATTTGTCATATTTGTTAGTAATTTAATTAAATAAGATTCTTAACTTAAATGTCTTAGTCCCACAGTTTTCTAATCTATCTATACTATTCCTGCAATTTTTTTGTTGGTAAACGTATTTCCGTACGTAGGGTGTATTGATTTATTCAAAAATGAAGCATGTTTATGTATTCAAAATTCCATAATATTTAATAATGCACTAAAATATATAAACGAATAAAGCTTTGCTATTAAAATTGTAGATTATCAGGTGATTTTATTTTTTTCCCGCAAAATGTTTTTATTAATATTGCTTTGTTCTGTATTACTTTGCGTTGCTAGTTCTATTTAATTTTAGCTTTATTCTTTCTTTTCCCTTTTGTTGTTTGGCACAGCTAGTGGTGAGGGTATGTTTGGCAGTAATGGGGCAGGGAATAATGGTGGTAATCCCCACAATAAATTGGACGACAATAATTGCCCCAGGCAAACCTGGATTCCTACACCTCATCATCCTACAACGCGTAACATTCATCATCGTACGTATATGATAGAACGCTTCTTTATATTCTTACTATTTTCTGTCTATTGCTGATTACTTTTTGTTGCTTGTTGCTAGTATTGCCGAAATTTGTAATAGTTTACGAGATCACGTCGTGTAATTAATTTCAGAGTCTGGACAAAGATTGAGCATAATTGATATTTTGTGTTATGTTGCCTGTATTGTGTACAAGTTACATTTGATTTTGCAGCAGTAGTACATCCAATGAGTCACACCGTAGGTAGCCAACAACAATCATTGAGTACATCGAGTGGAGGCAATGGCGCGCAAATGCTCAGTCCTTCGCAAGGACAATCTACCGAAGCTTTTTACGGAACTAATACACCTCCTCAAGACCTCAATCAACCTCCAAGCGTCGATGCATTAACAGCATCTTTAGGTATGTTGTCCTATCTCTATTCGCAATATTGACTACTAGATGCCTGGAAAAATTCATTTTAATATTCATTTTTATTAGGTGAGGGTCAGAGTTCTCCTGTATCACCTGTACATATTCATCATCCAAATGGATTTCCAGTCGGTACAGCTGCGTACAATTCGGGAGCACCACAATGGACTGGAGCCAATACTCTCAAATATCATCCTACTTCTTACTGTGAGTCGGCGAGAATTGTGTTATTGTAATAGTTTTTTTAACTTAAACTCTTGTTAGGGGGTGGCCACGGCGGTGAAGTAGGCGGGAACATTGGTGGTTTACTCTCTACACAGCCAGCACCGGAATATTGGTGTTCTGTTGGCTATTTTGAATTAGATACGCAAGTAGGTGAGACGTTTAAAGTAAGCAGCGGTTGCCCTACTTTCACTGTTGATGGATATGTTGATCCAAGCGGCGGTAATAGATTTTGTTTAGGAGCATTAAGCAATGTACACAGAACAGAACAAAGTGAAAAGGCACGTCTTCACATAGGTACGCGCACTTTGATCTTCTTTTCTTTTTTGGATCGTAATAGTCGATTATAACGGTGTAATATTTTTAGGGAAAGGAGTTGTGTTAGATTTAAGGGGTGAAGGAGACGTTTGGTTAAGATGTCAAAGCGAACATAGTGTTTTTGTACAGTCTTATTATTTAGACAGAGAAGCAGGTCGTGCACCCGGTGATGCAGTACATAAAATTTATCCCTCCGCATATATTAAAGTTTTCGATTTACGACAGTGTCACAAACAAATGAGAGGACAAGCCGCTACTGCTCAAGCCGCAGCTGCGGCACAAGCTGCTGCTGTAGCTGGTCATTTAACGCACGGTGCACCAATTACTAAAAGTTCGTATTGCATTTCTTTTATTCGTTGTTGCAATTTCGTATATACCATTTTAATTTACAATTAATTAATTAATTAACAGGTCTGAGTGCAGCAGCTGGTATAGGCGTAGATGATCTCCGACGACTCTGTATTTTGCGTTTAAGTTTTGTAAAAGGTTGGGGCCCCGATTACCGTCGACAAAGTATAAAAGAAACTCCGTGCTGGATAGAGGTACAAACGATTTCAGTTAGCTTGTTCGTTCACATTCAACAATTACAAAACAATAATACTCGTTGATTTCGTGTAGGTACATTTGCATAGAGCTCTTCAATTACTGGATGAAGTTTTACACACTATGCCAATTGATGGTCCACGGGGAATTGAATAATTTTATTTAACATTGGATAATACATATGATACAAAAAAAAGACATCACATTACTACAGACTCTGCATCAAGTGTGCAAAATGTATAAAATGCATACATATACGATACTGTGTGGTATTGTTAAAGATTTTTGGGGGAAATCAGCAAAAGATGTTGGTTCAAATGAAAACAGTGCGAATTTTATGTCCAAAAACTAACATAGATTCGCATCGCTTAGGACTTTCACTGACATTTTTTATATATTTTTCACACATGATTTGCCGCGTAGGATGAAATGTGTGCCACGGCCTTGCATTACCGTCAACGTACAAACGTTATGCAAAGGAAATATTATTTTTCTTTATGGAAAGTTATTTTTTAAGAAGAACGGAGTGCATCTAGAAGAAAAAAAAGGTAGGATGAAAGACTTCTATTTTAATAGGCAGTCGGTGTCCGATTCAAGAGAGAAAAAAAAAAAATAATACATTTTCCATGGCATGGCCTGGTGAGCTCAGCAAAATGCGTGAGTAAAACGTGATACTTTCGGAAACGTTAATAGTCATAATCTCGTTTTTTGAGATTAGCTTTGTAAGATAGCTTAACTGACATACATCCTACTTAAAAAAAACAATGACAAATTTTAAGCTCAATGTTTATGTTGAATATAACAAACAATGAAAAAATCGATTGTTTATCTGTGCACAGTAGGAGGTTTTCTAAAAGTGCAATATGTTTCAAAGTACTGTCGGATAACAACTTTAGTATGTAGTATTACAATAAGTATAATATAAGCCATTCTATAACTATGTAGTATCAAAGGAAAAATATTGGTAGTGTACAGTCGAGCGAAAAATCTCTGCATAATTGAACATTAATGGGAACAATAATATTGAGAAAACTATATAATGTACTAGGGAATCATATGTTTATCATGTCCGTATTAGTTGTATTGGCAGTAGTTTGATACTGTGCTATTAGAATAACCTTCTATATTGTCGTCTGTTTTATAATTTACAACCAAAAAATATCACTACACGAATACCTGCAATGTTTGGTTAATAATGATGTTTCATGTCTTCTTCTTTTTTCTTTCTTCTTTGGGGGGAATTTTTTTTTTTTTTTAATTTTTTTTTACATTACTTTTCCTCTAAGGACATGAATTAATTCTGTAGTTAGTATTATTATACTTATTATTAGCGTAGTTGTTAGAGGCGAGACAAATTTGAGAGCGTTTAGGATGTAATACGATTTTGTATTTGAGAAATCAAACGAGGATCGATCATGTATTTGTCATATATCAGCTTGAATTTAATTGTCTCCCTTCTAATCAACCACCAATGTTACTACTATTACCATGTAGTACTTGTTGAATAATTATATTTACTGTTTACCAACCATTTTATTATTCTATATTCGTACAAAATATTCTTATATTTGATAATATTATCATACAAAGAAAAATTTGACCAAATTTTATACCTACCCGCGTATGTGTGCATATGTATGTGTATACAACAGCATACAAGATATTATCTTGTGTTTCACTTATTTTAGGCAAACAGAACAGTCCTGCTTTGTTTTTCTAATCAATGCACATTATAATATTCGAAATTTTTGCTTCTTTGTTGTAATTGATTAAAGATTATTATAGTTGTTTGCGTTCATGTTGTTCTTACGTTTCTTTATATTTATGATAAGTTTCATTGACACAAAGGCGAGTGGATTTTTTTTATATATAAGCATGCCTATCAGCATTGTATTAGAAGTAAAGAACAAGTTAGTCTTGAGCAAGCAACGTTCAGTTATTGCGAGATGCTTTGTTTTTCTTGCTGTGAAAAGTTACGTACCATTTTGTGTGACAAAAACGTGATCGAAAAAAAAAAAAAGGTTTATCAATGCCGTCAAAATGGCACGATCTAAGGGAAAAGTGCTGAGATGAAAGGGAAAGCAAGGAGAATAGTGTTATAGTAAAAGTAACAAAAGGATGTGCATTTTTTAACAAATAATAAAACAAAGAGTAATTTTATTGACTAAATTAAATTTTACTATGATTGTACTTTAACGGTGAAATTCATGGGACATCGTTTCCATGGATTTTCTGTCTACACCAAACAAAAGATCTAGAGCTCAAACAAAAGAGGAAAAAGTCGCGTTTAAGCATACTTACCATCAAGTTCGCTTTAGAAACACATGTGCCATCATTTTCATACATACCATACACAAAATAACGAACAAATAAAAGATTTTTTATAAATCCTATTTTTTACCAAGCTCACGAACTGCGTATTCAACATATGTTTAAATTGTGATGCTTCAGTACGTCCTAAATCCATAGATTGTACGGGATCCAGAGAAACAAAAACTTTGTATATCTACATTAAGTTGAATTAAATGTATGCGAGAACGTGATATGTATTGCAAAAAATTGATGCGTTAAAAACCAATTGTAGCGCTCGTAATTACTGTAGGGTTCATCGACATATGCATATGAGATAAGAAGAATAATTGATACACGAAGTATAATTTAAAACTCGGAAATTTTACAACAGAAATTATTATTAATTAATTAAGAAATTATTAAAACAGATATTTTATCGATGTCTCCGAACAATAGTTTCGTATATATATTAGAAAACTGGTATCAAAGTGCAATAGCCCTGTCTCGTGTCAAAGGTACCATAATTAATAGTTGTTAATGAAATGCCTATGTAACTTACGTTAACGATTAAAAAATGATAACGGTAATTTAATAAGGGATACTATACTCTAATTATTATTGCTTTTTTCACTTTTATCAAGGTAGTCTATGCGGTATAACTTGCTATTTAAAGATTTTACCAATTCGCTTAATGTCACAATCAATGACGAAGCCTATACTTTTATCGTTTAATACCTTCTATATAATTTTACCATAAAAAGTAACATTTCAATCGTTATTTTTATTCGATCCTCGTCGATCGAATTCTCGGACTATTTGTCGCTATTAATTTTGCTTCGATTTTAGACATAGTGATGTATTCTAGCGCGAGGCTTCGTCGTTAATTACAACTATTGAGACTCAAAGACTTGTTCTTAAACTCTAGGAACATATACACAAGCACGTACAATAAATATCAGAATAGATTTATACATTTACCATTACTATTTGTATCGATTAAAGAATTATCTGTAAAGTAATATATTAATACATTTTTTACTAGGCTTTACAGACGTGACTTGAACATAAATTGTTTTATAGCATACATCTGTTCATACGTTTGGAATAATCGAGTCTTTTGAAATTTGATCGAGAAACGGCAATCTAATCGTGATTAATTTTTTTTTCTTTTCAAACAAATCATGTATGTTTAAACCAAAGATTTCGACGATACGATTACATTATAACGTGTCATGGATATGTACGAAATGTAAAAGTAATTATTCTTAACAAATGTGTCGCAATACATAATGCAAGTAGAGTCGCATGTAAACATTTTTTAATCGTAGATTCGAACACAATTTCATTCGGGTGTAGATTTTCAAGGTGTTGGAGTCGGAATGTCTTGGCGAATTCTACAAATGTATGAATCGGAAAAATTATAAATTATTAGTTGCGATTATCATCTATACAGGTAAATTATACACGCGATTTCTGCACATTTGTAAAACTACGACGATAACGCATTATTAGATTGTTGAAATGAAATTTGTCTACATACGTGCCGAGTGTAAATTGTAACAATGTGGTTAAACAGGCTATGAAATTAGAGATAGTTATTACAACGCCTGTGCACCATGTTGTAAAGCACATATACTAATGAAACTTGAATGGATGTGTTTACAAACTTTTTGTTATTGTATATTATAAATACATTACATTATATACGATCATTTTCAATAAACATATTCTGTGAATTAGAAAGATTTATCAAATTACATTTTACAAGGAAGAAGTAAACATAGAAATATGATTCTGATACATTTGTGTTTATTTAAAAAAGAACTGCTTAGCGTATAAGTAATTTATTATATAATTTACACAGTAGTTTCAGAACAATTGCTAGTCTCTGTTGGTTTTGTATAATCTTTAATATAAAAACTACCATCAAGAGCAATAGCAGCATTGGGATCTACGATAGTTTTTAATGCATGTTCGATAGCTTCATCTATATTATCACGTGTAATAAATGTTTTAGCTTCTTCTTTTGCAGTCCTGATCTCTTCGTCTACTTTAGCTTGAAGATTTAACATTCTTTCTTCTTTTGCGGCTAGTCTGCTCAAAATATCATTCTCGCGTGCTTCCCTTTCTTTAGCTAGCCTCTGTTCTCGTTCTAGAGCTATTTGTTTATTCCATTCGTCGTTTACTTCGCAACATTTTAAGAAATCTTCGTCAAAGAGTTTTGTTTGTACGATTTGTTGGTTCTGCATAGTAGCAATATTATCTTGCTTACAGAAATAAGATCTAAAACGAAAAGAATGCTGCATTTTCTTAGATGTTACAATTTTATTCTATAGATATTAAAATTATCGATAATGACGTACTTCAATGATTTCATATACGTTCTGTAGTAATTGCTTAAACATTTAAGTTCTTCGTATTCTTCCTTAGGTATAACTGGTTTTACAGGTATTCTAAATACTTTCGTCTTTGCCGTGGGTAACCAAATTGGCTTCTTCTTCCATCGTACACATTGAATACAAGGTCCATTTGATATCAAATGGTTGTAGCCGTTTAAATTTCGTATTGTTAACACAGTAGTACTCATTGTCGTTGGTATTCGTATCATTGCTTTTAATTTATGTAACGATCTATTCCTTTCAAACAATGTATGAGATTGTATTACATCGGAAAATACATGTTCAAAATACACTATTTTTGGAATAGTACCTGTAATTTAAAAATCTTATACTTTTTTATAGACAATGCGTACATGTATAGAAAAGTCCATTAACTTTGTCTAAGGAGAAACGGTAATCTAAACACATTTCCCTTTTTCTTCTCATTAAGTTTCCAGTTACTGCTCGGTTGCCATACTAGATGGCGTATTTATTAAACTGAATTTTAACCCGCGATCAGCACCGTCTGTTTTGATCGACAGTAACTGTCCTACAATACGCGTTTTAGACGAAGATTCGTTTTTATTCTCTCGACCAACTATACTACTTTGTAGTGTAGATAAACAATAATAATCTTGTACGAATTTTGTTGCTTGTAATAAGTTCAAAGGAAGAATACAAAAATAAATTTCAGAATTCGATTGTGATTCATACTACAGACGAGATATAGGGTAGACATAGGATGCATCTTATGGAAATTGGTATAAAAATAAGGTATTGTCCGTAGTGTTAAAAAAGAAGATCATTCCGACTGGTTGGCAATGCATCAACACACGGTGCGCAGCTTTCTCGGACCGAGTACGAAGGTTCGAGAACCAGTCGACAGATGGCGCTTCGGTCCACTAGTCGCTAGGCAAGCTCCTGTTGCAACGTGGGCTCCTCATAGGTGTGAACCACGGCGCCGCGTGCCGACGCAACCCACTGAGCTGACGCTGCCGCAAGCTTCTTCTGCTAATTGCTCACCACCGAACGCAAAGGCTTTGTGGAATATGATCCACGAACGCGTGTGCCCATCGTCACGTCGTTGTAAACGGAAGCAAAAATTAATGGCAGCGGTGGGATTCGAACCCACGCCTCCGAAGAGACTGGTGCCTTAAACCAGCGCCTTAGACCGCTCGGCCACGCTACCGTTGAAATCTCAGTTTACCCCAGGATTGTGATATATACACATTGCTATGTTACAAGAAGCTATGCAAAAATATGTGATACTATCTCGCCGAGAGTCACTTCATCTCGAACAGGTATGTCAAAAATTTGACTCTCTCGTACAGGCCTTTGTTTTCAAGTAAATCGGTTTTAAAAATACTCCATAGATAATAAATCCGAATCGTATTTGAACAAAGGACCAAAGTTTTTACAATTATCACACGATACAATTATTGTCAGCAAAAATCGAATTCTAACAACGATTAATAACATTTAGCGATACTTTTGTGTTGTTTATATGGTGTACCCAATATTTTTATTTGAAGTATCGTTATTTACAATTTTATAAGTATTAAGTATTTTCCATTTTAAATGATTTTAATGTGCCGGGTACCGACCACCATGGTAGTCAACCTGTTAACAAAAAAAGAATCTCGCATTATTTTTCAGTTGATAGAGCTATATTCACGTGATTCTTTAAGAACGCCTTCAAGAAGATGCCGGTGGAGGTGGTCGCGTATAAAGCAGGGTAGGTTGTGTGGTGAGTAAGTGGTCCATATATAGAAGCGCCCCCACGGTTACCAACACAAGCACGTACCTGTCACGCATATATACGCAGCACGAGGGCCGAGAGCACACTTTTTGTGCTTGAGTGGATTAAGGCTCTGTCGACTCGACGACTCCTTAACGTTTCGGTAATTGTAAAAGAACGACTGCAAGCCACATTCATCATGCCTGGACGTCCTCTTTGGCAGGTGAGTAACGTTAGAAAAATTGTCGGTTTATTACGCGTCATACTGGACAGTTAGTGCGTCTTCGCGTTGTAAAATTATGAACGATATAAACAGTGCCAGTGGTACCGATACGTACGCATAACCTTCAAATAGCGGTTCACGTTCGAAGTCACGTTTTCCAGTAAAACTGCAAATCGATTTTTACGACCGTGATCTTAGGTTATAACGAAATATCGTGATAACGTTGAAAGAACGAAATATCCATCATCGGTGCGTACGTTTACTTACGGGAAAGTGTAATCGGATCGAAGTAGATATTGTATTTCATCGTAATGTTGCATTAAAGAATTATTGCAATTAAGCTAGAAAACATTTGTCCGCCGAAATTGATTCGTACCGAAAATTGTCGTGCATTATAAATGCGTGTGATACAATGGAATTTGACGACGTTCGTACAGACGCGACTTTCTATTTACTTTCTGTCGTGATCCTAAGTTTCACGGTCTGGTGCATCAGATGTCAACTTGAGGGCATTATTAGTGTTCCGTCTGGCCTTACTAAAAATACCCGACGGTGTTTATATCCCTTCACCAATATAAACTAGGGTTCTCTATTCTACGGATACTGGATCGGGTATTTATGTAATTAATATATCCGTAGTTTAGTTCGTTTATAAAACATAAAGAGATAGAGATTTAATCATAATCTTTGTTCAGACAATCGGGTAGAAATACCAAAGTATCAACATTTTCTGACAAAATAGACCATTTCTTTTAGCTGTAACAATATTCCCAGGCATTGTATGATTAACGTATGCGTTTTTTTTTACCACAGATATACATACATATGTTATAAGTTGGAAGACATTCTCGTATACGGATAATAAAATTAATAATTATACGAGTTTAGGAACATAGATTTTTAAGTCGTTAATTCCGCGTTATAATACATAGTTTCCTTGTACACGTATCCTTCCACAAGTCCATCTATTTCGAACATCTGACTCACGGCATACATGTCCAGAATATTTTTACGAGTTTTCCTTAAAGTGATCTAATTCTGGAGAGGTTATAAATCTTGAGTCACCGAATGCACTGCTAAACTAATTTTGATTTACACGTGGGACCACAACGTGTCGTTCTTCGCGAAGGTCGTTTCATTTTCATCCCTGCTTTTCGTTCATAAATCAACGAATTTAACGGCTTCCGATGTCGCGAACGAACGGATTCGTGTCGCGTGAACGCGTTGATCGGGAAATTGGTCGCGACATGTCTCGCGTTATGAAAAATCGAATACAAGATTTCCTTCCATCGGAAACTTGTTGACAATAATCTACATACGTATTAATTTATTACATTTTACTGTTATTGCTGTACCGTATGGTGGGTCTAGCTGGATTCGTGCTGGTACACCGTGCGCGATCCAAAAATAATTCAAAGGCGCCGTTACGTGCCAAGCTAAATAAAAGTTTCAATTAAATTTTGCAATTTGAACATGTTTTTCTTACCTACGAGGGGAGTGGGAGTGAAACTTGAAAAATTTCTTTCGCGATGACAGCACACAAGTCTCGCGGCTACGTTTATTTACAAACAAACTGCCCGTTATTTTCGTAGTTGGCGCGACGAAATTAACTCGGCCAAGTTGAGGGTGCGCTCGAGGCCTCCGTGAACGAGATAGAAATCCAAACGAGCTGGAACGATTCTTGGAACCGCATAACTGCCGAGAATTTTGTGCTATTCGAAATTTCAATTTCAATTTTTTTAAATTCCACAACGAACGAAGAATGTTAAATTGGTTTGGAAAACACCGAAAATTGACCGACACGGAACGTTAACACATTGGTTTCACAATTTTTGCAAATCGTACAACACGTTATTTTAAGACCAGAGTCATTATTGCTACATTAACCGCGAAAAGAAGCGTGTATTAATGTTTCAAAAAGTTTGGCAAGGCCTGGTCTTACGACAGAAGAATCTTCAATTATCGCGGTATCTTTCTTCGCCCTTGTTTCTGTAACATTGCGTGGAAAATATAATTCGAAAGAAGTTTTTACGGTTTCAAAATTAGTTTCGTTGGCCTAGAGAAAATAGCTCTATATAATTCTTACAATAATCAAGAATTATTATTAATTATTTTATTTGAAAAATTTTTTGTAGATATTCTGAAGATTTAATTATTAAAGTATTTTTTTTACTAGTCTATTTACCCTAAATTAACGATGAAATTTCAAATATATTTTAAATAATTGCCTATTTAATAGCAGGATTAGAGTAATAATAATACAGATAATAAAAAATAGCAACACTGCTTCTTTATTTGTTTCGTTTACATATATTATTAGCAAATTACGACTGGACAATTGGTTGTATATATTAAATATATAAATATATATTATCGATTCGAATTGACAAAATAGATGAAAGACTCAAAGTCTTGTTTGATCCTTTTTTTTTTAATTTTACGTTGATATTACCGTTTATATTTTTAATCAAAAAAGGGTTTAAGTGGCTGTGTATGTGTATTTGTGTAAATGTGTGCGTATGTGCGTGTACATGTGTGTATACACTGTTCAGCAAGTATTGTATAATGTGTAATGTGTAAAGGTACGTCGTGAGATTGCATTGATCAATTAATATCGCTTATTTTTATGATACATCGTATTTACGTACACAAAGAATACTATAACATAATACAATTCCCGCAACGTACTTTGATTAACAAAATTGGGTGTGTTTATTTTCCTCAACGTTTCCGAGATTACGTATTTCTAAAATGTCCGTCGAGATAATCGCGGACTCGTACGAGAACATCTCAAATCGGTGGTATTTTTCATTTGTAGCACTCTACACCTATATATCGATCGGAAAGATCACGTTTACATATGTCGAGTGTTGCCGAATCCTCCGTGACCAGATTGGCTGGCACCTTTGTTGTATCCCATTTGTAAATTTACCTGTCCCTCGCTGGCCCGTAGCTGTTCCTCCGTGAACGTTCTTTTGTTTTCGTCGGCCATTTTCGGCCCTAGCCTTGGTCCTTGGTACTCGGGGTGTTTCTGCGTCTGTATCGAACAAATAATTATGTAGATACGTACGATAAACAAGGGATTTTCGATCCAAGACGATGGACATTTTATTAAAAAAAATTAACAACCCCTTTCAAAGTTTCAAACAGAAATCTCGTGACTTATTCAGATACTTACGATCCTACCAAGCGCGTACAGGCAAAGCGTAACTTGTGGGATGTTGCGTCTTTCGAAGAGATCGGCCGTCTGGAAGATCTCTTCTTGTGGGACACCATATTCCTTAATGGCGGCTTGAAATCTGTTGGAAGATGATGGAATTAAGTCGTCAACATTTTGCCATTTTTTTCCCCATCCGAAAGTCATGTAATTAACGCTTCTTTTGAATATACGAAAGAGCGAAGACACGAAGGTGGTCTATTTATAACGGGACACCTAGTATAGATGTTCCAATTCAATATCCAAAAATACCACGCACCTCTGAACATTTTCCATGAGCTGGAAATTGGTTCCTTTCGCCTGGATCTTTTTTACCGACCCTGGCGCCAATTTGTTGATGAGCTTACACAAAACGACGCCATCTTTCAGTATGTCCTCGTAGTTTCCAGGCGGGAGCTTCTCGCCCAAAACAGCCTCGATCCAGGCCAACACCTCTGTTTCTTGTTCCTTGTTGCGAGCCTGAAAGCAAAACGTTCGTTCTTAGTTTCATTTTTCCTCAATTAATCTTATAAAAATATTTTCAGTTATTTGCGTCAAAAGACATCTTCTAGTCGAAATAGTGATAAGGAATTTCTTCAACTTTTAATTTTTAAAGAAACGAATAAATTGGAACAGAAAATACGTTATTGAATAAAGATATTTCCCCACCACGAAACAATTACTTGTTCCACGTTGTGTGAACAACGCGAACGCGTCGGTTAACCTAACCTAAGCTATTGGAACATGTAAAAATCTCGGAAATGGTTCTACGAAGAATTCGTGGCTCGACTAACCCCTTAAGCGTTCTAAAATTAGATCGGACGATCGATGGATGGCGAAGGGAACTTGAGATGGTCCTAGCGAAGTATCGACGGGAGATTTAAAAAACTGTTGCGGGAGTGGGAACGGAAAACGGAAATAGATCGCGAAGAACGGGTGTTACATTACCGGGACGTAATACGAACATCGAAAATAAAATACGTCGGCCGATTCGTCGGCTTTTATTAAAACTGGCATGAAACGACAACGTTCGGTTTGCTGGCCACCTGTTTCCGTGCCGTGTGAACCCGCGTGAATTTTACAGATTTCTAGTAAAATCGTTCGCAGGACGAAATTATACCGTTGGCAGATTGACAATGATTTCACTTCAATGCCTTCCCTTTTGGGCTATTAGCGTCGCGGATACGTATTCACGATTTTTCGGAGGTTAGGTTTGGGTTAGGATTTTAAACGAATTTTACGGGGGTCGTACGTCTGAGCGAACGAGAAGAAATTCGTGGTTCCTGCGCGTTAAACGTAAGCAAATTTTGTTAACTGCTTTTACAGTGATTTACGATGCCAACAACCGGTCATCCAACGTAAATGAAATCTGGCATTCCTCTGTTCCCGATAGATCGGTATTTATAGCGGGGATCAGCCTCGATAATTCGCGAAATTAGATCCTGCATATCGCGGTATGCTATTCGGGAATTTGTTTATACGCTGTACGAGCAAACGATAGAACAGCTTTGAACGGATCCGTTCCGACGTTCTAGATTTCTAACCGCGGACGATCGGCCATTCCGGAGAGAAATCTCCAGCTTGTCTGCGAAGTGTCAAGCCATCGGGAGCAACGTGTTCCTCGTCGAACTCTCTCTCGAGGTGTATTTTAAGCTTCATTCTCAAGAGGAACGACGATTCTCGCCGGTTGGAAACCCCGGTGTATCCGTCTCCCGAGGACGTTTAACGAACACGACACGTGGTGCAACGATTCACTAAATTTAACGTTAAATTGGTCAAGTCGAGCATTCGTGACCCGAGACGCGGCGTTAGATCGCGGTACACATGAATGGGCATTCTTTTGCGCGGCGCAGAACATAACCTTACTAATTGGTTCGACCATTCTCTACGGTTTATCAGATATTCGAAATGTGATCTTTTCGTTTGGCATTTCCCGACAGCGACAGCCACGCGTAAAATGATTCTACATTAAACTTTGAAAAACTTTCGACGGACGAATGAAATATAAGATTCACCCTTCGCAGAATGATCACCATCTCTAATTTTATTTCTTATATCGTGTTTCTTCTTTATTATTTCGCTATTGTCTTTATTATTATGTTCGTTACGGTAGTGTATATGCTCTATTATTTCCCCATCTCTCTTTTTTAGGTTACGTTGTCAAGTTTACGCGTAATAATTTCTTTGTACGGTGTACGAGGCGCGCGAATTAATAAAAAATAGTAAAAAATGTTGAAACGTTCGTAAAATGTATTTTCATTAACGTTTGATCCCGTTCGCGTATTAATTCCGTAGTTTCGTGCCAATTTTACGATCGATTCGAAAATACACAACGTGACATAGAGTCGTAGGTTTTAATGTCATGTTGCTAAAACCTTCCGAGAATGATGCCGTGTGCCTTTTCTGAGACGTGAATCAGCGGAGACAAAAGAGGAAAAGTGTCGGGTGTAATATTTCATGTGTGAAATGTGGCCACACCGTGAATACTCTAGAAGTTAACCTTTAATTTCTGCAGGCTAATTTTACCAAGACGATTGGTTCCGTGTTGTGATTTTTCTGCCAGCTACAATTGGATACGGTTATTTGTTATCATTCTCCACCGTATTATTTTATTCGTTTCGAACAACCTAGCATTCACGAATATGCTGCGTTTCCTCCAACTTTCGTGTTATTGTTGCCGAAATCGACGTCGATGTTTTTCGTATTCGTAATTTCGCTTGAAAGGATCGGCAAACATAGATATTACGTAAGGCTATTTATCTTAGGATATAAATACTTCGGGCGCGATGAAGGAGGAGATACGCGTCAAAGGCGATCGTCGATACAAATTGCAGTTACGGAATTATGCGATTTCTGACGCGTCCGCGGCCCGGAACGCGTTCGTCGGTGAAACTAAAAACGGACCGTTACGAATTCCCCGCGAGAAATTAACGGAAACGACGCTTGTAAACTACCATAAGCGTTGAAATCCGATCCAGGGACGAACGGGGTCGTCTGCTCCTTGTCGCGTTCAGACGGCTCGAAATACTGATACGGATCGCTATTGTACGCTGTCACCGGATCGTTTTCTCTTTGTTTTTCTTTTGAAACTTTCTGTTTCCCCGGTGTCAAGATTAATTCAATATCTTGGGAGAATCGCCAGAACGAAATAGCCCAAGGTCCAAACGTAATTAGGATTCTACGAATAACCGCGATTTCTGGTGGTGCCGTCGCGATAGAAATTAATGCACCGGCTATTAAGAGTCCCATTTATCGGTGTTAAAGCCGACCACCGCGATAATTTTGGTAATTTATCGCGCGTACGCGTACGTACGTTTATCACTGTTCCCCGTTCGAACCGAATATCAAAACCGGTAGTCGATGACGTGGATAAACGTACCGGCATGGTTTTCCCCTTTTCCCTTTCGTCGATCGCCGTTTACTCGATCACTGCAGGACTTCCGACTTTTGAACGGTGACGCTGGACTAGAGACTAAGTCCGGACGCGGTGCGTCGCGACGCTATATGCCGGTCTCCCCTCCGCGTATCCTTTCCGCCGACATTCAGGACCGAGTGATTTTTGGCTTACTGCCCGCCGAGTATTCCCACACCCCCGCCCCCGCGGCCAGATCTTGACACTGTAGCCCTATTTACAAGAAGCGACACGAAGTCAAAGTGGTACATATATAATAACTGATTTGGTCCGTTCTTGGACGCCGGTGTCCGTCACTTATATTCCCCAGACTCGTTCATTAATTTAGGATCATTTTTTACCCGTGCAGAGTTTATTGTAATTACTAAAATTTTGTCGCAAATAAAAGCTGTTCGGAATTAAATTGTCGATCACGGGTTTCGAAATCATTGAAATGGACGAGGATGTCCATTTTCTAAACAATCTCGTTCGAACAATCGATCCGTTCTTCGAAATAATCTAGAAACGTGGAAGCGTTAGGGGATCGTCTTTCGCGAAGGTTCGATGTTCCTCATCGGCGTAAAATATTCGGTTGCAAAGTGATAGAAATAGGTCGCGATCCAAACAGGCTACACATTTAGGATCGATGTATCGTTGCTTTCGACCGTTTGTCGTTATTACGAATGCTGACGTCGCGTGTCCGGGTGGGAAATTCAACCAAGTGGAAAAGTTCGAACAAGTGGGTGTGTTTTGCAAGAAAGGATGGTTAACTGGTCCGTGGACGAACGCCAGATGAAAACGCCGATAAGCAAGGCGTCGTAATTTCTGGATTCTAGCCACTTCGAAGGGTGAGACCATCGACGAGTTTAGATCCCGTCAATCGACGCTGTTTCCAAGTTTATCGTAACGCAACGAAAATCGTCTGGAACGATTCTGCGGCACGACTTCGACGTTGAACATTTTCTTATGTAACAGAAATCAAATTGATGGACGTCATCGAAGTTAAGCCTTTAAATCTTGTTTCTGAACGATTGATATACGAACTCTCAAGTAATTAATGTTCTTAGTATTATTATTCTAACCCTTCGTCCTAGAAGTAACAGACATTTATTTGGCTACGTAAGAAAGAAAGAATGAAGTAAGACTCCATTGCAAGGCATCGTTACATGCGTATTTAAAGTGCTACCTCTTCCTCTCGTGTTCTCCTGCGACGATGCATTTTCAGCAAATACTTAACCAACTTGACTTACTCTCGATTGTAAATACACCGATTTGAGGTTAATATACGATGCCTAGAAAACTGTCTTCTATGATAAAGAAGTATTTAGAATAATCGATAGAAGATTCGTGCTGCCAACATTTTTTATAGATTGTCATTTTAAAGATTATTTATTTTTATACCGTCATGAAGCTCGATTGTATTTTATTAAATGGTAATATGAATTCATCGCGGTACTTAATCTCACGCGAATCGACAAATTGGGTGCACCATGTTCACTCGCTCCGACAGTTTCCGAATTTGCCACCAGGTGGACGCGCGGGAGAAAGATTTCTCGCTGTTGGAAGAGTGCAGCGCTGTTATTAGTAGGGCAGAGAAACACGAACTCGTCAGCTTTGCGCAGTGGCGATATCGTAACCAATGAGGTTCTACCGAGGTGCGATTATTGCTAGTTGAAAACTTTTACCAATACCCCGCCATGACGATGTGAAATATCATCGGCTACGGCAATTTTTGAGAGTTTCTGCGGAAACTGATTGTCTTTATGATAAAAATAAATTTTATTGAAGTTGATTTCGTGGTACAGAAATCTCAAAATTACCAATACCCGAAGTATTCGCTAAGGTTTCTTGTTAATTTTCACGTTCACATGAATGTTTAGCTATTATCGGAGGTTACCTGCCTCCATTTAAAAATAATCTATAATAACTATTCGACAAACGCGTAGAGGGAAAGCGGTGGAACTTGGAAAACAAGTTATCTTTGGATGACATTATATTTGTATAAACATTGATCACGAGAGAGAACGTATTAAGATAAACGGGCAAAATATTGATAACATTGAATTAAAATATAAGAGAAACGAGCGCAAAGGAACAAACGGAACGAACGAAGGAAAGCGTGGACACGTATAAAAATAGAATTATTAATATAATCGTTATAAAGGTCTCGGCGTTGGATTTCGTTAACGTTAATTTTAGTGCGCGAGTCAAATCATCTTGTTCCCCGAATTACAAATCATAATCGTTGAACTGTATTAAAATAGTGCTTTTAACGTGTGTGTAGGTTGCTGGTAAACGAGAAGCAAGCCAGGAAGCTGAAGCCCAGCAATGGATCGAGACGGTAGTTGGACAGAAGTTTCCACCAGGTAAAATAAATATAAAAATACAATATTACATGTTCCTTATAAAATAGAAGTATCTCTACATGGATGAACAGCGTGGAGTAAATTTAGAATTTCGCGACATCGTACACGTTCGCGTAACCTTGTGGTACAGAGCTTTGACAATATCGCGTAATCTGGCCGGAGAATCCGTACGCACGCTTGATTGAACTTTATCGATGATACCACTCCCTTGATATACACGTGGTCGTGCATAAGCTCCTGTTCTCCGGAGGTGGTGTGGTTTCAAAAGCGTGTCAGTATCACCACCCCCGTTGAGATTCGCGCGACATGCTCGCGAGGCTAACTAGAACCCTATAATTCCCGGGTATGAATGTCAGACCGCGTGACGTTGCAAAGGTTAAGCTTGTTCGCTAGGTCAGTTATCCGCGAGACGTCTCTTCGCGTCAGAATGGCAAATCGGACGTTAAAAAACGTTCGACGTTCTCGACAGACCGATACGCGTGTCATTGGTATTTACAAGAGTCGGAGATATTCGTAGATTCGTAGAAATCGTAGATCCCGAGGCCAATGGACGATAATATTTTCTGACAAAGCGAGCTATTGGTGGGGGGGTTGGATTCCACAGGTGAACGAAGTCGACGACCGCGATTGCAAAGGGGTAGGATCCATCCTCCGTACGCGTATGTTCTCCTACTAAAACGCGCGCTTTGTTACGTCATTCGAGCCACCCTATTGAACGAGAAGTGGGTAACAACCCCTACGTCTAACGTGCAACCCTGATTTGAAAAATACGCCAGCGTCGACGCAATCGCCGTGTTAGACATGTGGACGCACACTTCAGTTTGGACGAGAAAAGAATAAGGTTCCTCTCCGTCTGCATTCTTTTCATCATACCGTTGCCTCGCGATCCGAAGATTCGCGTATAACTCTTGGAAATCGAAAAAATGCGATCTTTTCGTTGACGATCGACAGCATATAAAAGCATTACAACGATTTCACGTTGGAAAAACTTTTAAGCGTAAACATTTAGATCCGCGCGCTGACTTCCGTGTTTGGCTGCCACCCTGGTAGCATGGAGGGTACGACGAAGGTGGCCAAACGATGACACCTTCCTCGCTTGGCGTTTTACTCTACGTTTGAAACCCTTCGCGGAATTCTCGGAGAGTGGGAAGGGTAGTTTTGTTCGCGGAGAAGCTTCCTTGATGAAGTGCGAGCCTGGTGTTTGCAGATTCAGGGCGCACCTGCCATAAGCACATCGTCCCACATAATAAAAAGGAAGGTTATTTTCAGAAAATCACGTGGTAAAATCCATAAGTATTCAAAGAACATCAGGGGTCTCCAATTAGAATTAATCTCGCAAGACCTTGGCTCTTACATCGTCTGACAAGATGATTTTGTTAAAAATATTTCAGGGGAGTGAATGACGAGTGTTTGGAACGGCTTGAGAGCCGTAGAGAGGATGTTTACGTTAGATTATCGGTCGCGCGAGACGAGTGAACGAGTTCTTGGAATGCACGTGGTGTTCTCGGACGCTTGGCGACGCATATTGTGTGAAGCGGACGAGCAGTTAACGCGTAGTGCAACCCGTTTGAAACAAAGAGGTGCAAATTCGGTTTAACGGCGTAAGCGTTGTTCGAGCGTTACACCGTGTCAGCTCCACCTAGCCTTACAGCGAGCAAAGCTCTATGCGTTGATGCGAGCCGGGTATTCGAAGCTTTTGATGTTATTGACTCGTTTAAAATTGAACTTACTACCGGCGTTCGACTGCTACTGCGGTCATTACGCTTCCTCTCCATCCGACTCGTCCCTAACATCGCTGATCGTTCTGATAACACGATTGGAATTTGATGTATTCCAGAATTCCTGAATCTTTCGGTTGTAGATGTTAGCCTGTTCCTGGAAGCTCGCGAGGCATGCTGAACACGACCCTCGTAACGGTTTACGTAATCGGAATATTTTTCGGGGGAGAGGGAAAATTGTATCGGATTTGCATATTCAAACGTATTAAAAGAATATTGGAAACAGTTTGTCATAAGACGTTCAGATGTATACGTAGCAACGTAACCGATAAGAACGATAGGCAAATAAATTTGGGTAAACAATTGACAAATATAAATATAAGAAAAAATAACATCTTGAGATATTGGATGTTTAAAAATAGGAAGTCTTTGTTATAATTGAAAGTACACGGTATTCGCGTAATCGTAATAATTAGTTTGTTGCTGATTACATAAAAAAAAAATATGAAAAGCTCCCCAAGCTCGGAGTTTCGTTAAACGACGTTGAACAATCAGTTGTTTGCCGACGACGTGTATTGATTTAGCGTCATCTGTTCATCATGTTACGTCGTAAGGACGCCAATGTATCAGGGTCGCATACAAAACCCTAGATAGTCAAGTCACAAACATTGCATTGTGTCATTTCTTCTTCCCGTCTTCTCGCATCCCCTTCAACTTTCCTCTTCGTAGAGAAAATCGTGCATTAAGGGTTCCACACAAAGATCGAACTTTCCTTTTAACCGTAAAATTGTTACGCGGTTTTGTTGCTCTCCGCGCCTCGTTTTATACTTTTTTATTGTATTTATATCGGTCGTGTAAACGTTGGGTGACATCGCGCAGAGGCTAAAGTCACTTCGACGACGTAAGAAATTCCTGACCCGTAACTGCTTTGTTCCGTGGATGGGGCACCTTAAAGTTCAACGAATGAAAGCGAAGAGTTTCGAGGGAGGGAAATGTCAGTCATCCGTTCGTCACGGTGGCACAAGTAGCTTGGTCGCACCAGGGTACCAGCAGACGTTTGAGGGATTTATAGCTTGCCCGCCACGTTGACGTCAACGTCGACGGATCGATCCGTTTCAGACAGTAACCCCTTTGCAGCCCGTCAAGATTGTTTTCGAAGGGTGCCCGAGACGACAGGCGCTGTCGATATGTCGAACAGCTCGTCACGTAACGTCGCGTGACGTCACGAAAGCTCGTAGTTACTAGGGTAGCAACGATGGGTAGTAGATGAATTTATGGTCGTCTCACCGACGAAGGGCTTATTCTCCGTGTGTTCGTGCACACCCCTCGTAACGGATATGTCGAGAAAATAAGAACGTTTCCTGCGAAAGGAGATGCGTTTCGATGATACGTTTCGATCGAAGGCACTTCGACGGGACGTCAACGGGTGTCAGTTGTCCGTCAAAAGATCGTCAATGACGTCATTCTGAGACAAGCCTACCAGGATTACAGCCCCGGGGTAGATTTATGACCGACTGCAACAAGTGGTTGCCTCGAGCTATATTTCATACAGGGGTGCGTACGAAAAGACCGCGTCCTCCTCTTCGATCGATCAATGAAATCCAACTTTATACTCTTCTCCGAATAAATTCAGATCTTAATAGGGAATAGAAATTTGTAAACTTATTTAACTATTTTATTTCGACGACAGTTGGCTCGTTGTTATCTGCCGTGGGACGATGGTCTGCACGTGGCCCGAAAGAACGTTTCTGCGAATGAAACCCGAGACGCTCGTCGATGGCCAAGGACTTAGGTTCTTCCTTATCTCGCGATCGAGCACAACGAAGATAGACGAGACCAGCGTTCCTATGTTTGTCTCGGTTGTTTTCAACTGCAAGACAAGAAAAAACATAGAAACGCGCGTCGTTTCGACGTTCGCGTGACCCTAACCTTAAAGTCGCGTAGCTATCGAGCGTCAAGGGATGGTTCGTACGAAAGAGTGCATGGAAAAGTTTTGAAGAGGCCAGGCGTCCCGTCGTCGCAAGGACTTTGTCTCGAAAGGTTTGGCCACGGAGTGGGGAAGTTGTGGGGGTGACAGTTTGTTAAAATAAGAGGGAAAGTGAATTCTGCGCGCGCCTGCATTCGTTCCCGCGGGACCTGTTGCACGACGCTAGTCGTAAATTCAGCCCCGGGATGTTGTCCTGGTGAAAACCGTGTGTTTGACGTCTTTATGACGTGAAACTGACGTAAAATCGATACCAGGCTAAAACAGCTTGTGTCTCGAAGGCAGAACCCGCGCTGCTTACACCGACTCGATACCAAAACATTTCGTTCGAACGTTACGTATTACGTTAATTCTTTTGTCGCAGGTTCAGTTCGATTCAAGCAAACGACAATTTTTCTTTTCCACCCGATAATTAAAATAATCGTATCACAGTGTTCAGCCTTGTTTGGTTACACGTGTAACGGTATGCAAGGCTAACTACCAGAGGTTAGGAGTCCGACTTCGCGCGTAAATTCGACGGCTGCTCGCATCTGCGGAAATTAACGAAAATATATACATATAAATATTGTAAACATGCAAGAAAGGTGTGTCTATGGCGGTTATCGATTTCACGTCAAGTTGTCGAGACATGACGACCATGACGTGTCAACATAACAGGATAGCATCAGGTGTAGAAATAGTTTCGATCCGCCAATACATATTGTTGCGAGCCGATATTTTTTTGACGCGTATTGGCACAAACGGAGACAGCAATAAGACACGCAACGTCTGAAAAATATCAGGCCAGCATCACGTGATCGCGTTTGTTTGGCCACGAAAGAAACGGGCGGAAGAGTCGCGGAGAATCGCGTGCTGGATCTGGAAGGCGTTTTATCGATTTTCTGTCATCTTCTCGCGTTTACGACATCTCATCGCGTTTCGACGATACCAGGAATGTATCAGCATATCACGCTTATTTACTTCATCTACCCGCGTTTGATCCAGAGGCGGATGCTGGCTGTTGCTCTCGGCTGTTGCCTGGATATCGTGGAAAAGCGGAGGGTCTGCTCGACTCGTTTGATTCGCGTAGTCGAAGCACGTTACGCTTAAAAGGATGATACCCCTTGTAAAGAATTTTCTTCTAAATGTTTTATATTAGAAAAATATTCGTTAAAAATTATTCCCAACCGTAGGAGACGATTAGTTTGTTACCCGATCGCTCCTGCGTTGGATATCGTAACGAACAATAACTGGAAACTGTCCTTTTGTAAGTAATCACGAAGATTTTCCCGAAGTTACACGCTTGTATCGTATTTGCATTAAATTCTAGTTGGTCGACACCATTTGTACTATATTTCTATATTGTATCCACGCTTGCATTTGGGATCATTAACAATTCCAGTGCGAGCTAAAGATTCAGCCAAACAGTAATGGTTAGCCCTGACTCTGTTGAGAGTAACGATAAAATCCCTGTTTAGACTTTTGCGAGAATACCAGCTGGATGCACTATCTTTGTTAAAGAATTGAAAATATTTTTTACCCTCACATTGGCCCTGCTCTTTGATCAGGTTGTTAGTTTGCACTCTTGCCAACGATTTAAAATGTTCGAAAAGATCAGCAAATTCGAGGGATCTCAATAGAGTCAGAGTCTAGAACAGATTTGGCAGCAGAGTCAGCTCCTCTCGTTTACCATGACTTCCATGTGAGACGGTATATGGAATAACCTTATAAAATTATTTTTAATGTTAAAAATGTACGGACATTGGTTTTCGCAGCAGCTTTAGGCGACCGTAAGGCTTGCAGAGAGATTAGGGAGCCAGAAAAAACGAGAAAGCTGTAATCTTTATGATTCAAGGCCACTTCAAGGGCGTTATTTAACGCAGCACACTCAGCCATGTATATAGATACATTCTGGTTCAGTGTGCGATTCTATATATTTGCGCGTCGAATCGATCGTTTCTTAGTTCCCTCTCCGAGAGTCGAGAGTCGATTCGAGCTAATCGAACGGAATTGGCCAACGTATCTGAACCTGATCGACTGTCGAAGTCTCGTCAATCGAAAATTCAAGCACACGACCAGTTTTGTACTAGGCGAACAGATTTTAGGGTAGGCATTTAGTAGCGCCCCCTCTGTAGCAAAACCACGTGACACGTCGTCCTTGCAGGATCAGGGTAGTAGTCTTTCGAACAGTTAAAACTCGTCGTTTTGTCCAAAAATGTTTCCAAACTGTCCCAATAATTTGTTCGCGAAACGTAATCAATTTGTAAGATTCGTATTACCAAGAGCTTCGATTCTGCAATTCTCAATCGTGTGTTGCTGTTGGAATGAAATGGATGGATGGAGAGAATAAAGATCGATTTCCGTTACCGTCAAATTTTGCAACGAGGAACGTTCGTACATATTTGCATAGTGCGTGCCGTTTTACAATTTATGCATACGCAGAGAGTGCAGCTGTGGATCTACTCGAAGCCCGGTATGTTTTCTTAGTAACTCTGTAACTTTCATATTCATAGATGCTGCATATATTACCATCACTATCATCGCGTATTTAGAACGGTAATGTGACACCGCGGCAACATACGCGACGAATGAGTTACTTTCCAACAATAACAAATATACCAACATCTATTTCCAACGTGGAACGTAACAATTTAAAAGCTAAATCGACTCGACGAACTTCTAACGCAAACCGAGCACCGGACACGTGTATTTCGATGTCTGTCCTAACATTATTAATTTAAACCGTCACGGTGATTCTACGGTTGATTAAAAAAAAAAAAAACGACCACCGCTCGTACGCCGGGAGGAAAAGTGCCAACTGTTGCATCCGTCGACCGCAGCGCTTCCTCTCATGCCTCGTGCATCGATACAATTTACACAACCAGTCACCAGGTGGCGTGCCATGTCGATAGGTTCGATACTTCGAAACGTCACCAAATGAGTAGAGGGGAGGGGGGATTGAAGCTGGCATAACGAAACACACTTGACAACATCACCATTTCGCAAGCTCTTGCGGGAAGCTGAGCTCCTGGCAACTCGAGATGCACGCGTCTTTCGATGGCGACGAGAGCGTTTCGACGCTAGGCACGACGACGACAAGACAATGATGGCGCTGAACGAGACACGCCGGTCAAGAGCAAAAAGAGCGAGCAATGGAAAGACGGAGGCGGTCTTTCCTGATCCTTCGGCCGGACGGCAAAAAATGCCATGCCCCCTTGGCGCGCCTCTTGGCATAATGGGGCGCTATGAATGAGTGTTGGTGCCCGCGCAGCCACTGTTATTATTTCGCGGCAATCTCCGACTGTCGAGAGGGAGGCAGAAAGGTGGGAAGAAGGGTAAAAAAAAAAAAAAGGAGATACGAGTCGCTCGTTTCGTTCGAGAGCCGATAATCGCGCGGCCGACAATGAAAATCGATGACTGGCGCCGAGTGCGCATGACACTCCCTGCGGAACTTAAAACCTCGCGGTTTCCACGCGGGGGAGGAAAGGTTTTTTCTGTTATCCTGGTGCCACTGTGGTCCCCAGCATTCTTTTCATTGTCCAACCGTTTACTCCCTCCCTTCTCGTACATTTTCATCGGGGAGATAAAAGTAACCAGCTGTCGTCGGTTAAATATTTAACATTGTACGATTATAATTAACGAGAAAATAATTACAAACGAAATTAATTTGAATGTACCCGTTAAATGACTTGTTTCGTTCATCGATGCAATATGTGTGTTACAGGTGTAAGTTACGAGGATGCATTAAGGGATGGCGTGCTGTTATGTAAACTCATGAACAAACTGCAGCCGGGTCTCGTCACCAAGATCAATACCTCCGGCGGTGATTATAAGATGATGGATAATCTGAACCAGTATGTATTACATAGTCCTTGATTGTAGAAAATTAATTGTCGAAGATAGAAATTGAATTTAATATTTTAGCGACAGCGTACTTTTTAGGCTGTTTCGCTAAAGTATTTTGAGAGTGTTTTGAAGGTAGTTAGCTCGTTGTTATCTGCACGTGGCCCGAAAGAATGTTTTATACAAATGAAACCCGAGACGCTCGTCGATGGCCAAGGACTTAAAGTCACGTAGCTATCGAAGCGTTGAGGGATGGTTTGTTTGAAAGAATGCGTGAGAAAGTTTTGTCTTTGTCTTGAAATATCTGTCTACGGAGTGTAGAAGATAAAGTTACCTTCTGGCAAAAGGATCGCGATAAACTCCACGGCATTTACCCCGGAACCCCGTGACTGGTCGTATCATTTAATAATACCGCTAAGCTTCCTCTGATCTCATACTTTCCTGCTACGCAGTCGACTTCGCAAGGTATCGATGACCAACTCTCGTCGGAATCGAGAGATCAAACCATGTGCGATTATTGACCTCGAATCGTCGCGCCGCTTCGAGAGCGACGATTCTTCTGTACGATTACCGCGAAAACGGGCCGCATTCTCCTTCTTCTTGTTACCTGTGTGCCTGGTAAATAAGTATCAACAAAGTCTGAGGTCGGGACCGTCGCAGTGAACTTCGAACAGACATAATGGGGACGCTACTTTCTTACGCATCGTTCATGTATGTCGGTACAGGTCGCAGCATAGTCGTCAATTTACCGTCAAAACAGATAGAAAAAAAAATTAACGAATTAATGTTCAATCTAAGAAGAATGCTTTTATTTGGTATTTTTGTTATCTTGTATCTTTCGGTATGCGATGTAAGATTAAATTATGAAGATCGAGTGCTTTTTTTTGCCATGGTTCTTGAAGCAATACGACAAGACGAGTAATCATCGAAATTGATATTTATTTAGTTGATTAAACCTCTCAATGTTTTGTAATCGTGAACAATCATTATCTCGTTAGAATCATTAGATACAACGTAATTTAACCGATTCTTCTCCGTGCAAAGTGCATCGTGCACGGTGTTTCCTGCATCTGACCGCGGTGTCGCGTGCGCATGCCGCCAATTGGCGCGTTTTCAATGTTTAAGAGCGCTTTCCTGAGAGTGGGGCGAACGATGCGCAGCGCGGCCACTCCGCGTTACTCCCTTTTTATGCGGAAAGTAGGAACAACTTGGAGCTCGTCGTGTGCGTTCCGTTTGTTTCTACGTTGCTGATACCGGAAGAGCTCGTTGACACTGGCCTGCCTTACATTCGTTGTATCACGAGGCGTTTCGCATCGGTGACGACAAAATGGCGGTCGCAGAAACTAGCGATGCCTCTGCATTCAGAATAGGACTGCGACTATTCGAATAATCTATTAGTCGAACACTAGATGTCTGCTTTTATAGAATAACACGTCACGGGCCTTTAGAATCATGAGAACAATTTACTGAATTGTTACAGGTTTCAGAAGGCCTGCGTGAAATATGGAGTACCTGATGTAGATCTCTTCCAGGCGGTCGACCTCATGGAAAGGAAGAACATAGCGCAAGTTACTAACACGATATTCGCCATTGGTCGCACTGTAAATTATTTACCTTTCCTTAACCATTGTCTTTTTATGGCGTGCTTTCTTGCAGTCTCAGAAGCATTGGAGTAAAATGTTTGTTCACAGACGTATAGACACCCGGAATGGCGTGGCCCTTGGCTGGGACCAAAACCAGCGGAAGAAAATAAACGAAATTTCACGGAGGAGCAATTAAGAGCTGGCGAAGGTCTTATCGGCCTGCAGGCTGGTACCAATAAGGGCGCCACTCAAGCTGGTCAGAGTTTCGGCGCCACGAGGAAGATTCTTCTCGGAAAATAATGTTAAAAAAAATATTTTCCAACACCCTTATGAATTTTAAAAAATAGTTCAAGATTGGTTTTAGGTAAAGTGTGCATCGAAATCTTAAACAAGTCGACGAATATCGGCGTACGGTACAACTAATTTCGTTGAAAGAAGATTTCAATCCATCGCGCATCCTGTACCATTAGACCTCTTATTTTAATTATTCTATATTAATATATAAATCTTGGCATGTAGAGATTGATTTGGCCGCGTAATACAGAAAATAAATTTACAATTTAGAGCTTCCCGTGTATATGTGCTCTTTCGTTGGATCGATCGATAAATCAATTAATGATGTCCGTGGCTTTCTACAAATGTCGCTATAGTAAACATCGTTATAAAAAATGAAAGAAAATTTATGGTTGTGTGAAGAAAATGATAAAGATACCGAGAAAACGCAACTACCTTTTGCAGTTGTACTGTCAAAGAAAAAGAAATCACATAGAAACCTTATATATTTTTTATTTTTATTCCATCAAAATGTAAATTATACAATAAAATATTCAAAACAGTATATCACATAAATATTTGTATATATCTAAATACATGTATACAAAAATAATATAGAAATACAATATAAAAAGATTTAAGAATTTGTTGCTAGCAGCTGATTCCAGCGGAAGAAATTGATATCGTGTTCATACATCAAGATCCATTATTATAATAGGTGCATTCGCTTTTGACACGCGCACATTTTAGCATATTAAGTGTCGCGTACAACTTATGACATTCGTTTTCGTATGCGAATGTTTACAAAGACGGTAATTATATTACTAGTACATCACAATTCGCAATAAATACGCTTATTATATCGTCGCTGTTTTCAGTGAAACCATGATTATTTACAAACCGCGTATTATAATTGTACAAGGCGAATGCAACATTGAAGTTATAACATTCATATATATTTATACAGTTAATCCCATAAGTATCTGTACCCTCATTGCTTATGGGAGAAATTTGTTGAAATCAAATAATGCATGTAAGATTTTGATTAACTAATAACAAAGATATATTGATTTTACTCTAGCATTAATGCTATTATATATTATACACTTGAAGTGTATAAACGTACTTTTTGTCATTGGGCGCATAGATGGACTTTGAATACACCGGGAGGCAGAAAAAGCCACAAAAAAGAACTGTTTGTACAGAACCAGCAACCACAACAATTAAATCATACCAACCTTCTGTATAGTACCGATAAACCCAGTGTATTAAATAGAGCGCTCTATAAGATCCCAGGGCAAGAAGATAATGAGAGGTAATGCTTTCTGCTTTTCCTGTTTTCGACATCAAAAACAACTGTGGTAATATTGCTACAGATTCCAGATAAATACTGAAAGTCCATGCAACTTCCATAATCGTGAATTCATGATTTATGAATAATGCCAGTATTAGTGCAGTCATAATTAAAATCTCGCTTCTGGAAATAACAAGCAAAAACATTATTCTAATACACAAACAATATTGCTGTACGTATAAGGCATAATTGAATCGTTCCTTAGGAAAAGAATGTATGTTACACTAGTTGCTCTTTCATCTACTGCAGTGCACTGCACTGTAGTAGTTGTTTTTCCATTATCCTATAAAATTTATGAACTTTAGTGTATACCTCTTTTTCCAGAGAACTATTCAATTTCTTTTACGATCATACGATGCATAAAGAACATACCTAAACGTATCATACTTGTGGTCATACGTTGCCTTACATTTCACGTACATTAAATAGACTGTAAAATAAGTTGTTATAATAAAAAGGGCTTTCATAAATGTGTTGTATGCTGAAATGTATGTTGTCGCCAAATCCAGGTAACGTGTTGTAAATACAATCGCAAGCAGAATTTCGGATTTGCCACTAATACCTGCAAAATACAATCGAAAAATTAATAAAAATTGTCCCTTGCGAGAGATTATACATAATTTTGTAAATAATATTAGTAGTATGTACCAGCACAGCTTTGAGCTTCCCATATTTTGAAAAGAAGAATGAATATTGCTAACAGATGCAATAAGTCACCTGAGAGTCGAATTACGTCCATATTTTTATAATTGGTTTCGATTCACAAACTATGTAATCTACGACGTGATTAAGGTCACCGAAAGGATAATTAATATTTGCCTAATACATACGTATAAACCGCTTTTTTCACGCATGCACTTTGAAAATGGCGTCAGTAAAGTGCATGTGCAGCACGAGCACAGACGAGGTATATGTCGTATCATATATCTCGTTTGTGGTGCGAATAAAGCATTTAGATCAAGTGACAAAGGGTATCGTATGAACTTTCATTTTACTGTTTTTGAAAATAATCTACAAATTTTCTACAAGTTTCCCAACAAGGAAGAACATGGTGTAACATGAGGCGCGGTAGGTATATGTAAGTACTTACGTCTAATTTATGACCGATATGTGCCACGTATCATTATGAAAACAATGCTTTGACCAGCTGTGACAATAAGTCATCGATCATACTGCGGTAAGTTATTATTATTATTTTACTGTGCAAGATGTAAGTAGTAGCATATAAGGAGTAACAATTTGATATTTATAGGTTATCTGTGAACACCATAACATCGTACTTGTGGATCTTCTGGAAATCCAAATTTTGTTATTTTATTTTGTTATTTTATTTTGTTAGTTGGTTAAGTTTGTAATACAATTATAAGTTTAGTATACATCCACATAATAATGTATAATATGTACCTTTAAGATTGAAATATAAATAACATTCAACACAATAAAACATATAAAATATGGAGAATATATTTATAATTCAGTAGACATATTACAGTATATTAAAATATTGGGAATATACAGCATACAATATGTTACATTATAAATAATGAAATCTAATAATGATCCTTTTTATTGAACTTGAAAAGAGCTAATGGTTGTGTACGAATAATAATATGTAATTTTGTACAGGTAACCTGCTACCATTGTTTTGTCTCATTGTGAACGTCGAATAGAATGTGTTTAATATATTTAAATGAATTGCAATGTATAATTCTTCAAAGTATTGTATCATGTGCAGTATATTCTAACGTATTTTCCATATTCTGACATATCAAATATAAGAAAATTTATTATTTCTTCGTTTTGTTAATTTTATCCTTGGAATTTTTCCTAAAATCAGCTGCATCCTGCAAGTTGCTGCCCTATACTACAACCTATTCAACCTATATCTAAATATATTGTTAAAAGATTAGATATTCGATCGTTATACCGATCAACGGTATAATACTGTTAGCGTTAATGTATCGAATAAATAAACAGCCCTCTCTGGTGTGTGCATTTTAAGGCGTGAAGTGCGAGACAACCCAGAAAAGAAATCAATAAAATCGCAAAAAATGTTTAAAAATAGAGAAATTCAAGACCCAGGCAATAAGTATCTTAGGAATGCCTCTGTGTTTAATATTTCATCATCGATTGAATAGAGTTAGATCGATCGTAACTGTGATCACAGGTACACTAAGTACCTACCTACTGCTTACTTTCTTCCGCGTGGAACGTTTGGACGTTACTGTCGAACGTTAGTGACTTTGCCTCGACGCTAGATCGAATTACATAATGTGACCACGCGTATGTACACTCGTCCTCGCTTACATATGCAAACAGTGGGGACGTGTACCTACTTACATGACGAAGAACCACGTACGTGACGATAACGAAGAGTGAGCGTGACGTGTACGTACACGCATTACACGCATTCCTTGAGCAGTTTCTACACCGCGAGGCTCCCCGAGGATCAGGCGAACATCTCGTGATAGGACGTCGGCGGTTCAATTCATTCATTCTCGGTCGATCATTGAAGGAGGCTTTCCGTTACGAACACGAATTCCCTCGTACATTTATTCATCCGACGCGTGGACAGCCTTTGATATAATAATAAGTAATTGCAGTAGAAAGTGCAACAAGTATCGAAACGCCGATACATGATCAAGATATAAAGTAAAAGAAGGCAGCTCATCTGAAAACTCTTCCTTTGTTGTTTGTTTCCAACAATGGTCGAATTTTCATCGCTTTTCTGGTAGGAGAAAATATCCAAAGATATTCGAATTCCTCGTCAAAGGAGGGTGGTTAGGGTGAGGTTAGGGCGGGTCTCCATTCGCAGCAACCTCCACGTGGTGAGACCTGGGTAATATTATTTACCGTTTAATTAATAATTGTATCACTCGTCTAAGAGTTATACGATTATTAATTAAAAACTAAATAATATGAGCAAATTGGCTGCGATCCGCGTTGCATAGGTTATCATAAATTTCGTGGCCCAATCTGACTGCCATACCGACCTGAAAAATCGGAGCTGATTTTAGCGTCCTCTTCTCACGGATAACGGTCAGTTGAGAAACTATTCGCTGAATTAGTATTGGCGGGCAGAAAAGGCAATCCAGTGTTATCAAACTGCCTCTCCGCTTACACACAGTAATGCATAGCCACCTTGTATAGTTCTGGCTTCGGGGATTCGAGGAAGAAATAATTGATTCTAATGATCTCTTACAATAGCGAATGTATATCATTGAAATTTATTTACGAAGTAGAGCTCATGGAAATCTACAAAAAAGTATTAGACAACATTTCCGTACAGCGTCGAACAAATTTATTTAAAAATGAAAAATCGACAGGGGATGGGTTAGGTGAAAAACAAAAATTTCAAATCGTTCTGGAAAAATTATATTTAGCTGTTGGGGTAAATTACAATCATTTTTGGTGAATAGACATACCCCCGAAATCCTACGCACTTTCGAGAAAAAAATTCGAGTACATACTGAAATTTTTCGCCAAATTAAAAAATTTCAAATCGTTCTAAAAAAATTATTTTTAGTTGCGGGAGTCAATTGCAATCATTTTTGGTGAATAGACATAGCTCCGAAATCCTACTCATTTTCGAGAAAAAAATTCGAATAGGTGGTGAAATTTTTCGCCAAATTAAAAAATTTCAGATCGTTCTAAAAAAAATATTTTTAGTTGCGGGAGTCAATTGCAATCATTTTTGGTGAATAGACATAACTTCGAAATCCTGCGCATTTTCGAGAAAAAAATTCGAATAGGTGGTGAAATTTTTCGCCAAATTAAAAAATTTCAAATCGTTCTAAAAAAATTATTTTTAGTTGCGGGAGTCAATTGCAATCATTTTTGGCGAATAGACATAACTTCGAAATCCTACGCATTTTCGAGAAAAAAATTCTTCACCAAAGATATAATGTGTGGCCAACACGCGTACATAGAAAAAATTATAACTCCTGAACGGATTGGAGGATTTTAATGTTTCAAGATGCAAACAACGCGTATTTTAATGGAGAATATTTAGAAATTCTAAGAATCTTGTAAAAGTTGTTCCTTAACCCCGTAATATTGCTACGTAATGTTATTTCTTGCCTCGGTCGTATCGCATTCATTTACACAGAAACGAAGTTCTCTAGAGTTTCAGTACTTCCGCGACATGATCCTTTTTTCTTCTAAAACACGTACAACATAATGCAAATATCGCAGACCGAGGTGTACCGTGTAATATCCGCTTGTTTGTCCGCCGTCAATAGGCGATCGTAGAACGACTGAAACTAAGAAATTCTTCAGAAACGACGAAGTTCGGAATAGATTAAAGGACGAACGGCGTGTAAAAGATTCCGTGAAAAAAAAAAAGAGGATCACGTGTCTCGCGGCTAATTAAATTCAAGACTCATCATCGGAGGACAAAAACGTATTTAGTTTCTCTAACGTTGCCGAGAATCGCATGATTTTGCCTCGAGTCCGCTGTCTGGGCGTCCCGGAGGGCCGTGTTTGCGTCAGACGAGGAACTTCTTTGAATATTCGAAACGCAACAATATAGAACGAGCGATTAACACCACGCGATCGACTAAAAATTCATGGACGATGTATTCGCGCGGATTCGTAACGATGATTATAAAATGGCGGCGGAATATCGTCGCTGTCGAGTCAGAGATCAACAATAGCATTTGTTTCCTAGACCTTGGTATTATTAGAAAAGAAAACTAACTCGTTACAGAAACATGGCTTCGGATAAATATGTAAATTTCAACTGAAACCGCGTTTGAACGCGTTACGGCATAAAATTAGCACAATTTACAATCTGGCAGACATGGCTTATTTACTATCTGACGAAGACTTCCGCGGACAAAGCATTCTTAACATAGAATTATCCTCCGTATCTCACAAAAATATGTTTAAAAATATCGAAACTCGGGTTCTCCATCGTTTGTCAATAACAACATTTCCAATATTCAAATCTATTTAGAAATAAAAGTATTCGTTCTCTCGCTTGTTCGAGCGATACACTATGGACGATTCGACACTTATGGATGAGATGTGAATTATGTGTCAAGGCGATTCCCTTCGAAGCACGCGTAGAAAAAGATTTATGAAGGGAACTTGTAAATGTTGCGTTGCAAACTATACACGATGTGGCCTGTTTTACCAGAGAAAAATTTCCAACAATTATTAAACACCGTACTTAAGTTTATTCTACAACTCACGCTCGAAACAATAGATTTTGTGCTCTTTTCGTACGTCTCCGCAACTTTCATGGATCCATGAATAATGCACGCTTCAAGCACGAGTTCATAAATCGTACTGGTACGACTGAAGAAACCTTGTCGCGATACGAACGAAGAATTCAGATAGCTTGTATAAAAAAAAGGTCCATTTAATTTCGATACGTTCAAATTCTAAATTTACTTTATTTAATTTATTTATAATTTTACAGATACCAGAATTCTTTCATTGTAAATTACTTTGCGAGAACTATTTTTTGTCATCGTTAAAGCGGGTCTCGCTATCGATGAAACGTTCTGTATTTTACGTAATATTTTCGTTTCCATTCGTACAACTGTCTCACGACTACTTGCGACACGAGTCGAAAGTCAGATTTCGCAAAAATTTTTGTTCCACCTTGGACACGTCGAGCGTGAAAAGGAATTGCCTGAAATCATCGCGAGACGGGTTTAAACGTCGATAATGAGCTCACGCGTTAAGCTCGAACACTTTCAGCGTCGTTTAAAACGGCAACGTAAACAATGTGTGACTTCGCGTAGGGATCAAGGCTGCGGATGATCCTTGAAGTGACGTCAAATCTTGGGCACGTAGGATTCTTTGCAATTGCATCGACATTATTGATCGATACGGGAGTCACAACGATCGATTACTCAGCAGAAAGTAAGCCGTTAATACCTAAGGCAGCGCGTACAGGCGAAAACGAAAACTGGTTTACAGCCACGGAGGCCGACCTTGTCACTGGTTGCAAAAAAACGTGTCAGCGCCATTTTTTTACGCCAAATCGCGGCTTTGTCATCAATAATTTTTAATCTGTTTAAAAATAGTTATCATCTCGTATATTCGATTACCCAATTATCGAGCTTTATAGTTGATTCGACGAATTGTCTTTTTAACGCTTCAGTTCGGTTTCGTCACGCTGGTCTCTTTTTTGTTTTCCACTTGTTGTAATTCGAATTTGCATCTCTCGATTGATATCAATTTTTCCCCCCCCAGAATACTATATCGATGCAGCACATGTATCGACTTTTTGTTAAATTTTCGTTTTTACGGCGCTGCGATTAACTCCTGGCTGTCTGTTTTATGCCGCATAAATATTGCAAACAATAATTAACGTCTTTGATTCCGTGTTAAGTCGAACGATTGTTCATTTCCTACCAGTGAAATGGAAAGTTCACCTAATTCGAAACGATTACAGGCTTTCGTTCTTTGTCCGTTGCTAATCGTCGCGGGGGAAATAAAATTGCGTTGCGTAATTCGGCTGGAAGACGGACAGAATCGCAGTTTCTTGAACTCGACCGATCCGTCCATCGTCGTTCTTTCGTAATCTTTTGTTCCTAATTTTCTTTGAATAATAACGCGATGCAATTGATCGGAGTATGGAAATTAAAAATTGTGCGCACTAAAACGATATTTATCGTGAACTTCTTGTTTACATCTGTGTGTGTATGAGATTGTGAGACTAATACCGTTTCCTAACGAAACTAAAGAACTCCTTTTGCTTATAATTTAAAGTCTGCGATTCTTGAATCTTTATTTCTCAATCATCATTGTATATTGATTGAACTTATGTGATCGATTCCATCGCGTTTGTTGTTGCCGACACGACGACGGAACCTATTCTAATGCAGAATTGTGTTAATCAGTTCCGCTCGGTGTGGTTTTTCAGCTTGCGGATTATTCACGCTCCAGTGTTGATTAATTATACACACCATCGTTAAGAAGACGTTTTTTCCCCTCGTGTAGAAGAATTAATATGTTCCACGGTAAAATACTTGAATAACGGAACAGGAAGAGCTGGCTGCGAATTTCAGTTTATTCGTAAACTCGGGATTACTCAATCCGTTGATGTAACAGGACGAAGATAATAATTTTTTTAAATTTTACGTTCCATTTGGTCCCCGTTACTTATTCGTCGAGCTTTTGGACGGTCTCCTTTTGTTCTTAATTAGAAATCATGGCTTAGCTCGGCAGAACGAGAAACTCGTGAACGAACGAGAAGTCTCAGTTCCAATTTTGATCCATATTTGGATCCCCTATGGCAAAGATGTTAGTTTAAAAATACGATATTACGCGTAAAGTGTGATTTCAAGTAGTTCCATGGAACGCTATTTATATATACGTTTATTTCGATAGTTTATTTTGCAAAATTGAAGAAAAATTTTAGAATAGAATTCCTCCGCGTTCGATAAATTGCACTCGATCTTTATGTGTCGATTCTAATACACGTAGTATCCAATAGTTTCCTCTTTACGATTGACTTCTCACCTCTCGTCGGTTTAATTTTCACTTTTTTCCTCGCTCAGATTTTCTGCAGCAATCATAACATGATTTAATAATTCAGTTAAGTTCACGTTTCCATCATTGATTTACATTTTAATTAATTCGTCGGCTGACGTTCGCTATAAAAAGATCCTTCGTTCGTACAGTTTTTGCTGTTATAAATAAAGGATATGCATCGGCAGGAACAATATCTGCCAGCGCATAAATCATCGACAAAGATCATCTTTGACTATGCATTTGCATGAACAGGTTTTTCCGGCATTTTTCTCTTTCCTAAGTACATGAGCGACGATAAATAATATTTCGTGCGAGTCCCTCACCCACATTTCTCTACGATATGTAATTCTCAACGTCCTTCACTGTTAATCTTTCTTACAGTTTAGAAACCCATATTAACCATCTCACAACTCGTCAAGTTTCAATGTCACTGAAATTTAAGCACTGTTTAAGTTTGAATATTTCTGATTCATATTCTGGTCGTTTGAAAGTCATTGATGCCATTAAAACGTGATCTGTACTTCAATTCGGAATTGTAATTGATCTATCGAGATTGGAAATATTATTTCATATGATTCTCTTTTGTAATTATTTTATTGCGTGAAAGGTAGTTTTGTTTAATTTATAATTTGAACGATGCTGCAATTAAATTCGATAAAATTCTATTCGATCCATAAGGTTATTTAATTTCCAACATAAAAGAACTGACCGTTTAAAAAACTCCATCGATTATTCATATGCGACTCCTATTGACAGAAATATTTCCATAAAGTGTCGTTCTTCCATTAGACGGCTAAAAGCGTGAAAAGCATTGGAAATCGATAAATAACAAGCGCGTATTATGTTCGAGGATGCACTTTGAAAGCGACGGGCATCCCTCCTTTGGATTTCGCGGTTCCGTAGATCGGCGCTCATACTAATTCGTCGGTGCACCGTTCGCGAACGTTTCAATAGCAACAAATGCAAAATACCGCAAATTACGCGTGTTCCAACCTTCGTGGATGCGATATATGGAGTGGCAATCAATTTGCGACATTGGAAAGGCTTCCACTTGGAATCGTCAATCATTTTCCAAACGCTGGCTGAGCACGCGCACAGAAACGCTTACATGTACAGTAAATACGAGACGTAACGACGATAACTCGTTGGACGATGTATTCGACGGCTTCTAACACCGAATTCCTAAAGATTTAAATCGCAGAATTGTCGAGCAGCTTTTTAAACTCGAAGATACGATTCGTCCAAACGTTGCAAGTTTTTGTTCTCCGAACGCGAGTCTGGTACGAAGGATGAGATTGTCAACAGAACAATTAAGACGGGATACAATCATGAAAAATTATTACAATTATCGCGGAACTTACAATCATGTTTAATTCGTTCGTTCCAGAACCACATTTCACGCTACTTGGAATCTGTAACGCCTGACTCACCTTCCATGATTCACAGAATTGCGTTTCGAGTCGCTGTACATCGTTGCTGAAAAATTTAAACATGCATCGAGCAACGAAAAACCAACGCGTGATACTGAAAAATGCAGTTTGGCAATAGATCGTTGGTAAATCGCTAAACCGATTTCTATTCCAATTTCACTCTTCTGGTTCGGTGTTTCTCGAGCAGTTTCCTCTCTTCGAATCGTTTTCTTTCTGCGTCGAATCGATTGGCATTTAAGTCGAACAAGCGATCAACGACGCGTGGCGTCCAATGGCAAAGAGAGTTCGACGCGCGAAAATCTAACTGTGCACGGCCCCGGTGATTTCGATGCCCGGTAAGAGAATTCGACGCGAGCAATTTACATAATCGGCGGGCCCGTAGTTGCGAATACTTTCATATAGTAAACAATTCGTGAATTATGCATCCGCCATGATAATTTCATTAGGCTTGCGCAATACGCCGACGATGCTCGAACGTAAACTGTTACATCAAATATGAAAGCAACCGGCCGATTTTATCAACGTTTGATTCAATGATTTTCTAGGTCTCCTCGTAACTTTCGTTAATATTATTCGTTGTTATCGCGGGAGGAAAGTTGCCAATATCGTTATCGATATTTCCCATTTGTTGGCAATTTGTACGCAAATGGATTGGAAATTGCAGCTTGACCTTTCAGGCAGACATTACCGCGCGTGGATTAAGTTTTTCGCCAATAAAAAAATGATAATATATTGTAAAAATAAGACTGGTAACTGGTTCGGTGAGTCGAGTCTCGTTCGATGGTGGAAAATTTGTAAATGGGGAAATTATTTATTGTTATTTTAGATATCTTATCGATACTTAACGATGTACCAACGTCGTTAAGATATTTATCGTTGAGTCGAATAGAAATTGCTACTTTCTAGTCAAATTTAACAGATCCCGCTTGCTTCTACCCCAAAAATTAAAATAAAAAACGACACTGTTAAAAACATTTTCGTGTCCACGGTGTCTGGGCGAGACCAACGTGGGGGGAAGAGGATCCTATTCGCGTCTCCTTCGCGAAAAGTAAAACAAAAGGGTATGCGAGGAAAGAAGGATCCCCCAACCTGTTCGAATCCCTGCTAACCGAGAAACCGGAAAAATCATCATCTCGCGAACTGGCGAACGCATATTCACAACGGCCAGGTTTGCCTGTGCCCCCACTGAATCGTTGTCTGGCCTTTCCCGCTTGCTTAGGCGCGTTGCACAAGCTTGATTCCCCATTCCGCGGTCGGCCAAGTCAGTTCTCGGTGGTACCGCGATCAGGTCACTCGTGCTTTCGCGTCGCCGGTTGTCTGGTTATCGTTTGCCCAACGTCGTCGTGTGCAACACCATCTGCAACCCCCTAACGAAAGGGCGACGACTCGATATCGTGCGATTTGTGGACCCAGAATCGTCCACAGGGTCCCGACGAGTACGTTTCATCCGGGGTTACCCTGTGAACAGGCGAGCATCGAAGAATACCTGAAACTGGTCTCAAACTGGACAACCTTAAACTCGATCACCTTGGATAGCCGAAGTTTCGCGCGAGGATCGAGGCGAGCCAGCGGGATTCGCGAGCTATCATGGATGTCCAGTTGTCAGTGTGGAAGAATCGAATCGTGAAATGCAATTGACTCGAGGAACCGACACGCGTCTAGGAATTTGTCACTGATAGTACAGGGATCCGTGAGAGGTAGCTGGTTCCTCGTAGCTGGAAAACGTCGCAGGTCAGTGGCAATCGTGTGGTAAATGGGAGGAATTCGTACAGGGTGAGTGGAACTAACTTGGGACGCAGAGCTGGTGAACACTTTGGTCGAATAATAAATAATCGACGAAAGCAATAGCAATTTTATCGAACGATTAAGATCCAAATGTTCTATTGTGTATAAGATTGTCTTCGATATTTTTCTTGCTTCGTGTGGAATAGAACTATATAGCCCGAGGGTCCAGTCCAGTGACTAGAACCTGCAAATTACTGATTCTATCATCTTATGGAAAAATTGGAAATTAATTCGAGTCGATTTGCGTCGACATTTTATCAAACAAAAAGGAGAATAAGTGGAGGAATCGTTGGAAGAAGGAGGCTCGAGAGGTGGTCGTTAATTGAGTAAATGAAACTCCGGACTTTGACTCGATCGATTATTTACACAATGTTTACGATTTCTGTTTGATTTTAAAAGTCGTAATGTTTTGTTGCACAATTGCAACGATTAAATTGTTGTTGGATAAGTTCCTTTCTTATTTCTTCATGCTTCTGACATTCTGTTAAAGTATGGTGGAATTGTTAGGGTAGAGTTGCAGTTTTCGCATATAGCTGTTTCTTCTTTCGACATCGGATATGCGTGGAATGTACAATTGACTCGATTTATTATTGTCTGGTCATTTCTGGTAAGATGATTCGTTCGTGCACTTTTCGTTGAACTTTTCCTACATTTTCTTCGATTCAAGATTGCATTAGTTCCTTCACCGACGTTTTATTAAGTATTTTTCCAGCTCGTAGTGATCTGTTTGTTTTATAAATCGTGGAGAATGGAGAAGTCAACGTGTCAAATAAATAAAATGCAAATTTATGTAATCAATTATTACATTATCAATTAAAAAACGTAACGAGTATAAAATAGAGAGTTCTGTTCGTCTAATATATTTATTATATACGTGTAACCGACCGTGCAATAATTCTTCTCCAGCAATAAATAATACATGGGTCTATGAATAAATCTTAATTATTCAACAACTAAAAAGGCATAATTTGATCAATGAAAAAAACATAGTAAAAAGCTATAATTACCAACAGAAAAAAACACATTGCAGTGGGAGAGTAATTGACACAAACAATTACGCGATAATATCAATTATTTAGAAACCGATAATAACTAAAGTGTCTTGAACTTTTTATGAAATACGAACTATCAATTTGTCGCTTAAACGGGTTCTATATTTAAACGCAAACATTCCAGAAATGAAAAAAATTCCTGTTGTTCTCCTTCGACGTTCGTTTTATGCAAAACAACGCATTTCAATATTATTTTAATACGCAATCCTAAGCGTGTATTAATTTATTGTATAAATATACCATCAGTGGTATATTTTTTTCTATAATTCCTGAGATTCTGAATAAATTTCTTTGGTAGTCGGGAACCAGAAATTTTTGAATGATTATTAGAAAAAAATCACGAAGCTGGATCCTCTTATGGGACAACGATCACATTCCAATATCGTCTTGTCTCGTCTGTTATGTTTCGAAAAGATTTTATGTGATTTCCAAGAGGAAGATTTTTACGTTTTTTATGCCAATAAAAACTTTTTTCCCTCGAGAGGATCTGCCTATCGAAGTAGTCGAAGGACTACATAATCGTTCACAATGATTTACGACAGTATTACAGTGTAGCACATGAAAGATATATTTATGGCTGTGATAGGATGAATCAGATGCTTTTTTAATCCGTCGTAGGTATGAAACTCACGTTTAACAAAGAACTGGCAAATAGCAAAACTTTTGAATCAATCGACTTCTTACATTTCTTTTCGTTCGATATTTTTTTAAAAACAGATTTTGTTATGGTAAGCTTGATCGATAGACACGAGAATCGTAATTCTTTCGTAAGCGAATTAGCATCGAACGTTTAGGATACACATAAGGAAACCCAAAAATAAGAATCTGTCATGGCCAGTTCGTTTCCAGGGACCTGTAATTTCCATGTAAATCGCAGACGTCATCGAATTAATTACCATATTTAATTCACGGCCGATTCAAACATCGAGACGATCTGCTTCCATTTTTCCAACGAAGAACCATCGTTGAATTTATTATACCGCGTTAAAATCGTCGCAAATAATTTCTTTACATATCTTCTCGTTAAATAAAAGCGGAAGAGCTCGATTTCTCGTACCTCGAATTAAAAAAAGAACTGATATTACATTTTTTTTTTTTGAAACTTCACGTCTCTGTCGATTTCGTGAGGTACATTTATTTCTTCGCGCGAAAGACTCGCGATTGCGAAAGATGCGCCTATCTAAGGTTACGCCTAATCACTTTCCATTTCTTCAGACTTTCGCGCGGACAGGTCGTTTCTTTTCGATGAACTTGCACGGAGGCGTTTGGTGACACATCGTACATTATACAATCTTAATAAAATATATAATTACAGAAACAACGATATCAGATATAAATTAGCATTGTACGGAATTAATTTCTCGAAAAAAAAATCTGTATGCCATTTTGTGACACATCGTACATTATACAATCTTAATAAAATATATAATTACAGAAACAACGATATCAGATATAAATTAGCATTGTACGGAATTAATTTCTAGAAAAAAATCTGTATGCCATTTCGAGAAATAGATGTCTCTCGAAAGCCATTAAATATTCCGTGAAAAAAGTCCACGAAATCGAGAAACAGATTTCCATTTATAAAATAGAAAAAAAAACACATCGATCGTTGTAAAATCGTGACGCGCGCAGATCGGGTTCCGATTTCGATCATCGAGAAATGTCAAAACCGTGTTGCGTCAGACCTGTTAACGATCGATGACTCAACGGACCCGTAATTAACAAATCTTTGCGATGGTCGTGCTTCTTCGAGGCCTGGCGTTTCGTTTGATCGCGACGAACGAATCTTCGAACGGAAAAACGATGATCCAGCGAAACGGAGCAGTTGCGCAAATCGCGTCGCTGTACAATACAGCTGGAACGGAAGAAAAGAAAAATGGCGCGTCGTTCGCAGAAGCAACTTGAATCAAAGTCTTTCTGACATATCCTGAAAAGTTATTCAACGTCTGAACATGGTCTGTGTCTACAAAAAGTCGTCGACCTAATCCTACATAGTTGCAGAACCAGATGAATCGTGACTCGTTCACCTCTCAAGTCGCTAAAACCATTTCAATTAAATTTTGTTTTAGTATTTTACTAAAATTAAGACGTCTCTTTGGATACAAAAAAATTTGATTAAATTTGAAAGTTAACAGTGCCAATTCGACGCGTCCAATTTCCTAGAAACAATGGACGATCGTTGAAAGAAATTTATTTTCTGGCAACATCTCTTTGAAAGTGTAACGCGTCCTTGAGGAAATCCCCGATTCACGGGACGTGACCGAGTCTTGGGATCGAAATTGCGCAACAAGGTCGAGCGGTTTTTAGAAAACGAAAGCGAAAAAAGAAAAAAATGGACGCGCGACCTCCGCGGCGTCTCGCACGAAGTCAAACAACGCGATCGACGACGAAAGGCGATCGCGCGTGCTCGTAACCGCTTCTCCGGTTGGCTGGACCAGCTGGGACAGGTGAGAGTCTGTTACAACATCTTACATCATCGATGAATTACAAGATACGGTCGATTACGTACGAACGATCCTCGATTGGCTATTACCGCGTCCTTCGCGGCGACGTTTCTGTACGGAATTTTTGGAACGGTCGTCGCTCCCAAACCACGACGATCACTGTCGATGACTGTGCGATATTTCAGGGTTTTCCACAAATTTCGGTCGAGAAAGTGTTTCTGCGAGGAACGAAGTCTCAGAAAATGCGTCGAAGCGATCTAACCCTTTGCACTCCTATGTCGAGTGTGACTCGACATCGATTTTTATCTCAGGAGCTTCTTCGTCGAGTCCCACTCGACATTTTTTCAAATCCAAACCAAACAGATATCATACACTTGAGAATTACAAAATACAACAACAGTATTTTTAACAGGTAAATTTCAAATAAAACTCTTAAAAACATTGGGAGCCGCTGGTAAAAAAATTGAAATATAATTCGGAGTGCAAACCTGCTTCGAACGAAATTTATTAATTGACAACAATTAAAACGGGTAAACCGTGGCAGAAATGACATAGCTAGGGTTAGGTCCTTGACCTCTCCTCGATCTAAGAACACGGTACACAGTAAATATTCTCATCATATTGATCGCCATTTTAAAAATTAGTGATCAGAGTTTCCAACTTGAGATTTACTACAAATTTCCTTATTTTATATTTTTCCCACGCTTGCTAGTAAAGAGATAAGACATAATTGAATGATAAATTAGTTTTCTTTAAGAAATGGAGGACACAAGCGCCGTGTCAACGCCACCGAAGACTTCCTTGGAGCTGACAACGCGACGAACGCAGTTTCAAACGCAAGCTTCGACGCTGGACACGAGAAGAAGGCAAGCGGTATGCGTGAGAAGAGCCTGCAAGAAATATGGCCCGAAGAACAACCCTAACGTCATCCTGGATGGGTTGAGCATGACTGTGCCGAAAGGCACGATGTGAGTTTCGCTGTTAAAACTACTTTCTAACCCGTGCCTCGCCATTTACATATCCTTTCCACTGGACAGAGATAATTATAATCGACCACGAGCTAAAAAAAATGTACAAATTTGTCCGTAAATATTTTACGAGCGTCTTTAACGGGAAAGTAGAATACGTGGAAGGGAAAAATGTTCCACGCGGAAGTGAAATATTACGTAAAATTCCGTTCGAGGAATAATTTCGAATTATTTATGGGAGTCGATCGTCGTTTTTGTCTCCTATTTTACGGTGCACAAAGTCCACGAGACTGTAGACTTTATGCATATCTCCCCGAGATTGTATTAATTAACGAGGCTCTTTCTTTAACAAGATGATCGTTCAAAATACGTACTCAATTTCTTAGCATGCATTTTTTTGAATATCAAACGAGCAGAATTAAAGTGGACAAAAAAAACAGTTAACAGTGCGTGCATTTGTCTGAGCAGATATGGTATGCTGGGTGCAAGTGGTTGCGGGAAGACCACGCTGTTGTCCTGCATCGTTGGTCGCAGACGTTTGGACTCTGGCGAGATTTGGGTGCTCGGTGGCAGGCCAGGATCCAAAGGATCGGGTGTTCCTGGTCCACGGGTGGGTTACATGCCCCAAGAGATCGCCCTCTACGGTGAATTTTCCATCAGGGAGACCTTCATTTATTTCGGTTGGAGCGCCGGTATGACGACGGACCAAGTGGACGACAAGCTGGAGTTTCTCATAAAAGTAAGCTACAACGCATACGTATCTATGGTGCAGGCTAAATCCCTATTTAATCGTACTGGGATCAGTCTGTAAGGGACACTCGTGTGGTCCATCCTCTCCTTTCCTTCTCCAACTCTCATCGACAGGACTCTCCAACACATTTTGTATACTAAAATTCCTCGAGGCAAACTGATCGACGAGAAAACGTTTGTAAAAAGTTCCTGCAGCTGCCATCGGAGCATCGTTTCGTGAAGAACTTGTCCGGTGGCCAGCAGAGGAGGGTTTCCTTCGCGGTGGCTCTTCTCGCCGATCCGGAATTGCTGATCCTGGACGAGCCCACCGTGGGCGTGGACCCTGTGCTACGTCAGAGCATCTGGGACCACTTGGTTCACATCACCAAGGACGGCCACAAGACGATCATCATCACCACCCACTATATCGAGGAAACGAGACAGGCTAGTATAATCGGCTTGATGAGAGGCGGCAGGTTCCTGGCCGAAGAATCCCCAACGAAATTAATGGAGATGCACAACGTGGACAGTCTGGAGGAGGTGTTCCTGAAGCTCAGCAAACGACAGAACATGGGTCTTCGAAGAAGAAGCAGCATCCTCAGCAGCGTCACTGGCGTTCCTCCGGAAAACGTACGTTGTTCGCGTTTTAGATCGAATTTAGATCTTTTAGATGTTTGTATTAAAAAAATAAAACAAATGTAACACGCCTGAGAACATTCTTGATTATAACACTCTGGAGCAAATTGGATATATCGTTTTGTAGAACGCCGACGACGAAATGAGCGGCGAATTCGGCGACAACGTCAGCGTCTCCAGTCGAAGACGGGTAGCCACCATCGAGAATGGAAACGTAATACTTTTTATCGAACGAAAGAGGGTTGCAGGTGTCTCTCCATTTTTTCATCGTATTTAAGTGTTTGTAAAATGCTCAATATTTACACTTAAAACAAGGGATTGTCAGTAAACTTATTACTAAGTCGTCCGTTTTGATGACTGTCTTAGCGTTTACAGTGAAATTACCATATCGTGATTGTGAGGTACAAGTAATTTTTGCTCCTTGAACTTCGCAATCGCGTCTAGTTATTAAAATGAAACATCAAGTACCAGATTATTTATTTCGCGTTGACTTAATATTATACAATTAATAATGGATGATTTTATTTTTAGCTGTTGCAAAACACAAGCAAATTAGCATATGATTTATGACCTTAGAATGATTGAAGTATATAACGAAGTATATTACCGTCTTCCAAAATTTTATTTGAGCCACTAATCGCTACTAAAATTATAAATGTAATTAAAAAATTTAATCACAGAGCTAGAGGGACACCTACGACCTTTCGCCTCGAAACTAATGTCTTCCTTTCTAAAATAATTTTTTTTTTAACAGTTACCGGAGTTGCCCCCGGAAGAGAAAGGTTCGAACAAATTCCAAATGGTGAACCCTCTACACATGAAGGCTCTTATATGGAAGAACTTCCTGTGGATGTGGAGGAACGTAGGGTGCGTAAAAATAAGAACTCCAAATTAACTAAAAAAACTAAAAATTCAGGAAAACAGAAATATCGCAGAAACGAAGAACAGAGCTTGAAAAGACTGGTTCCTTTCAGAATAATGCTGTTCATCATCGGTCTTCCGGTCGCCCAGATCGTCTTATTCTGCCTGTCCATTGGTAAGGACCCGATAGGCTTGAAAATAGCGATAGTCAACCACGAACTGAACAACACCATGGACCCTTGCGTGCCAAGCGTTGGCTGCGACTGGACCCGATTAAGTTGTCGATATCTTGAGCATCTAGAGAAGACGTCTGTAGTCTTTCAGCCATACGACACGGACGCTGAGGGGAAAAACGCCGTCGAACGAGGCTGGGCCTGGGCCGCCATATCCTTCCCCGCGAATTACAGCGAATCTCTCGCGGTCAGATTAGAAGATGGCAAAGACGCTGACGATTGGAGCATCACGTATTCGAACATGGACGTCGTCATGGATATGTCCAGTGAGTTAAATCGTACTTTACAATATATGGACATATCGGTATAGTCTTGTTCTCGTAGATCAACAAATCGGCCAACTTCTTCAGAGATCCCTTTACCTATCGTATCAGGAGTTCGCTCAGGACGTGACTGTGGCTTGCAATTACAGCAAGAGATATGCAAAAATCCCGTTGGATGTAAGTAAAACAATTTTAATGAGGATTCTGGAGGCCAAAATAAGACGAAAATCAAGAATACCAATTTGTTGATTTTCGAATCTCTCATTAAATCTTTGCCCTATGGATGCTGAACACCCTGTATAACAAGCAAAATAAATATTTTGATTAATATTTTTCAATGCATAGTTTCACACGCCAATTTATGGCCCCGAGTCGCCTAACTTCACAGATTTCGCAGCACCAGGAGTTATCTTGACGTGAGTATCCTCAATTACTAAAAAATAGAAATTTGAACTGATTAATTTAACAAATCGTGTCTTTTAGAATTATCTTCTTCCTGTCGGTTGCTCTAACTTCCGGCGCCATGTTGCTGGAAAGAAACGAGGGTCTCCTGGAAAGAAGTTTGGTCGTCGGTGAATAAAAAAATGTTTTCAGCATTGATTTAGTGAATCGATACACCGATGTACTGATCGCATTTCTCTCTGCAGGTCTCACCGGAACGGAAATCCTTTTTGGACAAGTCATAACCCAGTTCGTAGTCATGTTGGGACAATCGATCATGGTTTTAGTATTTGCCTTCGTGATCTTCAAGATCACTTGCGAGGGCGATACCGGTTGGATCGCCGCGTTAACTATCCTCACTGGATTCTGTGGGATGTGTTTCGGTACGAATAACCATCGTAACAATGATAATATTTCATTTTTGATTGATACATTCGATACACGATCTACTCTTTTCTTATCTTTTCAGGATTCGTCGTTGCTGGCGTTACAGAAGAAGAAAGGAGCGCCACCTACATGGTAATGGGTTCCTTCCTACCCATTATAATGTTGTGCGGAATAATCTGGCCCATTGAAGGGATGCATTACGTGTTGAGGTGTATTAGCTCTTTTCTGCCATTAACGAAAAGTACAGAATCGATGAGAGTTATGCTGGCCAGAGGCTGGCCAATCACCAACCCCACCGTTTACACCGGTTTTATTGCCACTTTTCTTTGGATAAGCGTATTTTTGACACTTTCGATACTGATAATTAAATTTAAAAAAGGTTAAAGAGACTTTGACGTTTAAATTATATTGGCATACTTTTATACATGCTAAACCACGCGACAGGTATGCGTGAGTGAACTTATTCTGTAGCAAAAAATTTGCTGCGTCCGACGAAACGTGTGACGCTCCTCTAACCTTAAAGATGACACAAAGCATTTGATAGTGAGCTCTCGTTAAACACGTTTAAAGAATGAGTCTCGTTTATGATATGTACATTGGGGGAAAGAATGAATGTATTAAAAGTGTAACGTATCCTTTGCTCAATACGGTTGTATTATATTTATTGTATGTACTTCCGTATCATTACGGAATAATGGCGGTACTATTTGTACAGTACAATGATAAGTAGGCTCTTAACAACGTAATACGAATTTATGACTGTGTAATCGACATCTTTTTATCGTATTTGACATAGGAAAACCAATGATTTCTTTTGTATTAATTGCATTGTTATTCAGTAGCCTTGTAGGTGTAACGATTAGTTTTATTTTTCTTTTTTATAAATTCATTTTACAATAAAGGAATGTACATACAATTTTATTAGTAATATATTAATTTATGCAATTAAACATTTAAGTGGAAGGAAGGATGCACGTGATCAAGAAACCTGACCAAGAAAAATAATAAACATCGTTAAATAGAAAATTATATTTATAATATAAAAAAATCGAAATATTTTTAGCTATACATAAATACATCATTCGTACAAATTATCATTCCCGTATTATTACAAATTTTCACGAACGTAAAAACTGTTCATGCAATGTATTGTAAATTCGTTCTGCTTTTTGTAATCCGATACCAGAACAAAGAGCTAGAGTATTTGGTTTTGTCTTTAACAATTCGCTTAACGTTCCAAACGTTGATAAAAGGGTTGTAGCATCTGTTTTATTAACCGATCGTATTGCTGTCAGAGCACTGACCATCTGAAAAATATAGAAAAACAATAGCCACAACCTTTGAACGATAAACAAACAACTCTGTACATATGCTGATCAACATATTACGTTTATACCTTCTGATAAGGTGCTGTATCACTGCGGTCCATAATTGCATCAGGTGGTTTATTTTCGTAAACTTTGTACGTTTCGATTATTTTACCAGCATCCTCCGCACTCCATGCCAACATCAATGTCAAATCAGCAAGAATGCAAACTCTTGTTAAATGTTTTAAAGCATGATGAGGATCTGCCACATCCACCTAAAATATTATTACAGTTGTAAAACAGTCCAACTGAGATTGAAGAAATAAACACTTCCGGGATTCCGAATATTCTCGAGAATCTCGAACAGTTTCGAGAATTCTCGATATTTTCTGAAATCCCGGATGTTTCCGGGAGTTTTCGATATTTCTCGAATTCTCGGAATCCCGTCCGGATCCCGCGAAAAATTCCCGTTAATCTTTACGCATGATACTTATGTAATTAAATTAAACCTGAACTAAGAGAACTCTGAGATTATACATATTCCCCAGAGTCTTCAATCGTTCGTGAATGTAATCAGGATTAAGTTGATGATAACGTATGGACAAGAATAAAGCGCAACTAGTTCTTCCCATTACATAGTCTGGCACAATTTCTGAAAATTCCCATGGAATATTTGATATAGATTTCAGCAATGGATTTCCTTTCTGAAAAATAATTTATCTATGTATATATTATATAAATAGTATTATATCCATCGTCATACCTGCTTTGGATTAACTAAGAGCGCATTAAGTTTTGAAGAATCCTTGGCTTTTGAGGGTCCAGGTGCTGCCTCTTCAAAAAATTCTGATTTCCTTAATTCGCTAAATGCGGCTGTGTGCAAAAAGAATAATTATATTTTAATGCATAGAAACTACATAATAGATATTAAACAGCATATTATAGTGAAACTTACATTGGAAAGCAGAATCAACGTTTGCTCGTTTAGGCGGCGAAACCTCACCAACAATTTCACTCTTTCCTTCCATCTGATTTATTTTTTCGTACGATTCGGAATATTTTTAGTTTCTTATAACCTAAGGAAGTATCACAATTACGATACGCCAATAACGATTCTACTTTATTGCAATAAAATCTTTCCCGAGAATTGTGATATAATCGATGTAGTACATAACGAACTTATGTTGTTGGAAAGATCAAGAAATATAAATTAAAACGATTAAACAATACGGGATACAATGTAGGTTATCAATTCAATAACAAAGATAACAATAATTAAACGATAATGTTTGGGTAGCAAGAATTAAACTTAATTCGGTCAAATCAATTTATTGGTAGATTAATTGTACGTGTCATTAGGTTAAAATAGTTATCACAAACAATAATTAATTTATTCAGTTATATAATCTGTACCACCGACGTATCAAACGCGTACACTGTTTACATATTTTTTCTTACGATTTTTTGTTTACGTATCGAACATTGTAATTGCTTTATTATACAATATTTTATCAGCTAATACAACTTCTTACATATCCATCAGTAACACTGACAATTGATAACACTTGATGATACATTAGTCTAAGATATTTCTCCGATCGACTCGATCGTTATTTTCATTACACAATTTCATCGGTATTTCATGGTTGAAATGAGACAAACGTTTCTATACACTTTAGAGTTTACACAAATCGCTAATAACGGATGTTCGTGAATGTAACCGAAATTAAATATACTCGTAAAACATAACCTAAGATTTTTAAATGAACAAGGAGAAGTCAGAGACCAAAACTATCAAACATCTTTCCTCGAAAGATATTGGCATGTCGGATCCACGAGCCCGATTAAAAGCTCTTTCAGACCAAGGCTCCAATGTGGAAATGGACCGTAACATTCCACCACAAAGGTATCAGACTTTATTGATACCTTGCTATACTTCAGATTTAATGTATCAACGTGTAGTTCTTATATTATTAGCTTCTTTTATGCTTTTCAGATATTACAGATCTGGTGTGGAGATGATTAGAATGGCAGACATGTACATGAAAGACAATGATCTTGAACATGCATATATTTTATATGTGAAATTTATAACGTACGGTATATTAGTAATATTTGACAAAATAGGCGATTCGTTATATTTATTGAAATATTATTCCTTCAGTAAGTGTCTTGTTACAGGATTTTTGTGGAAAAAATAAGGGATCATCCCCAATTTCATATGGTGCCGTCAAAAGACAAGGAACAAAATCAACAAACTTTACGTAAAATAATCCCCAAGGCTGAGGAACTAAAGAAACAATTATTAGAACAATATCAAGCAGACTTTGAAAAATATTTAGAGGATGCAAAAGAAAGGGAGAAGATCGAAAAGGAGAAACTAAAACAGGAGGAATTGGAAAAGTACATATAATGCCTAGAATTCTAGAAATAGATAGGTCATATCAGTGGTGAACAGTTTGATTAATCTGCACCCAATGTTTGCTTAGGTTAAGAGAAGAGGAAGAGAGGAAGAACAAACAAGCTGCATTAGCAGCTGTTAGAGCAGCAAAGGCTGCTATGAGTACTGTCGTAACATCTCCTGAGGAAAGCAAACTTAAAAAAGTTCCTAGTATAGCTCAGAAACCATTGATAAGCCTATCTACTGATATAGCTGCACAGACATCTAAAGAGAAGTAAGTATCGTCCGAAAATACATTTATTTCGTATAGTATTTACAAACCTATTAAATAAAAGACCTTTCTTTCAGAAGGACTCCTACCATAGATCGTTCAACAAAACCTTCTGTGCTTATGAGTGATAATCTTACCTTAAGAGACATAGTATTGCCAACCAAATTAATGCACAACTTTCTTATGGTAGCTTTTGGTAATACTATGAACAATAAAGAGACTTGTGGTATCCTAGCTGGCAAAATAGAGAGACATAAATTAGTAGTCACTCACTTGTTAATACCTGAACAAACTGGATCCCCAGATTCTTGCGTGACACACAACGAGGAAGATATTTTTGACTATCAGGATCAACACAACTTGATTACCCTTGGTTGGATACATGTATGTTATCTTTTACTTTTATTGATTAAAATGGGGTGGGGAAAATATTTTTAAAACGTGTAATCAGCGTCAGACATAATTCTCTTGATCATGTCGCAATTCTCTTCCGACACGGGAACTTTACGAACGGACTGAGCGCTTTTGGATGAGATCGAGTGCATTCTGTAAGAATTCTAGAATAGTAAGACACAACATTCAACCGTTTTTATACAACTATGATTTGCACTCCATTTCAGTCCAAGAAGCGCTCATCCCGATAGTAGAGTTCTCTCGTGAGTAATAAATAAAGTTCATTCTTTTCTGTTATGATATAAATTAAAAAACTAAATACGGAAAATTTGCAAATAGAAGAAATAATTGTACTTCACAGACACATCCTACACAGACTGCATTTCTGTCTAGTGTTGATCTTCATACGCATTGCGCGTATCAACTTATGATGGCTGAAGCAATTGCCATTGTTTGTGCACCTAAGTACGACGAGTAAGTAAAAAAAAAATAAGTTTCAAACTGTTTTACGCGTTGCCTTTGCGCTTTAAAAATATTTCTTTACTTCGTTCAGGACAGGATTTTTCATTTTAACTCCGGAATACGGGTTAGATTTTATCGCTAATTGTAGAGAATCAGGATTTCATCCTCACCCAACAAAACCACCATTGTACATGGTAATTGTTATAAAAAAATATATTGCGTGCATGTTAATACTCGTACTATTCTTGTTGAGAAATATTTATTTTCAGGAAGCAAAACATTGTAAAATGGATGTAACAGCAGCTATAGAAGTAGTGGATTTAAGAAGAAAATGACATCTTTTAGATGTAATATACATACTTTATATAACAAGTTATATATTTAACTTTCACACACGTGACATTATGTGTAAACAGTAAAGAATTGAAAATACTTTTGCTTACATAATACGAGAATCTAGAGGGAATATTGCAATTTAACATTTGCAAAGCTTTCAATATTTTTATGATAAAGCATTTAAGAAATCTTTAATATATTTAAAGTGAAATTGTGCATTTAAAATTATATTTAGGTTTTCAGTAAAAACAAATTTACTAAATGTAAAAAATAATTGAATATTTAAATATTCCATAATTATAGTAAATTATAACAAATGGCAAGTAAAAGTTTTTATGTAGTTCTACAAATTTTATTTAATTAATTAATAATTACAGATTATATTGACTGAAAATAACGAAGCATTATCTTCTGTATCATAAAAGGTAACAAACTGTTTGGTGTCTTTCATGATCCAATTATTCATCTACAATGTACATATTTCTGTTCATATAATTTAACTAGATACACCAGTTTTTTTCTAATAAAAATAAATCTGCCTGAATATGATTTACATAACGACATGTTCGTCTAAAATAGCGAGGTACAAATATATTCTGTTACTTTTTCGTAACTCTTAAAGTAACTCGATACCATTTAAGCCCGAAAATAAATGTACAAGATCAACCAAAATCTTTGTGAATCTTAGTGGTATGTGAAATCTGTCTATAAAGTTCTATGTTTTTCGAGGAAAACAAAGGTGTTCATTGCGCTGTTAACATAGAGTATGTACAATATTCAATTGTAGATATCAGCGACATTCTCAATTAGTATTAATTGTAATCGCACTATTAAATAAAGTCGCTTCATCGTGTAAGGTCGTAACTGAAAAGTCAACAAATTGCATTGACTGTGCTAGTCGTAATTAATATACAGAGCTTTCTATGAAATATACTAGTATACTGAAATTGATATATTAACAATATATCAGCTTATGCGATGATGCTTCATTGTAATTTTCGTTACAATGCTGTATTTTCACATTGTACCGTGGTAGTGTATTAATAACAATGTAAAACATTTGTACTAGTAGGTACCTGATACAAGTTTTATGTACTTGTACTTCATATAATCACGTGCTTATACATATGTACATCGTTCGTGAGAACGAACTTGTTCTTTCTCTAAAAATGTGCAATACTTTGTACGTATCGATAATCCATTCAGTCTCATCAGTAATTTCATTTCATAATTTTGCATGCAACATTCAAGTTTTAGGTTAAAGCATGTAAATCTTCGTTAATTTAAAACATATCAAGATAAGTAATAATTTATTATAATGCCCGCCTAATTCCGTGCATACATTACATAAGCACATGTTAGTAAACAAATTTATATTTCGTAAAGAAAGAAATAAATTATGAAATAATTTAACATTTAGATTTTGTCATAATTTATTATTATTCGATTACTTAATAAGGAATCTGTATTTTGCGAGAAACGCCATTGTACTTTCTTCAAGAGCGTTTACTGAATGCGATTATTCACCGGCGAGAGCATAATCGTACAAGATCATTTACAAGAAAAAAAAAAATTATTCAAACGCAGGATATGGAGTTCTAAAGAGAGCCCATTGTAGGTACAATGCGAGTAGCTCGTGAGAATGCTTCCCGCCATTCACTTCTCCTTGCGTATATCGAATTACCTGCGTTGAAGGGTTTCGCGCTTTCCAGGGTTTTATCGACGGCAGGGTCAATCTATTTTTACGTGGCAGCTTATTTGTTCTTCGTTTCAGCGCTTACAGAGCGAGCGTAAATCACGCTACATATAAGCATTCTCTTTGTGCATACTCATCTACTCTCGCAGAACTCCACGTCCCGTTTCTTAACCAATTTTTTTCCTCGTTCAACCGTTGATGCATTTTGTCAAATAGAATCATAAATAAACATTGTTTGTAATATAACTAATTATTACATTTCGTTGGTCGAATGTAATCTCACGTTGTAGATTTCTTAACCTTGAAATTTTCTGGACACTGTTATCGAGATTTACTATAACAGCGCCAATAAAATTTATTTTGAATACAATTCGTGAGAAGTTGCATTCGAACGTACTTGACATTAATTGTACAATAATATTCAGATTACATTATCAACAATGTTTGAATTGTGTAGCCTTGCATCGCGTTGATTGTACCGTGGTTTTAGTCGATATGGAATAAAATTACTTACGCGTTTTATTAATGCAATTAATTCGTCACCGTTTAAACAACAAAGTACGTATTTACGGAGTACGTTTCTTTACAGAATTCCGAACAGAATTATTTCTGCAATTCGTCGAACCGAGACCACATCTTTTTTTTGGGGGGGGAGTTCAACATTCGCTGCAACGTTACCGTAACAATTATATCGTGCTAAAAACACGAGGCGAGAACGAAAGAATCGCCGACGTTTCTAACCGATATTAACGCTATGATTTCATCCCGTGATACAGACTGAACCAAAAATATTTAATTTTAACATGCCACATGAATCTTGCGCGACACATGCTTGGAATAAGAAAAAGAGAAAGGTGTCGCAGCTCGATTCAGATTCATTTGCATATCATATAATGCAACTACGTTCGCTAACCGAAATAATAAGGAAAATACCATTTCTGAAAATCTTAGAAATGAAAAATCATCTGCGTTTAAAATATTTTTTATGAATTTTACAGTATATAATAACGAAGTTAATCAGATTTAACTTTGCATTTCCAAATGTTGTCTATTTTTGTTGACACAAAAGCTTGACGTGATTGGAAAATTAAATTTATGTATCGATTCTCTCGATCGGTGACGTATTGACTTTTATTTAATACTTATGTACGCCTTTACCTCGAATACTTCGCCAGACATAAAAAGACAGCAGACAACTTAATGGTAGATAACCTGAAGGCCAAAAAAATGGTCTCTTCTTACGTGCGTACAATCGAGAATAATATACAGTTTAATCGCTGTCAGTTAACCATCATTTAAGCTCGTTATTGCATTTTATTCCATAAATGTTTTTCTTATAACCTGCTCTACTTTCGCGCGATATTTTTTTTTTTATCTCTGCACTACAGAAATTATGAATTTACTTTCGTTTCATACGTGCTAGAAATCAAACTCTTTCCAAATTCTCGCGATCGAATTTTTACGGAATAAAAGCGGCATCTTCATTTTTGATTCTGCTAATTTTTAGCATTATTCTAACCGTAACAAAAAATTTCAGATTGGCGTCGTACCAGTGCTTTTCCATTCCACGTAAAAGTCTCGCAATTTAGTCTTGGATGATCGTCGATTCCGGAATGGATTAATCATCGTGCAGATGATGAGAGCGTAGCCGGAACTAAAGCAATTACCATGAATGTAAATATACGGTAGGTTCAGAGTTTTCCAAAAAAACGATCAAAATTTAATTTTAAATAATACTTTATTTCAGATAAAAATAAGAAGTTCAATTATGAGCATACTTATAATTTTTATCGAGCTAGTGACGCATTGATAGTTGTTTGTCTTTCATTCGTTACTCTACATTTTATCTAGATAATAATTTTGCCCATCCCTGGGCCTGGATAGCCTTAAACTACTTACGAGTTTATCCGATGACATATAAAATCCCATGGGTGAAACGCTTTGTGACGTAGGCTTACGATTCTTACTGTAATGTTGCCTTTAATCTCGTTGTTACCAGTTTTTACCGTCAGATATTGATCAGACACAGCCTGTGCAGTGGGAATTTCAGCATACGCGAATCTATTCCGAGACCACGTACGAACGATACACACTTTAATATGGGTAAAAGTCAACGTGTGATTATCCTAATAGCCGTACATTCATTGGAAATTCAATAATTACGTAACGAAAAATCATAGCCAATTAACCTTTTCAGTACGGTTCATGTAAAATGTACGATCTGTCATGCCTAACGTCGTAGTTTTCGGTTTCGCATTACTACGTTACTTCTATCCCCATACAACGTTGAAACATGAACCAACCACGAGTCATTTTTCCACTTTACCCTCGAGACGTATTGTATATAGACTATTTGTTGATTTTATTCTCAATTTCGAAATTGTAAGTATAAACAAAGAAAAGCGTCGAGAAACGTAAAAGAAACGCAGATGAAGAGGCCAAAGAGAACAATAATCAAAGTGCAAGAATAGATATTATATAATAGAGTGATAAGGAAATAAATTTACAGAATTACTGTGCACTTATATAACCGAAGATATAAACATCATATACAAATCGTACATCTAAATAATATCCAAGTATTGTTTTGTTTTATGGTACACGTGCAAAAACAGATTATGTGTAAAACGAACGTAACGTATGAACTTGTAAAGGCTAACAAATTCCTTAGTTACAAGCAAGAATAACACTGACTGCTATATGTAAAGGCGAGGAGGAAAAGGAAACCTATAATACATCGGTAAACACGTGTTAAAAAAACAATTTATTCGAATCGTTTATTTCATTGAATATTTACACTCGGTTGTTTTCTGTTGCGTTCGATGCAGGATGTAATATTATTCTGTAACTCAAATTCTAATTTTTATTCAACCAGTATTATTTCTGGGTTCAACCACGTTCGTCTTCGGTAGAAATTCGTCTCGAAAGTCAGAGCTAACCTTACTTTTATGCGATTGTTTTGTTCCTTATCACTTAAAACAATACACTTATACAAATAATTCTTAATTGTATTTAACTGATAACTAGCTACCAATGAATCGCTTTCGGTATGCCTTTTCTGTAGTCCGAGACGTCTTTGCACAATGCCGCGTGTTTTCCTACCCCTCTCTTCGTTGCTTGTTACTACAATATACCTAGCTATCCTGGCGCGTAGAACGTGCAGTATGCTGTTGCTCACGAGGGAAGAAACAAGTAACGGTACGGGCTAACTTGGCACGAATATCCATCGCTTGAAATTGTCAACGTGTACGATACTTGCCTGACGGGACAAAATGAAACGATAACGCGTACATCGATCGATAGACATTATTAAAAATTTATTCGTTCACCACGTGTCATCCGTACGTTAAAAAGTATCCGTTCCACTAAAAACAAAAGACAGATGCATTTCGTACGTCATTAAAGGTGACTATAGAATAAATGGTATCTCGATAGCGATGGTGTAATTTTTAGTGGCACGTTCGACAACAACGCGATCCCGAAGATTCATTCGCGAGAAATTCGAAAGTTCGATACGTGGTTCGAATTTCTTTTAAAGTGACCATTCGTCGAGGTAATATTACTGCAATAATTGTGCTATCGCTTGGTGTACTTGAACGTGTGCCTAGGTGCACGTACTTTGAATTTTCCACAGTAGTTTTCCGAAGTAGCGCGTAAAACGCGATCGGGAATTAAAAAGTGAACGGCAAGTGGGGAATAAACTGTGTACGAGCATTTTCTCTCTTCTCGGATGGAATAAAACGAGTCATTGTAATGCAATTGATCGTGGGATGCTGTAACTACTTGGAATATCGGTGTAATCGTGGTCGATCCGTGACATCGCGTGTGAGAAAATTGAGTGTCGGTTGTTCTACGAGTTGTTAATACCTGCCATTCTTCCCTCGTCCCTCTTTCAAAGGCATAGCGATTCTTCGCCAAACGATTGCAAATAGGGAAAAAGTGGAACATTCTACTTTCACGTTTGACGAAGGTATGCACTACTAGACCGTGTATTACACATACACCGAGAAACGAGTTAATCCTCTTTATCATAGATTAAACGTTTTTTCTCGCGATCAATGTTATTAGAATCGATGCAACGATTGCGATCAATAAGTTAAGGTTTTGTTGAAACGTGACTTCGTTAAAAATACTGTTCTCTGTTATCCATTCTATCCACACAACACATACGATAAAGCATGACGCGATAATTGAATATCGTAATTATTGGTATCTTCGTAGACCTACTACGAACATAAGTATGGTAATCTATAGTCCCTTGTTGATAAAGTATCGAATGTATCTACCGTGAAAGGAACGTCGAACAGGAAGGCACGTAGAAACTAAACGTGTAATATCGGTTTTTTTTACGTTCGATAAAGAGATATGTTCATTCTACGGAGAACGTAAAACTTTGTTACGAAATCCAACTAATTTTAAATTCCTTTTTGAATATAACTGTCATTAATACTTTTCTAATGATATGTATACATATTTTCCTCACGTCATGTTACCGCAATAATGAATGTGTTTGGTAACGCGGTGATTAGATTCTTTTTTTACCAACCTGTAAACGAATAACATTTAAATAACGAATCGCTTCTTCGTCGTCGAATCTTCGCGGATAACCCAACCAGTCTTCCTCGCTTCCCGTACGATCTACTCGTTAGCATGTCTTAGACGTAATACCGTAAAAATGTTAGCAAGCAATAATACCAGGGAAGGAGATTTATGTAACCTTGCGTAGAAATCTGGCACGTACTGCTTCTTGTACGATTTCCGCAACGACAATGCGGAATTGTGCCCGAAATCAGAAACGATCGTTCCATTTACGTGCACATTCGCCTTCACGTCGATCGTCGGTGATCGAAAACGACCTTTTCATTGCTAATCGACATGAAAAGAATGCACATTTCGATACAATTATCCAAAAGTATATAAACCTACCTTTCAAAATTGGGTACATTTTACACGATTAATATTATTCAAACAATATTATTGAGACAATAATTTCAATTTTCCTTCTCGGTTTGTATCTTTCTTGTTTACCGGAACACGTCTTTCGCAGTATTTTGTCGAGAGGGTGTTACATACATCTTCCTCGCATTTCGTGTAATCTTTGGCGTTAATTTTTCGCAGAACAAGCACACGTCTCCGTGTAACTTTATACACTCGATACAGAACTGTCGTTCGCGTTGTTTCGTAGTTTGCGAATGAACCATTTCATAGACGCGAACAATGCAAAATTACGCGGGAAACGGGCAATATTGTGCAATACTGCTTACACAACATATATCAACAAGGTTTCGATCAAATTAACCAGAGACGTGGAAAATTGTTGTCCAGATAAACATTTCGAATAACGAATAGATGATTTCAATTATAGTTTCAAATATTTCGCAAATAAACATCACGAATAGAATCTGATATCAAATGTTATTACCCGAACGTTCGATATCATTATTTTATGGAATCAATTACTTCGTATTTGAAAAGTAATTTTAAAGTTCGCGTGCATTGCGATGCACGTCAGGCCTGAAGTAGTTAAGGCATTTATAACATCCTAACCTTTATATCTGCAAGAGTACGACATTATGATTAATAACAGAAAAGAGACACGTGATATATATATATTCGTGTTCTAAATTAGGAAGCTGAGTCGTGGCAGAATTTGGATCTTCGTGTTAGATTTTCGAACGTATTGCAAAAGCTTTTCCCTGCCGGTGACGCGTGTACTGTATCGCATACAAAGTTCAAACGAATAACTGCTACAGCTGGTTTGTTCGCGTACATTCAGATTCTACTGCCGTGCATCTACTTACGTTACAATAAGACGCTTTCCACGTTCTACATTGAATAGGACACAATTTGTTTTCATGCAAAATAGAATTTTACAGAACCATTCACCTTTTAGAAACGTCAAGAAGAATGCCTGTACGTGGAAGTGAATTTTGGAAATTCGAGACGAATTTTTTTTTGAGAACTTCACGTGCGAATACGAAAGTATGATAGCATATAGGTTAGGGCTTCTTAATCACAACCTGACAGAGGGTCGTATTAAAATCTTTTCATATTCTTTTTTTTAAATACCACATATATTTTCGAATATATACGTTGCATATAGGTACCATGAAACCCGCGGGCAAACCTCTAGTGACCCTCTATCATGTATGGACCATTTTAAGAAGAAAAGAAATCCGTTGATAGTTTAAATAGCTCAATTGGTACAGCTGTATACTCAATTTCTTTTTTTACACGGCAGATAGGTTCTATGGAACACTGGGCATGTTGACTATGACCAGATGGAGTCTTTAATTAGTTGTAATTACGAGAATTTTATTGTCCGACGAATAAAAGTAGTTTAGGGCCTCGGGGAATTAAATTTGATACTTTGGTTTAACCCGTGGCTCGACCTTTACTCGATCTACTGGGGTCATATCCGATATCATGTAGCTGTGCATCACACGGGTACCCGGATATTCAGGTGGGTGTCTCGGATATCGATACCAGTACAATCGAGTCAACGAAAAAATCAACCTGGATGATCTCTCGTCAGTCACTGTATCGATAAAACACATTCGAACACTTTTCTTGACGATGTAAATTGTTCTCTTGATAATCGTGGGAATAATTGCAGTACTTAGAGTGGTTAGATTTTGATCTTCCGTAAAATGCTGATTTGGAACGATGTTGTCCACAGGTGGAGGAACCCCTCGTGCGGTTTTCCCTCCTTTTTACGAGCCATATTGTTTCTGCGATGCGCGCGCATACGTGACGCAACATTAAGTAGCGTCCTTGTGCCATGGCAACGGAAATAGAGTGGGAAAGATTCCTAACCTCTGAATCCTTGTCTTTGGCGGCATTGCTTGAATGTTTTAAATTCAATAGCATTCGTTTGAAAGTAGCAATGGGTTCGAGCATATCTCATGGTTTTCTTGTTTTTATGAAACTAATCTTAAATATTGATGCCATTAACGAGTCATTAACCGTGTACTGAATTCGACCTCGACGTTAAATGAAAATCTTCATTTAAACAATCATTGAAATGAAATACATTAGTTTTATTATTAGCCTACATTATGCATTATTTTTATTCATAATACATGTTATTATTAATAGTAATTAGCAATGTTTAAATAACGAATAATAAATACCAATCATTGCATTGTTGTAAATCATTTATTTATTGTTTAAGATCGAATATTGTGTTGAAAAATTAATAATAACTACCTTATTCCGTTATTTTACGAAGTTTGTTATTACCCTGCGTAAGACAGTTGTACATTTAAAAGTATATTCATTATTTGTCTAGTTTATCTAAGATAACAGATAAACGAAACAAGTGGTGGGGGTAGCGTTGGAAATGATAATTGGCATCTTGATTTCAGGTTCGATTTCGCTACTCGATTAAAGCGATACCGATAAAAACCAGAGACAAAGATTCTTGTACAGAAGTAATTGAAGTTCAATCGCGAAATAGGACGAATGGAGAGCGAAAAGAAGATGGTTAAATGGTCTTTGATCATCGTTTTCACTGTTTCGATATTTGGTAAGACGGAAATATAGAAATATTTATTATCGCGGATAAAATGAAATGTTTTCTTAATCGCGATACCCCGAGTCGTAAATAGATAATATACCATATAACGTTTGAGCGTCTTGGAAACAATACAAACTACAAATTTTCAAGAAAGTAAACGTAATCGAAAGTGTCGACGTTTCTTTAAATAAAGATCTAATTATATTTTTAAAAATCTCTTAATATTTCACAATATGTCTAATGCATAAAATGCAATAAACATTTGATATCTACGCGATGTATATTCGAGCGATTATTTCCTTGATTCTAATATTTCTATTATGGACTTAAAAATTGTTATTTTATAAATTGTATCGTCAGTTGGCAGGGTGTGCCCAGTGTCACAAACAGGGCACGATAATAGTACTGCGGAAGTTATAACGAAGGTGACAGACACGTCTCCTATTTCGAAGAACAATGACAACAATACAGTTGCACCCATAGCCAAATCTGTGGAAGTTAAAAATGGTGAGTTGAATGAAGTTTCTCGACGATTTGACCCTTTGTCCTTCCATTAACTCGACTAACGGTTAAAACACAAAGAGACAATATTCTTTGTAATATCAGTCTCGGTGACATTATAAATTATTACCATGGGAATGTATCGAACGTTTTATTGTTATTTAAAATATAGAGAAATTAAATGATTCGACAAGTGTCAACCGTAAGTGTAATTCTACGACGGAAACAGAAAATATGCTTAATTGTAACGTCATGCCGAAAGACAACGATGACGCGATAGAAGGAAATTTACCACCAAAGACGACAGGTATGCGTTTTCTAAAATGCGAATGAATCAGTTAGATATAAATGAATTATGTTGTTTTTGTCGTGCTTTAATAAGAACCTACAACTACGACAACAATTACGATTCCCGTAAGCAACAAGACTGAAGCGAACAACACGGAAACTCAAACGTCGAAAATTACACCTGATAAAAACGATTCAGTTAGCACGGAGAAACTTCAAGTAATACCGTTAGATTCCACGGAGGCCACTCATAGAACACATTACGACGTTGCATCTACAGAAATAAACAATCCCATAAACACGAATGACACGAGTATAAAAATTTGATATTTTATTCGCGAACGATTATCACATAAACGGTTATATTATAATCGCCACTGCATTCCAGAGAATGATTCGAAACCCGATGCTAACCGCACTGAAACGTCGATTAGCTCTGCAGCGCCACTATTAGCAGATGATATCATTGGAGAAGTAAAATCAACTAACCATGGTCGTAATAAAAGTATGCCCTCGGGTGTCATAGCGCTGGTTACTGCGATCAGTTTTGCCGTAGCAATTGCAATAGTGTACATTGCAATGATTGTTTGGAGGCGGTATATCGAGTAAGAAACTTGTTATTATCATTTAGGATCATGGAACTAGTAAACTCTTACTATTTTAAACGATTCTGGAATTCTAGTTTCACGACAGTCAATGGTTTCATTAATCGATACTTTTACATTAGGTATAGGTACGGGCATCGGGAGTTACTTGTTAATGAGTTAGAATTCGACACTAATGATTTACGTCATTTCGAGGTAAGCGATATATTAATTAAAAATAAATGACAGCGTATTAATGTAATTGTATCTTACATTGTTACAGCTATGATTTAATGAAGAGCAGAAAGCTGCAGAGAAGAGAAACATAAGCGAATGACTCACAGCTCAGGCTGGTACCATGTAACTATTAAAGATTCATTGATCTGTGATACTAAAGACATGCATTGCGTCTAACAGTCAACAAACCAAATATATTTGGATAATATTATACATTTCTTATAATGTAATTGTTTTATATGTATACAACCCAGTTTTTTCAACAAGTTGGTCGTTCATTCCTCCTACTGTAGAATTTAAAATAGCGTTACCTTGTTATTTTCTTTTTTTTTCGTAATAATTATAACGTGCAGATCGTTGAATAAATTACATAGTACTACGGGTAGTAATTGAAAGTTTTTAAATATGTGTGGGTGCTACAAATACGTGTATCAGTCTCCTTTCAAATTATTGCAAATGATATTCGTTATTGTTTTGTAGTGTTCAGAGTAGTTACAAAATTGTGTACTATACATTAAATTTTTGTAAACTATTATTATTATTTTTTGTCCCCTTTTTTGTATTGCGTGTGATAAACATGTATATATCCTTAGTTAAATAAACGAGTGGATTATTTTTGTAGCGAGTGGGTTTTTATTCGAGAGTTTAAGAAACCTAATCAGGATGGAACAAATAACCCATTTTTTATTACTTATTTCGATTGTAAAAACAACGTATATAAAAAGTTAAACAAATTTCGCATGTCCTACATATTACAATTTACGCGGTTATCGATCCAAGCAATTTGCGTAATAGTTTATTTATTTATAAATTTGTTAAGTCACATTTTAAAAAATAGGCACAAGTAACAAATACATATATTGCTTCCTGTAGTTAGTTCTCTCATTTTAGATTTCTCTTTTTACCTACATGCATGTTTGTTGTATATCTCTGACCTCTATAACATGTCTGCAATGTTGGTTGCAGAAATGTTTGTAGAAATTATCGATGACATTGTAAATGGCAAGTACATACAATGACCTTCATGCATTCATTGGCTTACATTAAGCTTTCTTTGTGACTACAAGAGGGCCCACATTGTCCTTCATTTCTTTGTTATGAGGTCCATGAGCTCCATCGCAATACGGCCACTAAAATATTAAAAATCATTATTAATATCAACAATATATTTATCAATTTTATTTCCTCAAGAGCGGGGAACTTACATTCTTAGATCTCCAACAACGACAAAATACAGCTTTCTCAGTTATATCTTCTATGTCAACGGAATCTACTACTTTATTTACATCCTTTTTTATGGTAAGATTAATACGTCCACAGGGCTAGAAAAAATAATTTGGATGTTTTTAAATAAAAGCAACATATATCTGTAGGCATTTCGTAAATTCAAATCTATAATTTATCTATAAAAAATAAATAGTTACGAAATGTACATTTCCCGATGATAACGACTGTTATGTAATCAACGAATGAAAGAGTAAAATATACTGTAATATGCTATGTTAATGTCCTTGATTCGCATAACAGGTAGGTTTACTTACCGGGCCTCTAGCTAACGGACAAAATGCTTTGTAAGACATATAGCCAAGACCAGCCAACATCGCGGTGGGTGGAATTAAGGATATCCAGTCTCGCACTACATGAAAGTATAAAATTCTCGTATTCCTTACATTATTCAGAAAATTCTTGCGAACGAACAAATACCGTAGCAATTCGCAGTGTCATGTTTAAGGATGTATTCTTTAAAGTTATCCAACGTGATTTTGCCCAACGATTAAATATATAGTAACTATATTGTTTAATCTCTCACCTCCTAATCGAAACCATCCTCCTATAGATTCTGGAATAGGTAATCCAGCCAAATAATTAGGAACAGATACTTTAACAAGGTGTGCAATTGGCTCCATACTTGCTACTACTACTGGACTAGTCAAATCAGGAATCAAATAGATTCGAAAGTATCCACTTTCATTTTTACGTTCGAACGATTACGATTATTATTTCAAACGCTGGCAAAAAGATTGAGAGTTAAGAATGTTCTTGAATATTATTGGAAAATCATTGTTTATGATAAAATCTACTGATTTATATATGTTATTTTACTGTTGCATTTAATATTCGTTAATTCAAAGAACGAATCACTGACCAGACATAGTTTCTAAATAATATTTTTGACCATAATACCGATGCAACGAGCATGACATTTCTTACTTGTCCTATTTTTTTTTTTAAATTATGCAAGTATGTACGTAACAACCTCCGGAATAAATATTCTACTTCATACGTAGTATTATTCTTGAAACAAAAACAACGTAATGCATGATATTTTGTATTTTCAGTAATATTTTCTAAATTGTTCATTTTTAACTGTTTGTTGGCGGTAGATTTTGACTAGTGTAGTTGCATTGGTGAAGAGTTTGTGAGAATTTAGAAGCACAGCGACCAGTGTTGTTAAATGGGACAGATTATTTTACGCACGCGCGTCTAAAACGACATCAGTAAAGTACTTTGATCGACTAGAAAAGGGTATCTGTATCATATTTACTCTCACTTAATTTTACTAAAATATCTTCTGTAAATGTTAGTTTGATTGCTACTACAGCTAACATAAAATAACTTTAGAAAATTATAAGGATGCGAAAGTAGATGGTTCAACCTTTAAAATAATCTCAGAAAGATCTTTTGTACGACTTCTTTCCATAAAGTTACAATACTCGAATGATTGATATCGTTTTGATCCAATGTTCTAACATTTATGATAACAGTATAAGTTCCTGATTTCATTGAACCATACATTCTCGAATTTCAGGATCTTCCCTATTATAAAGGCTTCATTCATAACATTCTATATTTGACAAATCATCGACCCGACCTGCCTGACTTACAGCTGCAATATATGGAGCCCGCCAAATCTGGTTTCTATGGCATTAAGTATGCACGTTACTGTTTCCATCGGCAGGTTGCGCATGCGCGCAAAAAAAACCGACCCATCCATCACTGATAGAGACTGATAACGATGTTTGCAGACAGAGAATGAAGAATAAAAATAGATGTTCCTGCCAATAATTATGAAAAATGCCAAGTTGAATTCGTCGGTAAGGGTTGTTTAGGTTTGTCTTCTATCCGAACAACTTCCGTTGCTCGAAAAAATTCGAAGCCACGGTAGAATTCGCCAGAATCGGCTGCTGTTCGCTCCCTGGTGGCGGGAGCGTGAAACGTCGCCGCAGTCGTTACAACGTCTTGTAGGTGGCGCCATCCAGTCGCGAGGTGTACGCCGGGCAGGGTGGAGGTGTCTGCGTCGTCCGCAAGGATACGTCGTCGGTTGCCGCGACGCCGCCGCGGTTCGCGCAGGCACAGGTACGAAGTGCGCGCGTTTTCGAGGCGGTATCACGAAAAGCGCAGGAGTGGCGTTTCCGCGTATCGTTTCTGATATCGCTGTTATGTCCCATCGTTGACGGGCCGTGGTAGCAAGTAGGAGGTTCGCGGCATCGGCGTAAAAAGGCGGCCAGGAAAGAAGAGGGAAAACGGGGGAAGGAAGGAGATAGAGCAGTTGTATCGCGCGGTGCAGTGCGAAAAGTGTTCGCGAAGGGGACCCCTGGTTTCGTCCCGTGTGCATGGTGTGCTCGCGTGTGCCGAGAGAGCACGTAGGAACGTTGACTAGTGACACACACGGTGTCGTAAAAGGGGAGGGAAAGAGACAGAGAACACGGCTCGCCGGATAATCGTTGTTCACGGTGTGCGGGTTTCGTAAAGGTGCGTCAAATGACAGTGAGGTGATCAATGTGCTTGAAACATGGCTGAGGAGCTGCTGGTCACCCTGAACCGCGGCGACTCGTCCGGATTCGGGTTCTCGCTCCTCGGTACCGCGGGTCTGCCGCACGTCATCTACGACATCGTCGAGAACTCACCGGCAGCAAAGAGCGGCAAGGTAAGCTCGATCTTGGTTGTATGGGTGATCCCGTCTCTGGTAGCTCTCGTGCGCCGTTTGCATCCGCGGCACGGAATCCGCCTAAAACCTTGGATCCTCCTGCTAATGGCCACATTAGTCAATACCGGTTTGATACAAACATTCTTAGCGCGACTTCGATCGTCTCCACACACGTCGCGTGTACGTTCCTTGGTACCAGAAAGTTCGAGGACGGTCAAAGGTGGAGTTGGAAAGAGCAACCCCGGGAGATATGCATGCACGTTCGCAGTTGTCGAGAATCCTGCGAATGCAAGGGCCTGAAAATAACGCCCGGTGTATATCGACCCGTGTTATTATCACGAGCACCCTCTGTCGCCCCGTCTGTTTCTTCCTCGACCTACGATTATTTTTTATTCTCACGCTTTGCGAGCGATGCTAATGCTTGTATATACAACCGTCTTAACGTCGACGGTACAGGCGGGATGCTGATTGGCTGGGTGGGATCGGTTTAACGGCCACATTCCAGCCTGTCGGTCTCTCCGTCCGTCTGCTCTCGCTTCTCTTTCTTACTCTTCCTCTTTTTCTCTTTCCCGTTTCCTGGGGAACGTACCCCCTTCTCGATGGTCATACAAATTGGACAATTTTAATCGAGAGAACCGACCCGGCCTTTCGCGCATCGATGCCACCGATGCCATTCGTTTTACAACGATCTGTTCCCTTGACGTGGAAATGTTTTAAACGCAGCCATGTTTACGTGCTAGAATAACGAAAATACTTTCTTTCTCTGTGATAAATCAGACAGATGACACAGTGACTGACTTCCGTTTTTCGATTCGTTTGTGAAATGTACATATATCGACTTTGGCTAGTCTTGTCACATATTATATTATTTGTCTTCGGATCTGCGACGACTCGTAAATGATTTGTTATCCTAGCTTGTCGCGGTGATTCCTTTTGTTAACGTTTAAAGTCACGTTATAATGCACCGTGGAGTTGAACAATAATTATCAAGTACTCGGTGCATAATACGATGCTGTTCTTAGCAAATGATGTAATGGAAATCTGCTCGTCGTTGTAGTTCGAACAAACGAACGTTCGCGTTATACGATCGAGGATATTTCGACCGATGAATCGACTTCAAGTTATCAAAACTTTTTTCCACGGTGCATGCAACCGCGTAATTACACAATATCCAATATTTTTGTTCGCGGTACTTCGTAATTTTGCAAGTTGAATGCACTCCCTTCCCCTAGTGTTGCGCGGAATAGATCGATTGCTCTGTCGGAACTGGTTTTCGATACTTGCACGGGGAAGATACGGATTTCAAATGGCAGATGTGGAATAGATTAAATCCAACGTTTTTCAAGCTGAGCTCTCAAACGAGAAAAGGAAATAATTATATAATAACCGGTAAATATTAAGAAGACCTAAGAAGATCCCCAATTTTTTGATGTAGCTTTTTGAATAAACAATGTATGAAAAGATTGAATCAATGAGAAAGAAAATCATTTAAATTTAATGTAAAATTATAAACCATAAATATGTTTGATTTTCGAAGAATGCTTAACGGTCGTTACGAACGGTACATCTTCCTCTAATTATTGAACAGATCAATAATATTTGCTTTGGCAGATGTATATTTATTTATTTGTTCGCTAATTTCTATTTTATACGTAGAATACGTATATTTGTGGATTCAATAGTCTTCTATGGTTACGTACATTTTCGTTTGTATTCGAAATGTGCCAGTGACAAGCAATCAGGGTGAGTGTGTCTAATCCTACTGGTCGCGCATGCGCGAACTTTTTGTATCCTGCATAACTGTCATTCGAAAGAAGAATGCGTGTAACAAAGGAGCGGCTAGGCATTACGCGTGATTGGAATGTGTCACTATACACATCCCGTTTCTTTTTTTTGCTTTTGTTTTTCGGAATTCTTAAGATCCTGTTGGTCCAAGCGGTCGCAGAGAAACGCTGATTTCCCGTTCTTGCTCGTACGTATCGTTTGTTCTGTGCAAACATTGCATGGTTGATGTCGCGAATGGTCGTGGCGCATACATTTTTTCGTAACAGTTACCTGCGAATGGAAATGTGTTCGCGATATCGGTGAATTACGTATTTTCATGATTTCAATTGGATAAATACCACTCTATGTTCCAAGGATTATTTTTATAACTTGGATTTTTTCAGATTGACGACGACAAAAGTGACTGGATGAACAAATAGATTGTGATCGATGTTCGACAAAATCATTATTCAGTTCTCTCTGGAAGATATTCGTTCTGCTAGTCTTTCGTTCGTTCTATTAGTTTCTGGTACCTAAAGCAAAGACAAATTCTATCGAACTGGATATTTTCTTTTAATTAATATGGCAGCGACCCGAGCCTTGCGCATTGAAAGCAGGTTAGGTAACTATATCGGTACCCACTCAAGATTCATTGTTCGACCAGTACAGAGAACGCGTAATGCATTTTGCATTCTCCATCGCACTGCAGGGCTCGCTTTGGATTTTTGAAATAGCTTTTTTCCATGGTCTTGCTGAAGTTGGCAGCAAAATGAGATCGGTGGAACGACCGATGTTTGAAATTTAGTAATTTTTCACATGAAATTTTAATCAGTGTACTTAATATTTATGAATTAATTACATTTCCTGTACATAAATTAATAATTTATAATAACGTAGGGCGTATAATTAGTAACATTTTTCAAAAGTATAAGTGAAAATAATTGCAGCTGGAATAATTATTAAATAATTACCATCAAATTAATTTCTGACAATTCGCGATTGGCAATTGAAAAGTACTGAAAAACGAAGATCTATAAATTAGTTCTTAAGAAATATAAATACAGGGTGTTTGTAGGGAGATTGTAAAGGTCAAAATAAGACAAAAATCAAGAATATTAATTTCTTGACTGAGGCTTCGTTAAAAAGTTATTAACAATTAAATTAAAAAATTTCAAATCGTTCTGGAAAAATTATTTTCGATTGCGGGGGTCAATTACAATCATTTTTGGTCATTACACATACCCCCGAAATCCTACCCACTTTCGAGAAAAAAAATCGACAAGGTGTGAAGTTTTTCGACGGAAACGAAAAATTTCAAATCGTTCTGGAAAAATTATTTTCGATTGCGGGGATCAATTACAATCATTTTTGGTCATTACACATACCCCCGAATTCCTACCCACTTTCTAGAAAAAAATTCGAGAAGGTGTGAAGTTTTTCGACGGAAAAAAAAAATTTCAAATCGTTTTGGAAAAATTATTCTCGATTGCGGCGATCAATTACAATCATTTTTGGTCATTACACATACCCCCGAATTCCTATCCACTTTCTAGAAAAAAATTCGAGAAGGTGTGAAATTTTTCGCCAAATTAAAAAATTACAAATCGTTCTAAAAAAATTATTTCCAGTTGTGGGAGTCAATTGCAATCATTTTTGGTGAATAGACATACCCTCGAAATCCTGCGCATTTTCGAGAAAAAAATTCAGAACAGGCGAAACTTTAAATGTTAATAACTTTTTAACAAAGCCTCCATCAACAAATTGGTATTCTTGATTTTCGTCTTATTTTGGCCTCTACAATCTTCTATTAAAATTTTTCCTAGGGGTAGCCGAACATCCTGTATATAAAGTGTTCTGAAAGTTCAAATATTATTTTCTTTTTGTTTTTTTTTTTGCGATTCCTCGATTAGTCCATTTATAATTCATGTTCAAAATGATGTTATGCAATGGCGTTGCGTGATAACGAAAGAAGAACTTGAAGTTTCTTGACGGTACGAAGCACGCGAGCCCGACAATTATGTACTTAGTTGAACGCGCGTACACGTCGTCGAATTTCTCGCATTTATCGATCGATATCGCCTTCTTGATAGCCGTAAGACGAATGTTCCCCTAGTTTCCATAATTAAAGCACTCGAGTGTGCACTGTGGTCCCGTAATCTTGCACGACGTTCTGGTTAATGTTCGTTATTCTCTGCTGAACGAACAAAGAGGAAATTGGGTCCGTAATTGGAGGAACAGAAATACGGAGAATCAAACGGAAAGGAATTTTTTCCATTGTTCTGTTTAAAGGATAATGCCATTCGAAATATCAAAGATTATAAATATGTTATAATCACAATAGGTCTTTCCTTCAAGGATATTTTTTTTTTTCTAACAAAATTTACAATTTTTATATTTTTCAATCGATCGGTAAGGTTTTCCTAATGAAAATTATCGCTACTAAGTATTGCAAGAAAGAATAACAAGATATCTTTTTTAATCATTGACAGAACAACGAACTCCTTTCTGTTACTTTATCAGACGTCGTTGTTGATTTGGTTATAAGAAACTTATATTAACATTTGACGTAGATAGTCGTTCCTTGAACAGAGAGAACTGATAAAATGTTTCTTTCCTTTCAATCGATTCGATTGTATTATTAGAAACAAGAGAATAATAATGTTCTTGTTTCGAGTTAAAAATCAATATCACTCGTTAAGGGTTAAATTGAGTTTTTATTACATGCAGATATTGCCACACAACGTGTAAAACAGAACTCGAGACGACTTATTATTTATCTGCAGTCTCTGCGATATCAGATCGGCGTTACCTCAATACTATCTTACAACCGTGCCCTCCCATCTGACGTATTAATTTCCGTAGAATTTCCAGCGGGTAATTTGATCTAAATCGATCACGATTGAAAGTGGAACACTGTATACACCACGATGTGTTAAGGCGCGTGTGAAACTCCTGCAGGGTTTGAATACTTCTGGAAGATAGTATCTAAAGCAAATTTTTTTTTTAATTAATAACAGTCTTAATAATTAACCGCTCCATCCAAAAATGATCCAAGTGTCATATCGAGTAATCTCAGAATTTACAGACGAAATTTGACAGTCCAGTGACACCATAAATATCCATTTCGCGAAACGACGCGCGCCATAAATCGAAAGAGATGGGGCAATATTTTTATTCTCAGCGTTTATTCGATCGAACAATTCCACGGGCAAGTTTTTCTTCGTTCAGTACGGAAT